TCAATCAATCAATCAATCAATCAATCAATCAATCAATCAATCAATCAATCAATCAATCAATCAATCAATCAATCAATCAATCAATCAATCAATCAGTCAGTCAGTCAGTCAATCAACGAGTCACTGAAACAGGCTGTGGGCGCTATGCGGTGGACGTGCGTCATCAGATGCTAGTGTCTCTCAACCTTGACAATGCACGTGGAAAAAACAGCATGATGGGTGGATAGTATGTTGATAATGATTAAACTCTTTGCTTATACAACACAGGGGTATCTGTCCAACCAACGCCATCTATGCTAAACCATCAAGAAACGCTCTAGACAACAATCAAAGCCCCGGGCTGCATCGACAACAATCAAAGCCCCGGGCTGCATCGACAACAATCAAAGCCCAGGGCTGCATCGGCAACAATCAAAAACCCCCGGGGCTGCATCGGCAACAATCAAAGCCCCCCGGGGCTGCCTCACTCGAGGCGCTGGCTCTTGACCGCCTTGGCGCCGCTCCTCATGACGGCCGAGATGGACTCGCAAGTGCGCGCGCGCTTCAGGTTTGCTGCTGGAGACAGGCTCGCCTCGCTGTTTGTGCTCTGCGCGTTGCGCGTGCTCCTGCGGCTGCCGTGCTTGGACCTGCTGCCGCCGATGCGGCTTGCGGGGCTGTTGAAACCGCTGCCGCCGCCTGCGGTCGCTGCAGAGCTGCCTGCGACAATGGCCTCGGCCAGGCGTTCTGCGACGGCGGCGTCGTACTCGCGTTCAAAGGCGCGGACTGTGTCGGGGTCCTGTTGGCGCGCGGTGGCCAGAAGGTCGATGCTAAAGTCGTCGTCGTCGTCGTCGGAGTATTGCGATGCCTCCGAGGACGTGTCTGTCTGCTCGGCGGCCAGTGTACGTCGCGCAGGCGGAGCAATGTTGAGCAGCTGCAGCGCAGTGGACGATCCGTCGCCCGTGTCTGAATCGCCCGTGTCTGAATCGCCGTCTGAAGATTCCTCGTCGTCGGAAAGCTCGCCAGAAGACTGCGCGTCAAAGGGGTAAAAGGACGGAGGCGGCAGGATCGAGCTCGGCATGTCCTGGCGCACTGCGGAAATAATCTCCTCTCTAATCGTATTCCTGGGGCTGCAGGAGCGGCGCCTCTTCGCTTGCGAGACCCGTCTCCCGTCCAAGATGGCTTGGATCTTCGAGGGGTACAGGCTTGCTCGGCGGTCCTGGACAACAGCGGGTGCTGCAGGGATCTGCGCGCGCTGCACGCGGACCGAGAAGTTATCGTCCGGCTGCACGCCGCCCAAGCCAGAGGCTTCAAAGTCCATCACGTGTGGACTGGCAGCACTGATGTGCTTTTGGAGATGGACAGGAGAGAAATCGAGGCTCGCGAGTGAAGATGGGGTCGAAGCGCCGGCCTTTGAATCCGAGTCCGTCACGGCATCGTCCAACGGTCCTCGTGACTCCCAGAGCTCGGCTCTCTCGCTGTCGTGCGCGTCGAGCTGAGCACCAAGAGGGTGACTCGTAATGGTCTTGTAGTTTTCGGGAAGAGTGAGCGACGCTCCCACTCGGTCGCCAGTAAGGTCGGTGCAGAATCTGACCCTGTTGTAGAAGATGATGGGCCCGTCGTGGCGACGCTTGTCAGGCAAGCTGCTCTGCACGGCGAAACCGCCCAGCGCAGAGGATTCGCCACGCTGCTGGGGCTGGGAAAGCGAGCTCGCCGACTCGGTGCGGTCGTACAAGTCCATGTCCTCGTCGGAACTCTCCCTCCGGAAGAACAAGGGCTTGTACGCAAACTTGCACGTCTCGAGTTGCTGCTGGGCGGGAGCGAGCTGGCGGCCTGGGTGTTGTGAGCCGCCGCGTCCGCTGCTCTCGATGCTGGTGGCGCCCTTTTGCGGCGACCTCTGCGGGCCCGTGGTCTGGTAGGGCGAGCTGACGCCCGTCTGCTCGGGAGAGCCATCGCTGCTGTCCTTTGAGAAATCATGCCCACCCTTCCATCGGACCTTGCGGCCGTCGGGGGACAGCTCCAGCTGGGTGCTGTACTCGGCAATGGCGTCCTTGACATTGTCGGGCGTGACGTTGAGGGTGTGCAGCTGAGCCAAATTGATGAGCAGGTTGAGGTAGAGCCAGCCATGTCCCGCGAGTGCCTCGGTGGTCGTGATCATGTCTGGCGGCGAGAATCCGAGGTGGCGGAAGTAGTCCATGTTGGCGGCAGGGACCTGGGCGCGGCAAGGATCCAGATCCAGAGGTCGCGTGGGCCGCTGGTCAGGGGATCCGGATCCGGATCCGGATCCGGATGCAGAGGCGGCGAGGTCTTGTTCGTGTACGCGGTGGTGTGCAGCAATGTGCGGGGCAGTAGAGTCTTGTCGATTGGCAGTAGAGTCTTGTCGATTGGCCTTAGAGTCTTGTCGATTGGCCTTGGAGTCTTGTTGATTGGCCTCGGCGTCAGGGCGCTCAGGCATGATCAGAGCAGTGCGCTGGCCCTCGGGCCTCGATGCCCTGCCGTCTGCTTCCCGCTCACGTCGATCGGCCGTGGCAGCCGACTGGGCGACCTCCTCTTGCTGCATGGGCTGGGGGTGCTGTCCGGGCACGGAGCGCTTGCCGGCGAAGATCTGCTCCAGTCGTCGCACAACCATCTTCTTCCGTGCCTTTTCCGACATGGGTGCATCGTGCTGCGGCAACAGGCCGCGCGGGATGTCGTCGAGGTACGAGTGGACGTTCTGCTGCTGGCGGCTGTAGGCCGACTTGGTCATCCTGCGCGTGTCGGTGGCGGCGGCGGCCTGGGTCGAGGCGCCGTTGGAGGGCGTGGACGAGTTCTGGCCAGAGGCAGACATGGACGCGTAACCCGACTCGGCGAAGCGCGGGGTGGACGAGGCAGCGACGTTCTTCTGGTCGCGGGCGGGGGGGTAGGCCGTGTCGGGCGCGTCGGGCGAGTGGTCGAGGCCGGCAGCAAAGTTGCGCAGCGTCTCCTCGAGCTCCCGCTTCTTGTGGTCGGGCAGGTGGTGGAAGCGCACCTCGAACAGCTTCTCCTCCTGCAGGTGGGCGTCGTGGACCTTTTCGTACTTGCGCAGCCGCTGCCTCAGCTTGCGGTTGGCAATGGTGAGGTCGTCGATGACGCTGCGGAAGTCTTCGGTGCTGCTGCCGTCGGTGGCGGGGTCGGCCAGGGTGGGGCGGTAGGGCAGGCGAGGCATGCGCAGGTGATGGGCGTCGGGCGGCGTGCGGTCCGACGACGACGAGTTGTTCAGCAGAAAGGGCGGGTCGTTGTCGACAAACGAGGCGTCGTGGCCCATGTCGTTGTTGGTCTTGTCGAACCAGCCGGCGGCATCGCTGCTCTCGCCGGAGCTGAGGTTGTTGAGGTGCAGGCGCGGCGAGATGCTCGAGGGCGGGTTGGCCCTGTCACTGGCCGGCGCCGGGGCCGAGGGCGAGGTGCTGAGCGTCGTCGACGGGCAGGCGGCGGGCGCGGCAACGGCCGAGGCGGGCGGGCTGTGTCGCAGCGAGACGGACTGGTGTGCGGGCGGGCGGCGCGGGTGGGGAGCGCGAGCCGGGGCGTCCATGGTGAGCGAGGGCGCGGGTCGGCGTGTGTTGGCTGCGAGGGCTACGGGGACGGGCGTAGGCTACGGGGACGGGCGCAGGCTACGAGGACAGGGCCATACGGGCTGCGCGTCGGTCACGGTCGAGCTGCGTGTGTGTGTGCGCCGAGGTGCTGTCGGCAGTCGGCAGGCTGCTGTGCGTGCAGTGTATGCAGTGTCGGCAGTGTATGCAGTGTCGGCAGTGTGTACAGTGTCGGCTGCGTGTACAGTGTCGGCTGCGTGTACAGTGTGTGCTGTGTGTACAGTGTGTGCAGTGTCGGCTGCGTGTGCAGCGTCGGCCGAGTGTGCAGTGTCTGCTGTCTGCTGTCTGCCGTCTGCTGGGTCTGCTGGGGACGGTGTCGGGTGTGGGCTACGAGGACAGGCGGTCGGGAGTGAGCAGGTCGGGGGAGCGAGCAGGTCGTGGGAGAGCATCGCCCCAGCAGCGCCTGCGCGGCAGGTACACGGGGCGTCATCGCGAGTAGCATGTCCGCAGAGCGCACCATTGTGAGGTTTGATGGAGGCCCGCCGCTGAGATCGAGACATCCCTGCAGCCCCGCCTAGCGCCGACCTGCCCATCGCCGCGCCCCGATGCGGCAGCCGTCGCAAATCGAGCCCTTGGCCACAGCCAACCTCCGATCGAACGCGCCCGCAGCGATGGCCGCCCGCGCAATCTCGGTCCGCCTGCGCAATCACTGTCCGCCTCTCTCCCCCCCCGCCCGCTGCACCCGAGGACCCTGCCTCGATTCGCTCGGACGTCCTCACCGAGCCCGCACCAGTCGTCGCAGCCGCAATCTGCTCCGCCGCAACCATCGAAGATACCCAGCGCATCGCAGCCAGGTCGACAACGGCCGCCAGCCTGCCGTCAGACGCACCACACCCCTCTCGGTCGCAATCTCGATGCACCCAGCGCACCTGAGACTGCGTCTAGAGCATGCGTCTAGAGCAATGCCACCCACCAGTGGCCACCAGTGGCCACCACACCGGCCGACGAAAGAGGTCGAAACACATTGATTCATCGCTGCTAGAAATAACACGACCTAACCCATACACCTCTCCTACCATTGGGGATATCTCAAACGAACCGTGCGAGCAGCCGGAAACACGACACCCCAAAACACGACGCACCAAAAACACGACACACCAAAAACACGACACCAAAAACACCAAAAACACCTCGAGTAGCCCAATGCAGCGACCAACCACATGCATGCTAGAAGCAGAACCCCGATGCGAAAACTTGTCCTCGTCATGTCTAGAGGATCTGGTCCTCGCCATGCATAGAAGACCTGATCCTCGCCATGCCTAGAAGACCTGGTCCTCGCCATGCATAGAAGACCTGATGCTCGCCATGCATAGAGACCTCGTCCTCGTCGTGTCCATTCGTCCCCTCTATCGTCTGTCCGTCGTAATATTAATTCCTGCTATCCGTCATAATAGCAATTCCTGCTATCCGTCGTAACAGTTCCTGCTATCCGTCGTAGTACTAACTCCTGCTGTCCGTCGTAGCAGGAATCCTTGCTATCCGTCGTGGTAGCAATCCCTGCCATCCTTTTACACCAGCACCCACTCGCTCCCCCTCTTGATAAACTTATCCAGCATCATCGTGACATCCGCCAGCACGAACCGGCAGATGTAGAATCCGAAGAACTCGGCTGCGTGCCGCGACGACAGCTCCAGCCCCACGTGTGTCTGCGACGAGTGCTTGAGCCCGGGGTCTTCCACCTGCCGCGCGATTTGGTCTGTGAAATCAGTCAGCATCCACGAGTGAGAATCGTGAGAAATCGACGAGTGACAATCGTGAGAATCGACGAGTGACAATCGTGACAATCGACAAGTGACAATCGTGAGAATCGACAAGTGACAATCGTGAGAATCGACAAGTGACAATCGTGAGAATCGACAAGTGACAATCGTGAGAAATCGACGAGTGACAATCGTGAAAATCCACGACAGCAGAAAGTATGAAAGAAAGAACGAGAAAGAAAAAAAAAAAAAAAAAAACTCACCCAAAATCTGCGCCGAATCAAACAGCCGCGCCAGGCTGCTCATGTACCCCGAGTTGGGTCCCTCAAACGTCAACCCCAAAGTGTCTCTCTTCGCGAACCGGATGGACGGCAGGCTGGTCATCGGCACCGTCGCCATGTTCAGCGAGTCCTTGGGCACATCTCCGTTGCTCATCTTCAGCCCCGCCAAGCTCGCCAGGTTGACGCCCGAGTTCTTGCTCCTCAGCTTCCGCCAAGACGTGAGATAGCTCTTCCCCTGCGCTACCGCCCGGCTCGTGCTGTTGTCCTGCGAGCTGTGCATGCTTCTCATACCGCCGCTCTCTCCGCCCCCGCCTTCGCCGACAGAAGTCGCGTCTTTGAAGAGTGCAGATACGCTCTGCACCCCCACCTCGTTCCCCAGCTTCTTGCCCAGCTGAGCCTGTACCTGGTCGAGCACCACTTCGAGCGCTTGCATCTCTTCCAACACAACGTCCGCGTCGAGCGTGTCCATGGACGCCATCTTCTGTAGCGCCGCACTCAGCAAATCACAGTTGGCAATCTTGTCCTCAATGTTCTTGATCTTGACCCCCTTGACCCGCCACACGTCGCGCGGGATGAAGAGCTTCGTCGACAGGTATCCTCCACGAGGATGCACAATTGTCTGGTAGAAGCACCGCATCAGCCAAAACGGCCGCAAGAGGTACGTGTCTGGACATGGCTCCAGCGGTATCGGCGCGTTTGCCACGGCTGCACTCGGCGACCCTGGCGAGAACGGCGAGTGGATATCGCTCTCGAACAGGTGCATCCCAACGCTCGGCAGTCCATCGATGCTGAATGTCGGGAGACTTGGCGTTGGCAGCGCCGCTATGTTTGCGACACTCGCTTTGCGCCCGCTGAGCGAAAACGTTGTGCTGAGCGGTGTGCCTATAGACCCATCCGAGCCGTCTGGGCTTGATATGGAGAGCGTTCTCTGCTTCAAGCTCAACGAGGACTTGTTCTTCCTAATGCCAAGCGCTGACGGCTTGGACTTTGGAGACCCCGGTGCGAGCCCCGATTCGTTCAATGTGCCATGGTTCAGAGCTGGCGTAGCAGGTGAAATTGCTGCCGTCGTCTCAGCTGGACTGGGAAGCGCAGGTAGTGGTGATGGGGCAGCGAGTCCCGTCTGTTGAGGCACCTGTGGCAGAGCCGGTGCTTTGAAACTCGCATCTAGGTTGGATTGCGTGCTGCTGAACAGTGCTGCTGCTGCAGACTTGGGCAGCTGCACGGCGTCGAGGGGTGAGTTCTTCGCGGGTACCGGAGGCTTCTCCGTGTGCGGTGGCGCCGCTACCGTCGGCAGGGATGTTTCAATCTTCAGCGTTTTAGCGTTCTGTCCTGATAATCTCCGACTCCTCACCGAAGCAGCCTCCTTGGTTGCGGCAATGGGCCGTGGCGTGGCTTCAGGGTCGATGGGTTGTGCAGGTTGGAGTTCTGGGACCGAAGGCAGGGCACCTGGAGGAGGCGGGGGAGGGAGAGCTGGTAGTGCTCCAGAAGGTGCAGGCATTGCAGGTGGCGGATGCAGGGGTTGTAATCTAGATGCAAGCGGCTGCATAACTTCTGCAACTGTTGAGAGGGAGGTTCCTCCGGTGGTCCTGTGAGAGGACACTGAGCTGTTATAAGCCGAGAACTCGCTCGAGTCTGATTGCCGCGGTAACGAGGACTTGGTTTGCAGATCAAAGTCAAACCCGTCGAGCATGTACTCTCGCGTCATCTCGTCTAGAAGACGTTCCTCCTCTTCAGCCTCGTCATTGAGCGTTAGCTCAGCGCTCTCTCGGACGTGGGGCAGCGTCTCGCTCTGCAGTTGTGTCTCCTTGAAGCGGTACTTTGCCGCCGCAATAGCCTCTTCGCGCTCGGCCTGCCGTACGTTCTCCTTGGCCAGCTGAACGTTCCTCAGTCTTGTCGATATGACGTCGTCCGGGGCTTTGTCTTCATCGTCAAAAGGCTCGAAGCCGTCATCGTAAGCAGCTTCGACTGCGGCATCGAGGGCAGCATCGAACTCGGCTTCCGTCGCCCCGCTTGTGTTCCTGATGTGCGTCCGGCGAACCCCCGATCGAGGAGAGAGCGAGTGCACGGATGACGAACACGAAGATCCCCCAGACTCGTCAATGGTGTCCAGCCACGACGTCGACTCATTACTATGGACGCGCTGATGGTTGGGCTTTGCGGGCTGTGGCTGGAGTAATTGTGCCGAGTTGCATGGCTCGTTCGGAAACGTGGCGCTGAACAAGGGTGACCTGGACCGGTTGGGTGACAGAGGTGGAGGCATGTACGACCGGTCCATGGGCGATTCGAGCGGTAGACTGGATCCTGCCAACCGCCCAGGCGGCGGCTGGAGGTGGAACTGCGAGGTCTGCATGCTCCTCTGGACATCACGGATAGCGGTGCTGATCATGGACTCGCGCTGACCTGCAAACTCCGGTTTCCGGAGGGGCAGTTGGTACGAGGGAGCCGGGGGTGGCTCTGGGTCTTTCAGAGGCAGGTTTTCTGTAGAGCGGTCGTTTACGATCCGTGTCATGGTCGCTGTCTGGATCACGGCAGGGCTGTCGTCGTCGTCGTCGTCGTCGCTCACGAGCAGCATGGACCGCTGCTCGTCGAGAGACTCACCGCTCATGGGCCGTGCGGGGAGTGATTTCCCAAAGTTGTTTGTGTAGCCAGGGTCTAGTCGACGCAGCTCCTCGATGCGGTTGGTGTAGGTCACGCGCTGGGGGTGTTAGTGTGCGGGACCAGGGGCGAAGCAGAGGGGATGGGGGGATCTGCTGGGACTACTCACAATGGCATCCAGTTTCCGTCTGTCGTCGTCCTGCGAGCTGCGGATCATGACCTGCTGCAGCAGCTTGCAGGCGTCCTCGTAGGCCTCGGTGGCGCCCTCGAAGTTCTGGGCGTTGTCGAGCAGGACGGCCGTGTTGGCCTTTTGCAGCGCGCGGGACAGCATCGTCTTCTTGTCCTTCTCGCGGCGCTCGCGGGCGCGCGGCAGGGTGTCGTGATGCGGGTCGTCGAAGCGCGAGCTGGTGCTCTCGCTGCGGGCGTGGTCGCGCGAGGCAGAGCGGCGGTGGCCTGCACTCGGCGCGCGGGGCTGTGTCGCAGACGCGGGGGGCCGGCTGACAGAGGGCGCACGGGGCCTCGGGTCCGGGTCGGCGGCGACGAGGGCGGGCGACCCCAAGGGCGAGCGGCCCAGGACGCGGTCGGCGGCGGTGCGCGAGGGCGGGCGCGGGTGGGTGGCGGTCAGGGGCGTGTGCGGCTTCGAGTTGAAGTAGTCGGTGGGCTGGGCGGCGGCGAGCAGGCTCGGGGTGAACAGGCCGGTGGTCGAGGGCGAGGGCGCGGTCGAAATGCTGCCAGGCGAATTGGCGTCGTAGACGGTGGCGGCCAGGAGCAGCGGCGGCAGCGAGGGCAGCTGGGGCGGCGGCGCGGAGGAGCTGCCATGGGCGGACAGCGCCAGAGGCCCGGTGCTGCTGGACCCCGATACGCTGGGTTTCCTCGCGGGCGACGCGGTGCTCCGCGACCAGCGGTTCACGTTGGCGGCGTCGGGGGCAGCGCTCGAGCGGCGGCGGGCATGGCGGTGGTTCGGGGCGGCGGCGTCGGTGGGCGCAGTGGGAGCGGTGGGAGCGGTGGGAGCAGTGGCAGCGGTGGCAGCGATCGCAGCAGTGGCATCTGGCGAGGCGGTGTGGGCGTGCGCCGCGCTCGCAGCAGCACCGGGCTGGGCCATCGACGCGCTGAGGGAGCCCGCTCGCGACCGATGCAGGACGCTGGGCGCGGGCTCTGCGGCGGCGAGCCGTGGTGCGCTCATGCTGGGTCGCGGTGAGGCTGCTGGATGTCTCAGGCCAAGGCGAGGGTGATGCACAGCATCGCGGCCTCGGTGCAGGAACGCGCGGCTGCGGCGACGTGGGACAGGCTGCCGTGCAATGCTCCGGCTGCGCAGGGTCGAGAATCAAGATGTCGTCTCCCCTCAATGTCACGATGCAGCAGGCGAGGAGCACCGTGTACATGTGGAGGCTAGCCAAGCAGCGCTGCGAGACAGTGCCCACGCCCGCTCGTACCCCTGGCCTGGCCGCAATTCTCAAACAGAGCCACACTAGACGTCCCCCTGTCGAGTGGCCTGGCGCAGACGTCTGCCTGTCTGCCTGTCTATCTATCCATCTATCTGTCTATCTATCTATCTATCTGTCTATCTATCTATCTATCCATCCATCCATCTATCCATCCATCTATCCATCCATCCATCCATCCATCCATCTACATGCTCTGACGCTGTCCTGCGCTTCTCGTCTTGCCTGCACCGAAGCTGCACAGAACACAGAGCCTCACGCTGGCCGCCCGGCTGCATAGCATAGCATCATGCAGAGTCCCTGGCTGCGCGCTCGGATAACCAGTTCCCGCTTGCCGACCGACCTGCGTCCCTGGCGCTGGACCCTGAGCCCTGACCGATCGAATGCCAACCCACCCACAAACAACCCTCATCTCAGCACTCAGGAGCTCTCTCACGTCCTAATCTGGCTGCCCCAATCTAAAACACCTCCTACCGCACTTTGGCACTTTCTAGCCTCGTCCCAGCGACACGGCCCATGTTCGGGTTTGATGACACTGACATGTAACTGCCATGAAGGCCACGGCTACCTGTTCCGAGCGCCCAAGCCACCGAGCCACCGAGCCAACGAGCCACCCTCTCTTCTAGCACCCATCTGGCCCATTTACGAAAACCTAGCCCAAAAGCAGTCGCACCACAGACAACAACAGCAACTCATCACGCTCATCTCCATGCTTTATTACTCATGTTATCGTTATATAGTCCGTTGGTCTTGTACTTGTGCCGATCCATCGAGCCACCAAGCCGCCCTTTCTTCCAGCACTGACTAGCACCCATCTGGCCCATCTACGAAAACCTAGCCCAAAAGCAATCGCGCCAAAGACAAGAACGGCAACCCATCACGCTCATCTCCAGTCTTTATTACTCGTGTTATCGTTAGTCTTGTACGTATGCCGACGGCCCTCAGCCGCTCCTTCCCAATTGGATCCTGCGGCAGCTGCAGCCCTCACGGTCGACCCATGCCCATGTCTCCTGTTTCGGTTCCTGCAACGCGTTTCATGCAGCGCCGTTTTGCTTTGTGACTTTGGTCACATTTGCGTTCCAGTTGAGCCCGTCGTCTGCTACGTACATCGCCGACGAGACATCCATAAACTCTCGAGACCAGCCAATCCCACCCTCTTCCAATCTCCTCTGCTTCTGGTGCGGGCTGTCGACTGCAGCCTCTTTCTACTGGCTGCGAGTCTAAATCGTACCATGTCAGTTTGCAACATCAACGCCTTTTTAATCTCACAAATCGATCATAATATCCTCTTCTTCCACTCCATCGTCCCACGCCGTGTCCATTGCGTCACCCGGCGGACCGTGCCTCTTGAGCTGTCGCTTCAGGTTTTCGATGAACTCCTTAGTCAGCGTCAATCGGTAATCGGCGTCCCTGACCTGATCGGCGAGCGCATTCGTTCGTAACGTCTGTTTGAACAACGCCTGCTGCTGCTGCTTCTCTGTCTTGGCGAGCGGGCCCTGTGTGGGGTCGAGGTAGAATCGCAGCACGACCCCTGTCTCTGCCTTGTCCGTCTGCTCTAGGCGCGCGTTGAGGTGGCCCTCCTTGATAAGCGTTTCGAGATACTGTGTCGTTTCGTCGGCGCTGCCACCCACGTTTCTAGCGATGTTGAATACGGGGATTGCCGAGAACGTTCGTGACAGTCGCGAGACGTATGCCTTCATCTGGCTGTCCAGCACTGCCTTGACAAGACCTGTGTTGCCGTCCTAGCAACGCTGTTAGCGTTGGCATGGAAAACCTTGTTGATCAACTACTTACCTCCGACCATGTCTGAGCACCTGCATTGATCTGGGCCTTCAGCTTGGACATGTTGTTGACATGTGTGTATGCATCTGCCACGGCCTCGTATGCTTTGGAGGAACCCCGGACTTGCTTGATCGCTGTTGCGTTCGCTGACCGCGGGATGCTCTTGGGCCCACCAGACACCAGACAGCTCAGCAACACCCACTTCTTGTAGGCCTCCAGCATCAAGCCGTTGGCTACGTTGGCAGACGGCATGATCAGAACGTGCTCCAGGAAGTGCTGAGCCTTGGCGAACTGTCGCAGGCCGAGATACGCCATGGCTCCGAGTACGTAATATTCTTGTATATCCACGAATGTGACCTTGTCCGAATGTCCGGAGGCTTTGTGGATGAACTCTCCACTACGCGCAACGTCCGCAGCTAACACTGAGTACTCTGAACCTTCCCTCACAGCAGCGGGTATTGACGAGGGCAGACTATGGATGTAGTTGTCAAGGATGGGTTCGGCGGCGGCATACGACCGTGTCTCGAGACATAGGCGGATGAAGTCGACGTGTGTAGAGGTGAAGGTGCCTGTGGTAGGGTCGAGGCGGATCATGGCTGAGCGAATAGGTGCAATAGCGAGGCCGGGCTGTAGGAAATTTAGCAGCGTGCTCGCTCTGACCTGGTGGCGTGAGCCAACGTACTGATCCAGCGTTGCGCGCAAGCGGCTCAACGTAGTCTACCAGCTTCTTGTACTCTTGTCCCGCATAGCGTAGTTGCACTGGGTCGAACGTCTCCAAGAACAACACCAGCTGATTCCAGAGTGCGCCTCCAGGCTGCACTGTATCTGAGGACTTCTTGTCCATGGCGGCAGAAATGCGGTGGCGGAGGGCGAAGGCGTAGGCTATCGAGTTGACTGCGGGGTTGAGAATCTGCGAGGTTTAGCTCTACACTACTGCCTTCATGCGGTCTGCCTACCTCAAGCACATCTTGCGGTGTGTCTGCGTCCTTGGACCAGTGTGATGCTGAGACACTGTCAAGCTGTCTGACAAATGCTTTTGCGGCTTGGTCATACTTCTGACGCGACTTGAGGTCCTCCGAGTCGGGCTGGAACTGCAGCAGTAATCTGGGAAGTTCGACCGCCATGGTCGCGTCTGGTGAGTGGTAGGTTGTGGTGTGATCAAGTAACGGCGATGGTGTTGTGGGGGTGAGGGCGATGTGGGGTGTTTGCCGCCTGTTGTCGTTGCGGTGTGCCTGTTGAACTATATGGTAATGTGTGAGCAGGAGACTGTCAGTGACGTATGTCCGACCCTGAGCTCCAGCAATCGCGTACAAGGAATTGAGTCGCGGGTGAACAATGTCAAGTGCAAATGGTCGGACATGAGCAGTGAAGCTCCATGGTAGCCTTGCGCATGGGCCAGCCCCACTGCGACGGACCTATCAAGTCACTTCACCGCCGACACTCGAGCACGCACGCCTTGAACAAGTTGAAACATGTTGATACTGGCTCATAGGTATCATCGCAACCGTAACGCCTTGCAAATAAGCCAGACACCCGTCTATCGTCTATCGCACAATCCCATAATCACAGTCACCTCTTCTTAACAGCCTCCTCCATTTTGCGGACCAAAGCCTTCAATCCGATACCTTTCTCGCAATTACTCTCCAGATACGCCTCCATCTTCTCCCTGACCTCCCTCATGCCCTTCAGCACAGGCAGTCTCCTAGCCTCTTCCCCGTCCAAGTGCACCAGAGGGTTGAGCAGGATGTCGAAGCACTCGTGCCAGATCTCCGTCTGCCAGTACCTCTTGAAGCTCTCCTTGATCTTATACGTCTTTGTCGCGCCGGCACCGAGCCCTGCGCCTTTCTCGGCAACAGTGGCTATGTACTTGCCGAAAAGCATTGTATGGATGATGCCTGCCAGACCATGGTAGTCGATCTGGTATGTCCAGGGTCGCGCTTCGTGCATCTCAGCGCAGTCGTTTTCCGTGAGATCCCACTCAGCCATGAACTTTACGTCTGGCTTAAATGCCTTCATATCGATGCCACGGCCAAAGTCAATCAGAGAGACGCCTTTGGACGCCCAGCCATCGCGACCATCACGTTGGTAGACCGAGTCCCATTCGCCTCTCTGCAGCGTCTCGAAACGTACTAGGACGTTGTCTGCTTTGAGATCGCCGTGGACAATGCCTTTGGAGTGAAGTGCTTCAATGGTGCGGAAGAGTTCGATCGTGAAGAACATCACCAGCTGCTCATCCATCGGGCTGCTCTCTGCGCGAGCGATATTGACGATGTCGAGGAGGGTGCCTTGATCGCGGAACTCTTCAATCAGGTAACACTCGTCTTGAAAGACGTGCATCTCGTAGGCGTCGACGATCGAATCCGATGCTCTGGACACCCCAAGGCGGCGTTTCGCTTGTCGCATGATGTAGAATTCCCATGGCGTAGGAGGCTCCTCCATCTTGAGAGCTTCCAGATTTCGGCGCTTCGGCCCAAACTCACCCTTACCCATTTGGGCGGGTGCGTTCTCGTCCTCGTCCTTCGGTGTGCTTTCAATGAGATAGACTGGTGCAAACGCCCCTTTGCCGAGCTCTCGCTTGACGGTGTACGTTCGCTTTGACCCATCAAAGATCAGCTTAGGAGGCGCACTCAAGTTGGTCATCGTCTTGTCCTGGGAATTGTTCCTCATCTTCTTGACAGCCTTCGTGTACTTCTGGATCTCAAGAGCTTTCCCGCTCAGTGCCTCAGTGTCCGCAAAGTAGCCGTCGTAACTGTCAAGTGGCGGATAGATCTGTTCCAGGATGGTCTTGCGAGTATCGTCTGCAACCGGGTTGCAGAGCAAGTCCTGGATAATTGGCCCTGTGGGCTTTGGATCTCTGAACACGACCGGCTTGGCAGCCAGAGGTTGTCGTGCGGGCTCCTCGACTGCTTCGGCGAGAAGCTCGCTAGGTTTGGGATCCGATTGCCTGAGTGATAGCTTCGTGATTTTGCCTGGGCCGTCAATAGCCTGTTCAAGGAGATCGTGGAAGGGGCTGCTACCAGGCTCGTCCTCATCACCATCCTCGAATATGATGAGATCACCCTTCGAACGCGAAGGCGTCTTGGCGTTGAGCTGTTCCTTTTGAGCGTAAGCAGTTGCAAAACCCAAAGAGGACTCGGTCTTCTCCACGATCGGGGTCATGAAGGGCAGACGGTTATTTGCAGCTTGTACGGGATCCCGGTATGGCCTCATTGGATAGTTGCGCTCCTCTGGTGATAGAGGCACGTAACGCGTCGGTAACGAGGGTGGGGCTTGCGGTGATGTTGGCGTGGCTACTTCTGGCTCGTAGTGCTCTCCTGACTTGACCAATGGATGTGTGACTTCTTCGAAAGACTCGTCATCCGAGTGCTCCGAACCCTCGTAAGGAATGGTGGTGCGGACAGTATCGTCGTTATCGTCTTCGTCGTGGTCATCCTCTGCGTCTCTGCTGTCTGTACGGTCAGACCAGGCTGAGGCAGTTGTGTTGTCGAATTCTGTCCGATCGACCTCTGTGTTGTCTGCGTCGCTACCGCTACCGCTACCACTCTCACTTTCTAAGTCGTTGTCGCCAATGACGGTGCCCAGTGTGAAGTCTCCACCGACAGTCGTCTCGTCGCCAAATTCACTGCGAGTAGCTGTGCTCTCTGCACCACTGGTGTAGTCACTCTCATCATCGTCACTACTTACCTCTTCACTCTGTGGCTGTGGCTGTGGAGTCTCCTCTTCATGCTGCTTCAAGGGCTGATTGAAGATCTCGTAGATGTCGTCCATCGCCTCTTTGGTGTGAAGAGTCATTGTAGCTTCACGTCCACCTTTCTTTCGGCGGACCTTCGACTTCTTGGACGGTGAATCGAGCTTTGCTTGGACTGATGCTGGTCAGAAATGTTATGGAACCATGTTTGCAGTACTTACTTGTCTGAGTTTCTCCGCTAATTTCCTTGACATCCATGACTTGGATCTTGCGGGTCCGATTCGCGCGCTCTTCCTTCTTTGCCCTCTTCGCTGCTTTCGCCTTCTCAACCTCCACTTGTGAAGGTGGCCTGTTCTCATCATCGCTGGCAACATCATCTTCGCCGCCTTTGAGAGGCACAGTCTGTGGCTTTGGAGGCTTCTGGAAATCTAGCTTAGGTGCTAGAGGCTCCAGCTTGGGTGCTAGAGGCTCGTGTTTCGGTGCCAGAGGTGCTTGCCTGGGTACCAAAAGTTCCTTCTTCTCTGTCAAAAGTTCCTGTTTGGGAGCTAGAGGTGCAGGCTTAGGCTTGGACACTTGTGCTGCGGCAGCCTGCTCGGCAAGTTTCTCGGCTTTTACGTGCTCTTCACGGCGAACAGCTGCCCAGTCCCGGTCAAGCCATCCTCTATGCCTGGCTCGTAGTTCTTCGAACGAAAATTCCACGGACATGGGATCGCTGTGATTAGGGTATACTTGCTCCAGGTCGACAAACACGACCTCGACTCTGCCTGTCTTCGGGTTGACGGCTTGTAATTGTTCACGGAGTGGATGTGGCTTCGACGATTCGTCATAGAGATGTGATTTGGTCTGAATACATAAGGCAAGCGCCAACCAATTAGTCCTGCGATCGTAAATAAATGAAAAGGGACATGCAGACGATGAACTCACCTCATCCTTGAAAATCATCATCTTGCCTGCGCCCTTGTTGGTCTTTCCACCCTTTAGTGTCTCGCCAGCCCAAGGACGAGCCTGTTGAGCGTTTTCCTTCTTGCGGTCTGCAATTGTACCGATGCTATCCCAGCCCTGACCGCTTCCACTCGAGCTTGTCCTGGCAGGCTCTCCCTCGTCAGAGAAGATGGCCATCTTGGGCTTGCCAGATTTTGGCTTGGTTGGCTTTTGCTGGCTCTGCGCTTGCGGCTCGGGCGAAGCAGGTGCGAAAGGATCGAGCTTCGCTGCTAGGGCCGGGCGAACAGCAGGCAGAGCAGGGCTCGATGGTTCGGGGACGTCCTGTGGCCGGCTCTCAAAACGATGCTGGAACTCGCCGTATTTTCGAATCAAGCGCTCGGTCGGCCGTGCCTCCTTTTCGATACCCATACCATAGATTTCTTCCGCCTGCGAGAAACGCCCAGCTCCCTCAAGCCACGCTGCATACTCTTCGTAGTATAGTGCCAGCCCATCGCCAATGTTGTGTCGTGCGAGAAACCTGAAGATTTCCTGCGGCGCCTCGGCGAAGAGTCTGATGTAATGCAGCCAGAGCTTGAGATAGCGGGGATCGTTCCTGTAGTGTGTGGACGATTGGAAAGCCTTTGTTGCGCGCTCGAGGAGTGGGCCTAGTTGCGATTGTTTGTCGTTCTGCGCAGAGGGGTACGCCTCTAGTGTCCATTTCACGTATCGGTCGTAGATGTCGAGCGGGTCGTCAGAGTCGTCGATGTTCATGAGCTCCTTCTCGAACTCTAACCGCCTGGCGCTGTGGGCATCTTGTGTCTGCAGCGGTGACGGCGCATGTCCTGGCTTTGCGCCGAGCGGAGGTGTATAGAGCTGTGCGAGTGCTCTGGCAGAGCGGCCGCTGGGAATGGCCTGGATGTTTTCCTTCGAATTTTCGATAATCTCGAAATCGACAATGTCGTCTGAACCCATAGCGCCGGTGGGGTATCTCAAGAAAAGAAAGAATCGAAAATCAATGTATAGAAAAAGCCCAGCGCCTTACCTGGTATCGTTGTTGTGCAGAAAGTTGCGCATGTATCGACTTGGCCGCTAGCGGGGCTGTTGTTTCCGCACCCTCGCCGCGCCTTCCCCGACTGACTAGGTTTTCGTTGCCCATGACAACCACAGCCGTCCTGAGAACATGTTCCCTCACATGTGACTGCTCCTTCGTCCATCTCATCCGAAGCGTGTCCCTGTCGAATCGAGAGACACTGGTGTCACTGGGTATCTTCCCGATTGCTAATAACAGGCACACGCGCAGCATGAGTCACAATATACATTGGAGCATCTCAGTCCGTCCAAAATTGAGCGTTTACCCCGGAGTATGTCACCCATGGAGAACATAGAGACATCCTCAGCAAGGTTTTGGATCAGATGGAGACTCATAATACAAAGCGGAGATAAAGGGCTATGTCAAAGCTTGACCGTAAAACAAAGCTTTTCTTACGTTTCATGGAACCGAATTTTCGGACGTTCACTCGTTGGGAATACTCCTGACTGCCATCATAATCATACAAAGCCCCATATTCCAGCCCAAAGGCAGACACTCCTCAACACCATACAAAGCATCCATCATATGTTCTCAGATCTCGTAAGATAAGTATCCTTCAGCCTGAGCTCAGGCGACTCAAGCACCCTGCCTAGCCTTCTCCGAACAGATCAGCGCAATGATCCTGCTCAGTTCTGCGCTCTGTGCGAATTGCTCCTGCTTCGTCTTTTCATCGACGTCTTCGCTCGCAGCGATGTCATTGGATACCGTCAACATGCGGTTCTGGAGTGCGAGCAGCTTCGACAGTGTGTTATCAAGGAATGGAGCAGAGAACATGATGTTGGTCGGCGATTGACCGGAGTTCGGCAAGCGCATCTCGAGTTTCCTGGGGGGCTTCTTTTGCACAGGTCTCTGCTCGACTGGCTTCTGCTCTGACTGAGACGGTGTCCTAAAGGCTTGTTAGTATGATGTGTTCTACGACGTACTGAGGGCGATGACAAGGCTATGTACAGGCCTGCGCACCAATCGAGGAACATAATGCTTCCCGCACCGACCGCATGGTCGATCGGATCGCCAACGTTGGTAGCGGAACGTTCGATTTCAACGGCCACTAGCCACAACCGGAAGAACTTCAAGGGCGAACGTACCTTTCACGTTCAACAAAAGTCATGTTCTCGGCCATCTCAGCGACACGGTTTGCAATTCTCGATGCCATGATTGTGTAGGGCGATGCGTGTTGCTGCAGACCGTTTGCCGCGCCGTTAGCGTTGCTCTGTGTCTTCTTTCCCGTGGTCGAAGCAGCCTTCTTGGGGCGCGAGGCGGCGGTTTTGGCGGACGTGCGGTTCACCGGTGCGGATGCTACTGAGGCAGGCATTTGAAAATTTGGTGTGAGGTTTGTATTCAGGCGGGTGTCTGGGGTGGGTTAATATTCCCTCAATGTGACGCCTGTCGCGTGCATACGGCTCGGCATACGTCGAGCATGCACTACAGTCGCATGCAGGTGGAGCGGACACTGACCTGATGACTGGATATCGAGTTTTCAAATAATGCGATACAAGTGGGTATGCTGAGGACGTTGAATGTCGAGTTCAAGGTATATCACAAAATGGACGAGCAGCTCTGGGAGAATAGGATGCTCAATATCTTGACCTGACCGCGATGACGTCGCTTTTGGCGCCTCCTTCCAACTTTATGGGGCTGCGAACAGGGGTGGTGCGGGATGCGATCAGCATTTGTGGACTCGTGGAACGCCAAACTTGATCTCGACCGTTTGCCGGATGTTGACGTCTGACACCTCAATGATGGGCCTCCTGGCATCCTCTTCGACTTATCTTTGCGACATTTGCGATTGAGCATGTCGCCCGTTATCAAGAAAAAGAAGGTTGACCTCGGCGCTGGGTTGCGTGTCTCGAAGGACAACATCGCTGCGCATCCCGCGGGGCCACCGAGATATGGCGAGTTGACGCAAGCGGAGAGGGCATTCACGCTGGCGTCAACGTTCCTGTCTGGAGTTCTGGCGTATGGCTATTCACCAGTTTCACATCTTCGTCCTTGGGCTGATAATGGCACAGCATTAGTGCATCCCAATTCCTGGGAGCACCACTGAAACTGATCGATCCCCAGTTCTATGAAGGGTACATGGCCTATACGAAAGAATGTTTCGCCATCCTGATTACATGCTTGACCCAATGGTGGGCGCCTACTGTCGTCAGAGTTAGCGGAGACTCAAGCATGGTTGGTCAACTCATTCAGAAGAAAGATGGGAGTCTGGAATGCAAGTTTGCGGACCGTATGGTTCTGATGGCTAACCACCAGCTGTATACTGACTGGCTGTATCTGTGGTGGATCGCATACACCAACAACATGCATGGCTTTGTCTACATTATCTTGAAGGAATCGCTCCGAAACATCCCAATCATTGGCTGGAGTGCACAATTCTATAACTTCATCTTTTTGGCCAGAAATTGGGAAGAAGATCAGCGCCGATTCAAGAAGGCGCTCTCACGCCTCAACGGTGCCACTCAGCCCATGTGGCTTATCATCTTTCCAGAAGGTACTAATCTTTCCTCGACCACCCGGGAAAAGAGCAAAGCCTGGGCTACGAAGAACAATCTGCAAGACATGAAGCATCAGCTTTTGCCGCGAAGCACTGGACTGCGGTTCTGCTTGAACGAACTCAAGGATACCACAGAGTGGCTCTACGACTGCACAATCGCGTATGAGGGCGTACCGCCTGGACAGTTTGGACAAGATATCTTCACATTACGCTCAACCTTTTTCGAAGGCCGCCCGCCGAAATCTGTCAACATGCATTGGCGCCGCTTCCATATCTCGGACATCCCCATCCAAAACACGAAAGCGTTCGAAGTGTGGCTACGCAACCGATGGCGAGAGAAGGACTACATGCTCGAGTACTTCCAGAAGCACTCACGATTCCCAGCTGAGAACTTCTGGAAAGACCATCTCGATATGGGCGACCGCAGCTCGCAAGGCTCGCAAAGCATACGGAGTGTCCCAAGACCGGCGGTGCAGATCGAGACCGAAGTCAAGTCAGGCAACTGGAACGAATTTGTCAAGATCTTCGCCCCGATTAGCAGCGTCTTGATGGCTTTGACGGTTGCATACGGAGCCAACCCTGCTGACTTGATACCTGGCGGGAAAGAGTTCTTCGAGCAGCACATGAAGCAACTTTTGAATGGTGGCGGCGAGATGGGCGGGCTTCCAAGTCCTGACCAGCTTGAGAAGATGATTGAAGGCGCAGCAAAACTGGGAGCAGCACAAGCTGCTGATTCACAGCAAATGCCGCAAGTAGCGGCACTTACACAGGAGAACCTGGCCAAGTTGGTGAAAGAGACCGCGATTAAGAACGGCGTCGTGTTGCCCGGTGGGATGAGACGAGCCAGTACAGCACTTCCACAAGCACCGACCAGAACTCTCGCGACACCTACGGCAGTTCCAACACGCGCGAAGAGTGCCATTGTTACCCCGGCTTCGGCTCAGAAGTCACTCGGGGCTACAGCGAAGGCAAAGCCAGCAACTGCTGTACCTACAAAGGTAAAAGCTGCGCCCGTGAAACCCAAGGTACCCGCAAGATCGAAACCTACACCACCCACGGGACCCATGAAGGAAGTAGCTCTGGCATCTGGTGTTACGATCAAGGTTCCAGCGACAGCTGTAGAAGAACCGAAAAAGCCTGGCGCGACGACGATCAAAACAGCCAACGGACTGACTCTCAACATTGGGAAGAAGGACATCGAAAAGGCGCAGGAGAAGAAGGGTGAAACAGTCATGAGCGCTGGAGGTATTCCGATCAAGATCACTTCGAGTGGTAAGATCGAAGTCGCGAAGAAACCAGCTCGTGCAAGGTCGTGTCCCACATCAAAGCCTGCGGCGAAGAAGGCTGCAGCGGCACCCGCAAAAGCACCGCCAAAGCTCAATGGCACAACGAGCGCACCGAAGAAGATCGCTACCAAGCCATCGACTCCACAAGCGAAGGCGCCGCCAAAGCTGGCTACGAAGTAGATGTAGAACATTGGGATTTAGGCACGGCGTACTATATAAGAGCAAATGGCTCAGGCGTTGGATACCCGCACATTTCAGCAGTCACTTCACAATTACTTGAACATTATAACTTCATTGCTGTCCATTTCTGACTACAATCAAAAACTCACCATACCTCAAAACGCCTACGAAGTCGTACAAAAACATACCCCAAGTTCGCACGCATCCAGACCACCATCTCATACATCACACCCAGAAATGATCGCCATTCATCCCTGCTTTTCCTCGAGGCATGCCGCGATACCCCTGCCAACTCCCATGCCACAGTTACGTCATCGCGGGGGCGGCAACAGGCATCCCAGTCTCGAGAAACAGGATCGGAGGTGTGGCGCAAAGGTGTCATCGGGCTGTCATCTGTGCACTCTCGAAAGCGACGTCCTGATACTATCGAATCATCAATCGTGGTGATCTCTCTCCAAGGTCATCGATTGAGTTGTTGATTCAGTCGAAGTCCACCCTGCCTACTGATTGAGAACTACGTCCGAACATCGCAACGTCGAAAACGGTACAATGGCTGGTTTCATCCAGAACATGATCTGGAGCTCAGTGGAAGGGTTCGTGGACGCAGCGAAGAAGACCGGCGGCGAATACGCAGGTAATGCTCTGATCAAAGCTGGCGATGCCATTGAAAACGGAGGACGGAGCGTAGGAGGAGGTACGTCTTACCAACTGCTTTGACATAAAAGTGGAAGTAGATCTGCAAGTAGCAGAAGATGAAAGCTAATCAAGAATCAGGTCTTGAGAAAGCAGCCACAGGCTACGGCTCGAAGCTCTCGGGACAGAAATACCAGGCGTCTTCGGCTTCGAAAGCGCTCCCTTCGACAGCACGCAAACCAGCTGTCAAGCGCAGTAACTCCATGCCTGCGAATACCAAGCCATCAGGCTCTCTGGCAGGTGGAAGATCAATCGCTGGACCGACGAGTGACGTGCCGCTAGGTGCGAAGAAGACAGTTGGTGGTGTGAAGAAGGCCGCTGGTGGTGTTGCGGGCGGAGCCACAAAGACCGTTGGAGGACTTACGAACACAGCCACGAAGACAGTCGGAGGTGTAACAGGCGGAGCTACAAAGAGCGTCAACGGCGTGAGCAAGACCGCAGGAGGCACCGTTGGAGGCGTAGGCAAGACAGCTGGAGGAGTCGTAGGCGGCGCATCTCGCAACGCAACGCGAGGTGTGAACGGTCTCGGTGACGGGCTCGCAGGGCTTACGGGCGGAGTATCCAAAGGCGCAACAAGAAGCGCCTCCAATTTCGGCGACGGCCTCGCAGGCCTCACAGGCGGCACTTCAAAATCCGTCGGGGGCCTTGCAGGCGGGACCTCCAGGGCAACCGGCGGGCTCGTCAACAACGCAACCAAAGGCGTCAGCGGCATCGTAAACGGCTCCTCAAAGCCTATCGGTGGAATTAGAGCGAATGCTCAGAAGGCCGTCCCTCCGGGCATGCCTAAGCCGTATGCCAGCACCAGTGCAGGCTCAAGTTACACCAACCCGTATCCTACTGCGAAGAAAGCGCCCATCAGGCCGGGACAGAGCAAGCCCTTCACACCACCGCAGACGAACGGGGACGGACCCAAGCCGTACCCAGGAACCAATACGCTACCTGGACAGGGCTCCAAGACGCCTGTCAAGAGGACGTACAAGCCTGCGCCGACTTTGGGAAGCCAGGTGGAGTCTGGACAGAAGATGACGCATATTGGGGCATTTTAGGCAAGCGCAAAGAGCGCGATGAGAACTACGACATTGTAAAGACGTAAAGAGACGGGTGTATGATACGTGAAGTTCGTTTTTTGGACGGCGTTTGAGCGGATTGAGTCTGTTGAGTCTACCATGGTACAATTTAACCGATACCATGCTTTGCCTCACAGAAATTATATGCTTGATGTTGGACGCAAGATGACATCCGTAGCAATTGGGGAGAACAATTAACACAGACGGATAATTATCGACTCCTCTAGTGTCTGATCATCGGGACCCAAGATAGGGCGTGGGTGCCGGCATCGGCCCTCCTCCACGGGGATAAGGAACCTCCCCACAATGCCCCGCACAAGCACACAGGAGACTAGCCTGCAGAGGAAATAATCGACTTCGAAATAGAAACGGGAGTCAACATCGATGCAAGCCGCGTCACTAGATCGTATAGCAGTGGTTCGAGCGTCAAGCCTCGAATAAAGTCTTGTGTGAGTCTTGGAATGCTTAAATCCCTAGATTCTCCACTCCTGTCTTTGCTGGCATCTTCGCCAACCTGCACTATCTCGCGTCGTTGAATCTCTAGAAGCTTCGCAAGATGACGCTCTTCTCCAACAAGGCTGAAAAGCCGCCTGTTGTTGCATCAGAGCAGGCTGAGAAAGATGTCACACCGGCGCAGATCGAGAGTGGTCCCGCGGCGACGGCGATTGATCCAGAGATCGAGAAGCGCGTCCGCAGGAAACTAGATATGAACCTCATACCACTGGTCTCAGCGCTTTATCTTCGTGCGTATCACCATTTGTATGTCCCGAAAGTTGGAGTCACTGACAGCTACGCAGTGGCCTTCCTCGACCGCTCCAACATCGGCAACGCAAGAATTGCTGGCATGGAAACTGATCTGCACTTCGCGCCCGGAGACTACGACTGGCTTCTCACCATATTTTACATATCCTACATCAGCTTCGGCTTCCTCGCCATAATGTGGAAAGTTGTGCCGCCACACTACTGGGCCACGTTCTGCGTGTTCACATGGGGTCTTGTCTCGACCGTGCAAGCAGCGAGTAACTCGTGGGGAGCGATGATGGCGCTGCGATTCATCATGGGCGCGTCCGAGGTTGCGTATGGACCTGGTGTGCCGTTCTTACTGAGCTTCTTCTATCTCAGGGATGAGTTGGGGCTCAGGAGTGGACTCTTTCTGAGTGCAGCGCCGCTGGCGAATACTTTTGCAGGCGCGCTCGCGTATGCAATTACGAGTGGCAGTCCGGCGTTGGCGAAGTGGAGAGTGCTGTTTCTTGTCGAGGGGCTGCCGACGGTGGTAATGGCCGGCGTAGCCTTCTTCTTTCTACCTGACAGTCCGGAGAAGGCAAGGTTTCTGAACAGAGAGGAGAGGGAAGTTGCAAGAGCGAGGGGTGTTCGGCAGGCCGGTGAGGCGTCACGTATCGGTATGCCGAACTTCAAAGAGTTCTTCGCTGGGTTGGTCGACCTCAAGGGGTGGATTCTGGGGTTGATGTACTTCAGCTGCAACGTGGCGTTCTCGTCACTGCCTGTCTTCCTCCCGACGAGTAAGTGCCAACTATCGATTCGTCTCTTTTACATGCTAACAGACACCACAGTCTTGAAAGAGATGGGCTTCAGCAGCGTCAACGCCCAAGGTCTGACCGCACCGCCGTTCTTCGTTTCCTTCCTCATGGTCATCACGACATGCTACATCGCGGACCGCACCCAGCAGCGCGGTTTGATGGTTGCTTTGCTGACCTTGATCGGCGGCGTTGGGTATGTGATCTTGGCAACCTCGCACTCGGTGGGAGCTCGATATTTTGGCGTCTTCCTGGCAGCGGCAGGCATATTCCCAGCGATTGGCAACATCCTGCCGTGGGTCACCAACAACCAAGGCTCAGACACACGGAGAGGAGCAGGCATCGTGCTACTCAATCTGATTGGGCAGTGCGGCCCGCTGCTTGGAACCCGCATGTACCCCACGAGCGAGGGACCATACTATGTCAAGGGACAGTCAGTGTGCGCGGCGTTTCTGTTCTTCTGCTGCTTGTTGGCGCTCACGCTGAGGACCCTGCTTGTCTGGGAGAACAAAAAGCTGGACAGGCAATATGGCACTGTTGCTCAGCAGAAGCTAGCCATGGAGGAGGCGGCTGCACGAGGCGAGGGTAAAGAGGAAGTGATGGCTGTGGAGAACTACGGGCCGATGTTCAGATATGTACTGTAGTACCACTCGACATGTCGGAATTGATCCCTGAGAATTGGTGCTTTTGGTGGAATCAGATGTACATTGTCAGTGAGGGGATGAGAGGATGAAGATGGATTAGACTCGACTCGGTGCTATCCAGCTTGAATGCACGACGTTGAAGTGTATGTCGCTAACCTCACGTGCAATAATTATTGCAATCTTTATGCAGCGGAGATCAGCGTCAGAGAAAACCGGGTCTTCATCGGAGTAAGCCTTTGGTTCGCGCTTGCGCGTCCGGGTAGCCTAATACGGAAATTGCTCGCGTGGACAAGTTTGGCCGTCACGCTCATCGGGGAAAGAGCAATGCAGTGCAGCAAGAGGGCTTCACAGTGCGGTTGGAAGTTGCCACTAGCCACAGCAGCCAACACACTGCAACTCGAGGACTCCAGTGGTTGGGCAGAATTAATTGACCCCGGCACGTACCATGGTTCCCGCGTGGGGAGTTAGCGATAGGCCAAACCCGAAGAAGCGAAGCATCTGGCCCATGCATCACGGCAATGCCGTCACAGGTCTCGATCGCGAAGAGCTCCAGCCCGTTCCAAAATCTTTGTCTTCCTCACCACCTGGCGCTGCCATCCGCACATACTGGACATTGGGATCCGACGGCGACGGCGAAGAACACTTCCAGGCTTCTCTTCAGTCTCGTTCCTCCCCATCCTCGTCCACAATGGCGCCGGGCGAGCCATCGCGTCCGTCAGGGCCCACGCCACTGATCGACGTGTCTGGCAACGGGCAAGACTCGCAGCAGCCAGGCGCGGGCGCGGGCGCGGGCGCGTCCTCTGCAGTCGGCAAGAAGAAGAAGCACCGAGGCGGCAAGAAGAGACGCAACCGCCGCCAGTCGTTCGCTGCGACTGCGGACATGGGCCACGCTGACAGCAACGACGAGCGCCCGACACTCGAAGACATTGCCGGCCATGGCAACTCGCGCGGCAGCACCAGCTTCTACGGCCTGTCGCGCAACCTCAGCAACACGAGTCTCGAGAGCGAGGCGCTGCTGGACCACCGCGACCACCAGTCTGCGCGAACCCGCCGGCAGAGTATTCCCGCTGCGGCCATGTTTGCGCCGCGCGCCAGCCAGCCCTTCACCAACTCGCCCGCCCGCCTCAATGTCCCCTCGGCGTACGGCAAGGCGCGGCTCTCAGGCACGCTTGGAGGCAGCCAAAGCGACGACGATGCGGACGACCGAACGCCCCTGATGATGGGCTCGCCGCGAGACGCCCGGAAGGGCAACAGCTACGGCACAAGCGCTGGCGGCATTGTCCCCAAGAAGCGGCGACCCAGCACCGGCAGCGGCAAGCAGCGCCCTTCTATTTTCGGCCACCACTCGCAGACCAACATCAACGAAGGCTACGACGTCAACAACCCGCCTTCCGTGCCTGCCAGTCCTGTCTTCGAGGCTAATCTGGGGCTCGATGACGTTGCGCTTCCCATTGACTTGGAGCACTCGTCCGAAGGAAGGTCGCGGGACGCCCTCATCGACATTGACGGATCTTGTGGAGACTCAGGCTCTCAATCTCCCAAGCCGGGCGACTTTCACCGCCGCATGACCCAGTCTTTTGCCGCCGACGACGATGTCTGCTTCCCACATGAGGGCATGTCTGAGATAGGCCAGCAAGACTACCTGAACGACCCCACAGGAGAGCCCACAAGTCGCCGCCGCCGCCGCCGCTGGCCGGACCTGGACGTGCTGGCATCATGGTCGCACGAAGAAAAGGAGCAGCGCACTATGGAGGGCATCCGTCTGCGTAAAGTCAGCGAGCCCTTGATGGTCGACGGCCGACTGCGTCCGCGCCAGCGCCAGTGGCATCGCGAGGCCGACGATGCTCCGTTCCGCTTCACCTACTTTAACGAAACCTTCGACAACACCATTCACAGTCAGACCATCAGTGAACTCCTGCAACCTGGCCAGTCTTTCAGACATCTCTTCATCCCGGAGCCTGTTGAGCTCGAGGACAGCAGCGACGACGACTCGGACGTGGAGGACATGATACGCACGACCGCGAATGGCAACTCGAGAACCCCCACACGATCGCCCTCGAACACGCACGACAAGGTTTCGTCTGGTGAGCAGACCCGTACAAGCACACCTCGGCCTCAAGCAGAATCAAAGGCCAAAGATGACAACAAGGAGAAGCGCTATGGTCCCAGACCGGCCTGGTGGCTCGACGTAATGTCGCCCACCGAGACTGAGATGAAGGTCATCTCGAAGACGTTCGGCATCCACCCATTGACGTCCGAAGACATTCTTATGCAGGAGCAGCGTGAGAAGGTGGAGCTCTTCAAGCATTACTACTTCATCAACTACCGTACCTTCGAACAAGACCAGAACAGTGAGGACTACCTGGAGCCTGTCAATCTATACATCGTCGTCTTCCGCGAGGGTGTGATTAGTTTCCACTTCTCCATGACGCCCCACCCTGCCAACGTACGTCGCCGCATCCGGCAGCTGTCCGACTACTTGGTGCTCTCGCCCGACTGGATCTCGTACGCCATGATCGACGACATCACCGACGCATACGCGCCCATGATCCAAAGCATCGAGGAAGAAGTCGACGACATCGATGAAGCTATCCTCCGCCTGCACAACGCCCACGACGACGACAGCTCCGACTCGGACGAATACGACGAGAAGCAGAGCAAGGAGAAGAGCGGTCGTGATATGCTGCGTCGTGTGGGCGAGTGCAGAAAGAAGGTTATGAGTCTGTACCGCCTGCTCGGCAACAAGGCCGACGTCATCAAGGGCTTCGCAAAGCGCTGCAACGAGCACTGGGACATTGCGCCCCGCAACGAGATAGGCATGTACTTGGGCGATATCCAGGACCACATCGTTACCATGACGGGAAACCTGTCTCATTACGAGAAGTAGGTCATTCGCATCCAACATTTGATCATCGCTAACTAGGCCAGCCTCCTGTCGCGTGCTCACAGCAATTACCTCGCTCAGATCAACATTCGCATGAACGAGCGTCAAGAGCAGACCTCGGATATCCTCGGCAAGCTCACCGTCCTCGGCACCATCGTTCTGCCCATGAACGTCGTCACGGGTATCTGGGGTATGAACTGCATTGTTCCTGGCCAGGATGTGGAGAATCTGAACTGGTTCTTTGGCATCACGGGGGGTCTTGTCGGCTTTGGACTGCTGTGCTACATGATCGCGAAGAGAGTTTACGGCATTGTGTGATTCATCGCATGTGACTTGGTGTCGCTGGGAGGGTTTGTGATCGGAGTTGGTGGCTTGCGAATTGTATCGTTGCTTGGGTAGAAAGGGGGGTGTAGTATGCATGTGGCGACGAGCCTGGCGTTGTTAGGTACATATATACCTTGGTCGTTACCTGTTGCTACGGAATGGATTGCGTTGCTACGATATGTCGACCTGGACAAGTCCGTGTAATAATATTATTGTCCAACGTGACGCTGAATACGACTAGCGACAAGAAGTTACAATGCACATTCCCTCGTTTCAGCACAAATGGCAATGCTAAACCCGCCATGTCAAAACTGACCTATTCTACCTTCGCATGACCCAAGATGCGCAAGCAAACACAGATGTGTGACTTGAAAGAAATGGTATTGAGTAATCTACAGAGCCATCGCAATCAGTCGCTAGATGCAACGACTTCCAGATCCCGAGAAAGCAGACAAACACATATACACGCTCAATCGAGAGCACCGTCCGTCCTCAGCTTTTCGTTGCCCCAGAACTCGCCCTTCAGCGCTGTCAATCCGCCCGCAGGCTCGCAGCTGACTCGTCCGCTCAGAGGTCCAGGAGAAGGGAGCTTGACGCCGCCGGTCGCGTAGCCCCGGCCCTGCGACTCGAGTGCTGCCTCGCCCTTGCTGCCCTGCTCCGCTCCGCTGGCGCTGGCGAGTCCGGGGGCGCCGGGCTGGGCGCCCGTGGTCTCGGTGGCGTGCTTGAGCGCGTTGAGAAGCGACTGGGTCGTCTCGTAGGTTAGGTCCTCGTAGAAGTCGTCGTTGATCTGGAGCATGGGGGCATTTGCGCATGCACCGAGGCACTCGACCTCGGTCATGGTGAAGAGGCCGTCCTTGGTGGTCTGGCCGTGGTGGATGCCCAGCGTGTCCTCGCAGGCCTTCATGACAGCATCGCTGTTGCGGAGCATGCAGGGCGTCTAGCAAATCGTCAATAAACACCCTCTCCCGCGCATCTGCTCATTCTTACCGTTGTGCAGATCTGCACATGGAACTTGCCCACGGGGGTCCTGTTGTACATGGTGTAGAAGGTCGCGACCTCGTACACGCGCATGGGCGGCATCTCCAGTATCCGCGCAACCTCGTTCATGACGCTGATGCTGCAGAACCCGTGCTGGCGCTGGCCGAGATCGAGCAGCGGCATGACGGCGGCCTTCTTGTAGTTAGAGGGGTACCGCGAGACAATCTCCTGGATGAGCTGCTCATTCTGCTCCGTGAACTTGAACGGGATTGAAGGGTTGTTCTCAGGGCTGTCGCGGTGCTATAGTAGGCGCATTAGCAGTGCAATTGGCCTCGGAAGGTGCTCTGCAGAGTACTCACAACCATGAGGTTGTCGCTGCGAGCCGGCCGCGAGACGCTAAATGCGCGCCATTGGGGGCGCTGGACGCGCAGGGCTCGCGAGGCGCTGCGGAAGGCGAGCGGGACCAGTTTCGAGGCCATGGTGGATGTGCGGGTTGGAGAGGCGTTCACAAGCGGTCGTGATGTCGTAGAGCGCTCTTGCCCAAAGTTCCGCCGCAGCGCAGGTGCCACTCGTCGCACTGGCCAATCAAATTGGCGCATTCATAATCTCACACATCATCGCGATCTTCGCCGGCAACGCTCTACGTAGACATCATGGATAGATACTGCAATATTGAACACGACTCACCAACGACTACAGATAGTCAGGAATGGCACGACACGGTTCGGAAGACTGTCGATCTCGACCAATTACTTGTGAAATGCATACCGCCTCATCGCTGTCGCCATTAACAGTACACTCAACAGTACACTCGTCCTTTCCGGTGTTCTCTATCGTCTTCAAGCCCTTTGCAACATAGGACAGTTCGGAGTTTTTGCATACTACCGAGATGCATCTGTGGTTGCGCTGCGGTCAGTTTGTAGGACTCTTCCCTGCCAGCGACCCACACCCAGCCTCCACGCAAAGCCAGAGCCCATAATCCACGTGATAGCTGGCGGTCAAGCTGCACGATGCTGGCAGCGCGGTATCCGCAGCCTTCTATTTCGAAACTTCGAGTCCGGATCTAGATGGGTTTGCTGGCGCTTGCGCCTCACTTTGTGGGGGCGAGGCGAACAACCAGCTATTCACACGTTGGTGTTGCTGGCAGTGTATGCACCTAAAAGTGACCACGTCGAACCACTAACGCACATACATTCCAAGGCTCCACTTCGAAGGTAGGCGGTGACATGATAGCGGTTCGTTTATAATCTACAGCATCCACAAACATGCTCTCAGCATTGTTCTTTCTGCCACATACACCACCAGCTACCCAACGTCTTAAGGCAGCGGATTCGGAGGACAGACAGTCCAGCATGTGTGTCTTCACTTTTACGTATTTCGAATGCGGCCACAGAGGCGAAGATCACATCGACACGAGCACATGCAAATACTTCAAAAGGACTGGCGTCCACTGCCAGGACGACAACCCGCAACACAGGCTCAGACCGGGGGGCACTACGATCGAAGTCAAGAAGAGTAAGGAACCAGGAAATTGTGTTAAATGCTTTCGAGTGGAGCAGGAGGCAATAGCACGCGCCCTAGATGAATCGAAGAAAACCGCCGACGAAGAGGAGAAACGTCGACAAGAGCGCGAACGTGCGGAGCATGAGGCGCGACGGAAACAGAAGCGCGCAGCAGACGAGGAGAGAGCAGACAATGTAGAAAAAGCGCGTCTGGCGAAAGGCCGTCAACAATTCGAGCAGAATGAGGCCGAACAGAAGAGGAAGCGAGATGCCAAGATAAGGGCTGCTGCTGCTGAGAAGCGGCGTCAGGAGGACGCTGACAAGAAAGCGAAACGGGACGCGAAACAGAAACAGGAGAAACAGGACGCAGACTTAGCAGAGAAGCGGCGACAGCAGGAGCTCGCTGAGGCTAGGGAGCAAATAGCGAGAGAAGATGAGCTTGAGCAGGAGCGCAAGCGGCAAGAGAAGGTGAAGAAGAACGCCGAGAGAAAAGAAGCCGAGCACCAGGAGTCTCTCAGGCGATTGAAAGAAGACGCAGACCGCAAGCGAGCTGAAGATAATAAAGCTGAACGACGGAGGGCTGCTGCTGAAGAGCGAAGACGCGAAGAATCGGAGCTCGAGCGTCGGCAGAGAGAAATCAATGCCCAGAACGTGGCCCTGGAGAAAGCGGCACAGGAAGCAGAGGAGGGAGAAGAAGACGCCGAGCATGCAAAGAGGGTCGCACAGATGGAAGCAGACGTCAAGGCCGCTGAGAGAGAATTGCAGCGGAAGCTGGCACAACGCAGGGTCGTATCCGAGACCGAGCCAACTTCTCCAACACCAACAGAGCAAGCACTACCGCTTTCGAGACTAACATCACCTTCAACTAGATCCTCTGTTGACTACGGTGTGGTGATTGGCCACCACGGACCTCAAGAACTCGGCCACGGTATGCTCGGTGGTCGACGCATACCACTCCACGAATCGCAAAAACGGCCCGAACCACTCAAGACCCCGATTTCACCGCCGATTAAGCGTGGTCCAGCAGCTATCAACCGCCTCGGAGGGACCATCGATTCTAGCCCGTATGACTACAAAATCCAACAGCCTAGTCTCGTCGCCACACCTGGTATGCCAACGCCGGACTGGAGGAAGAACGCCCGACCAACATCAGCCTCAAGAAGCATTCCTACGCCCGAGCCGACCGGCGCGACTTTCGAACTCGAAGCTCGGTTGGCCAAACGGAGAGCTTGGGAGGCTGAGCAGGAGAAGCTCGAAGCAGAGAAGACCGAGCCAGACTGGGAGATAGTGAACCAACCGGCCAACTCTTCAGCCATTCCAACGAAACCCACATCTCCTGCGCTGCAGGCACCGACAATGTCAACCTCTCCCCCGCCAACATATCCTGTCGTCCCTCCTCTCGCGCACCCAAAGCTAGGATTCGCTACCCCTTCCCCTTCCCCGGCAATATCAAAACCCAAGCCTCCAGTCCCGGTCAAGCGCATACCCAGCACATCTTCCCCATCGCAGATGCCCTCCATCCCCACACCTCCACCGCTACCGTCCCTGCCAACACGACTCCGTATCGACTCTGCGGCACCATCGCCACAGGTTGGGAGTAAGAGGGGCGACGATTGGGATGATGACGAGAGCGAGGACGAAGACAGGTTTGGTAACGACGGTGCGTGGGATGATAAAATGACGAGGAAGCAGTTCTCGGCTGAAGATGTGTTTGGAGAGCAGAGGAGGAAGGGGTGGAGGATGGAATGATGTGTTGTTCAGGCCGACGTAAACTGCACGGTGCCTCAGTCATATAGAATTCTCTAATCGGGGACCCACCCAGGAAAGTGTTGCTGCCACAATGTTCTATTATTTGGTATTATCTGGAGTCATGAAGAGTTGGTGGTTGCCTCGATAACAGATGGAAATTATCGTACCGGCGCTCAATTAGAACATAACTACTTGGGCAATCCAGCCTCTGGCTAATTCTTTCTCAACGCAGTCTTGCCTGGGCGATGGTTCGCGAGCTATTTTGACCTAGGCATAAGTGCGTGTACTGTGTGAGCTTTATATTCTAAAGCTTCGAAGTTACGCGTGATGCTCTAAAACTGGCTGGGTTTGAGCAGTCTGGTGACAAACGTAGGACGGACTGAGAGGTGCTCCGCATCGAACCCATTGAACAAAGGACGCCATTGAAGGTTCAGGAGTCCGTGAGATTGACATCTCGAGCGAGGCTTGAGTCTGTATATTTCTGGCACCCACGACTGTAGAGTAAACTGCGCGGTAAGTAACCCTGTAGTACCATTGCCGTGGGTTATATCTCGGTCTCCATACGAACACGCCGAGGATGCTGCTAACTTCAGAAAAACCATTTTCTACCTCCTTGGTTTGCAACTGCTTGAGGGCCACAGACAACCTATCGCGCACTCCGATGTATTACAAGTATACTGTGCTGCGGAGGCGATGTCCGTCATGGTTTCACGACATTAGCATGCATGTGCTTAGACGTGGTGTTACGAAACGTCGGGTCTGCGCGTGCTGCTGCGCGAGGAAGGTCAATCGCTCGGAATGTTGAGCAAGAGCTGAATCTCTATCCCTGAAGGGCCGGTGCGGCCCGTGGGGGTCATGGCTCTCGTCGAAGTTGTTCGGATGTGTCCAGGCCTGAGTCCAATACATGTCCGACCCTTTTCTATTTTCGAACTTGTTTGTTCAAACAACGTCACGATCGTCTAAAAGTCGCTGCTCCAATTACCTAGATGGTGTAGCTATTACTAATCTGGCAACATACCTGATCAGTCAACCACCAGTACAGTGTGTTGCAGCATAATAGGAGGAAGCCACAGTGAGCAGCAGATGCGTGTAAGAGCGATAATCCCATTCCGTCTCGGTGCAGAAGCTGGTGTGTCTGGCCGTTGCAGAGGTAGGGAGATTCGTTGTTCAGAAACCTTTACCTCATGGCAAATGGCACATAATTTTTTCGTAAGCCATATCACAATTGTGAAGGTATTCGATTAGCTGACGATCGTAGGTCAAGCTCGCGGGCTCAATGTTTCCGCATGAGAAGCCGGCGTCCAGAGGGACGAGCGGCGACATTCACATGAACATTGTCTAATAGATGAAGTAAACATGGAGACCGTAGCCAACTTTGAGCATAGTCCTTCTGTGTTTTTCAATGCACAAGTTGATTGACGTGGTCGACGGGCCGCGGGGCAGTGACCGAGCTGAGGTTTGCCGAGCGGGGCGTCCTTTCATGGCCACTTGTGGCCCACGATCCAGAAGAACCTTCATAGCTCCACCCAATAATTAAAGCCACCGGTTACTACCTCAATGTGCCCGTTTACCGGAGGCTGTTCGTCAATCCCAATTGGAGTCCCTGCGTCCGCTCTGTGAGTCGCAGAGTTTTGAATTAGAATATAGAATGGAACTTTTGTTTATAATTCATCAATCAGAACAGGATTCTTAACTCAGTGGTAGAGTGCGGGATTGCAGTTATCGAATATCCTGAAGTCACCGGTTCGATCCCGGTAGGGTCCTTTTTGCTGCCTTTTGCTGCAATATCCTGGTTTAGCAGGAAACCTGGACTCAACAGATCGACTTGTTCAGCCCCTTCTACGTTTTCGCTGCGGGCATTCCTTTCGGTGGTGGCGAGGTAAATGCGCTGTCGCCTCACGCACGGTGGAATCACGCCTTTCTACCAATGTTGACATTAAACTGAACTTTACTCGAGGCTATCAAAGGCCATGGCGTCGGAGCTGAGCAGTGGCAGACGCTTAGAGTTTCAGGCATTACAAAGGAACATCGTGCACATTGCGAACGTCAAGTACTAAATTCAAACACAGCCCTTTCTAGCAAGCTATGCGAAACTGTGTATTTATGCTAGCATCCTTCTGCTTTATGAGTTAGGCCGCCTCCGTCGAGTGCCCAGCGCTGCAACTCAACACCATGCAGCCATCGCCACCACGGACCGCTTGATGGCGGCTGATCGCTGCTTTTGTTTCGCCAGCTAACGCGAGGTTGCATGAGCCGGTGGCTCGCTACCCGCTAAGTGTTTCATCAACCTTGCTGGCTGCACCCTTGCGTGGGCTCTGCGATACTGCGGCATGGTATTGTACATCCATCGCGACGAGATGATATCGAGATTATTGCAACGTCGACCTCGTGGTCGCATGGCCACTGAACTCGATGGCACGTAAATACCACCGTGATACTTTGGAAACTTTGCTGCTGGTCGATCGGTGTGTACAGAGAACATGGCCCTGGATACGCGTCAAAGAACGCCATCAGATGACCGCGGGAACACGTTAACAGAGGCCAGACTAGGTCGAGTAGCGTTCCACCGAGTTGACCGTCAGGAACGTTTAACTCGTTCAGATCTGGCCTTGCCTGTCGAGGCCTGATACCAAGACCGCGCACACCGTTGCAGATCTGACCTGCCGCTCGTGTCTGCAAGGCCACATGCTGAAGCTGCAACGCACCAGTGCAAGTCTCACTTTGCGACAGTCGGAGCTGGTCTCGCCGCAAGAAAGTGTGCTTTGCGCGGACAGGCCGGCTCTGTCACGGCTGCTAGCGTTCGCTTCGGCAAGGTACAAAGGTACAACATGTTAATGTGGGGATGATACTCGAGCACCCCCTTGCAGCGGCGCTTGTGTACGCTGTTAGCTTGCAGTAGGTCCCTAACCGGGCTCGCGAGCCAATTGCTTCCTCGGGAGACGCTCAGCTTCGCTAGGGAGATTCACGCCATGCTCGCAGCACCCCGTCTGCTGTCTGCTTACGGCTCTCCTTGCCCATCTGTTGGGACAGACCGCGTCGTTTATGGGCGTCGTCGAGGGCAGCCATCCCAGGCGCTGTCCCTCATGCATGTGAAACGCGGCAGTGGCAGCTGTGGTTTCGTCATCAATGTCGGACTCGAGCACGCTTCACGGCGGCCGCGAGTGGATGTCGCACTCGTCCAATCCAAACGACACGGACAAGGCAAGGGTTTATGGCTGCGCAGGACTGTTCAGGTATCCCGGACAGCAGACACTGCACAGAGGCCCCGCCGGCAGCGCTGCGGCCGTGTGTCCTGGCACAAGGGCCTGCAGGAATGGTCCTGGTCGAGCAACGAGCAGTGAGCGAGCATTGATCATCCAGGCTCGCTCAGCGCAAGCTCACAGGCGCAGGAGGGGCAGCCGCAGCCAAGCCACGCCTACTTGGAGCGCTGGATGCAGATCCCACCGCTCACCAAGCTGTTCTGGGGTGGTGGCAGTGGTGGATCGGACTCTAACCCAGCCCTTCGCCAGCCCAGCGTGCCAGTCAGTAGCAGGGCGCGCGACAAAGCCGCTAGCTCTGCTTGTCCGTGCCTGACCAACCCCTCCAGCGAACAATTTGGCCCTTCCCTTGGTGTTCAGGTCATCTTGCGCGAGGCCCCAATCCCGCTGCTTCCTGCACGACACTGTTTCCTGGCCTCAGAAGCCTTGCTAGCTCTCTGCGACCCTGAGAGCCGCATTCCAGCATTCCACGGGTTCCCGCGCACGACGGCCTACCCGCGTCAGCTCGTGCCTGTCGCTGCGTGCATCGAGTCCGCGCCAGGCCATCCTGAGAGGGGCCCTCCCGGCAGACGTCTGCGCCTTATCATACCTCCACCAAACTCCGAGTATCCGCATCATTGTCGCCGCAGCACTCCTCGACGGGCAGAGCACTGCGACGCACGACGCCACTAACTGACCTGAGATTTGAGATTCGCGATTCTGCGAGCGCTGTTCTTTGCTTGCAGGCTGCCTCTTCGCGCGCTGCGTCCGGATGTTGCGACGACACGGCTCCCCATTCGTCATCACATCCGTTTCAGCCTTCCTGGTTCCGCGTCAAGGAAGGTGCGAGCCACGGTCGACCAAGTAGGCCAGCATCGCTTCCGGGAAGAGTCCCTGCACTCGCCGCAGGAGCTGCTTCACCTGCTTCTGGGTTGCTGCTGTCGCTCGCCGAAGCGCACGCATTGCGCACTGCGGACCGTTGACGTCGTCAGCGCTCAGCCCGACACGCACACAATATCCTTCAATCTTATACAGGAGCTTAGCTAGCCCAGCATGTCGAGCTTCCAAGCAGTCAACACCACCCTGGACGTACCTGAACCGCCGCCAGCGCGCTCTGGCGCAGAGAGCACACCCACGACTCCACGACCAGATGCTCGATTCCAGAAGGATGCACGGGGTGGCGAGGATGTCAAGACAGAAGACCCCTTGCTGAAGACGCCGACGCGCAACAGCTTCATTGGTATCGCCGGCCAACGACCGCTACCTTCCTCGCCCTTCGGACCCACTCGCGAATTTAGTGAGACTCCTTCCACAAAGAGCAACCTAAGCAGAGGGCAGTCACATATCTCGACACAATCAGTAGACACAACAGAAGACGTACACATGGGCGAGGGCGACGAGGACGACGACAAAGACTCGGACAACGAAAGTGCGACCAGTGAGAGTGGCCGGCCGTCAAAGAAAAAGAAAGGGCAACGGTTCTTTTGCACCGAGTTTCCTCCGTGCAACTTAAGCTTCACAAGAAGTGAGCATCTTGCTAGGCACATTCGGTGAGTCTAAGACGGAAGCTGTTCCATGCCTCAGCACTGACGAATGGTAGTAAGCACACGGGTGAACGACCGTTCCAATGCCATTGCTCTCGCCGCTTTTCACGACTTGACAACCTTCGACAACACGCCCAGACGGTCCATGTAAATGAGGACATCCCAGCGGAGTCGCTCGCAGCGACTGGCACGAGGTTTCAAAGACAGATCAGGACGGACCGAGTCAGGCCTCCTGGACCGCGCTCGCGAGCAAACACACTTGGAAGTATGGGTGGTCACAGCAGAGGTCACAGTAGGAACCTGTCGACCTCGAGCATAACGTCGACTATTTCGGCCATGAGTGTTGCACAGTCTCCAGACTCTCGACGTCGACCTCCTCCCCTTGCTATGGCCAGCGATGATTCTGCAAGAGTACGGCTGTCGCTTCAAACTATGGAAGCTTACAATCCACCACTAATGGGCAGCCCTGGTCCACAAATCCTCGAGTACGACTCTCCATCAAACGCTCCGACAACACCTACCTCTACGACCTACTCCGGAGTTGCCGGCAGCCCTGCACAGTTTGGTTCCGCTATGCAATCACCTGCTTCCACGTCTTCTAGACCGGTCTCATGGGCTGGTCCGCCACCTGGCCGTCGCTTGTCCAATAGTAATCCTTTCTCTGGACCACCCGGAAAAATCCCCCCTTCGTATATGTCTCCGCTGCAATCGTCAGCTGCATCCACGTTCTCGGCACAAAGTAGTGTCTACGCCAGCCCAGTGGTTTCTAACTTTGCAGGACAACGAAGAGACTCGAACACAGATGCAGACTGGAGGAGGCGAACCTGGCACCCGGGAACATACACTGGTCCTCGACCAGCAACTAGCGGTCTTGGCTACCACCAGACACCTGATGCTGATCGACCTTCGTACACGTCGCAGCCAGCCGCATCGCAGACTCGACTTCCTGGTATTGAAAGTTTCGACTATGCACCTCCGCCACCGGCTCTGTCACGCCCCCCACCTGGACCAACGCCTAGCGATGCACCGCAGCGCCCTCTCACTTACCACGCACCAATCGAACCTCTACCAGGTGTCGGCCATAGGAAACGTATGAGTGTGTCTTGGGAGGATACTATGCAAAGGGGCATCAACCGCCTAGACATTACTGGATCAGCATCCCCACGCGAGTCCTGGTTGCAGTACCCTCCTAATGGACAACCGGCCACCACACGTCCCATGACCGCGCCTCATGGCTACTTCAGTCACCAGCAGCTACAGCACGTCTCGCAGCCATTGCAAACCCACCCCCATGATGCCAATCGTGGTTCTCAGGAACTGCCTGCTACACCTCGCAAGAACAAGAGGCAGGCATGGTACAATGGGCCCGTCAGCCAGCCAGTCAGTCAGCCGATTCGAGCCATGCAGCGCACTTCTCCGGAGGACTCGAGTAGCAGCGAAGGTGTTCCTACCCCTGGAAATACGACCATGAGCGAGTACCATCCGGCGATTGTGCACAGCAATGGATTTGTTGAAGCCCACCCATCTGGAGCACATGTGGAGGAATATAAATCGGCAGCCTCAATCATGGACAGACCGCATCCTCTCCACAGTGGTGGCTATCAATCTTACCATAGACACACTCTTTCCAACTCCAGCTCTAGCTCGACCTATCGACCGCAGCGCGAGCCCGAGAGAGGTCCTGCTCCATTCGGCCAGCCATTACCCTCTCAAGGCGCCGACGATATGAGACGACTCGACGCCCTTGTGGCAGTGGCCACTGGTGAACATCATGCTGTCGACAACCTATCCTAAAGCCCCCCCTCAAACATCACACCCACATCAAACACGAAGTTACGGCCATCACAATAACATATTTTTTCGGACTGACGTTACGACATATATCTCCAACTTGGTTCACTACCACACAACACCTGGTTCCGCATTTGACTCCGACGATGGAGAGGACCCATTTCGATGATACCCCGAGTAGGCAAGATCCACTCGTATTTCGGATATCTGAGCCGGCATTCTGTTCGTAACGATTCAATCGTTCAGCATTTGCATGATGATTTCTGCTTGATGATTAGCATTGCGGCACTGGCTTTCAGGTCTTGGAATATACCAAATCGATGACAGCGGGCGTTCTGCTGTTGCTCTGATCTTCCTGATTTATTTGACTTTAGCGTTGTCTTACGGAATCTGCTGAGCTTCGGACATAGTAATGATTGGACGTTGTTGGTTCTGGGTAGCAGTCACTGGACCATTTCTACTTCGTACATAATCTTCGCAATGAACTACCATGCTTACCTTCAAAGCTCAACAGCATGCCTTCTTGAAGCGTCCGAATGATCCGAATTTAACCGACCACTACGCAATGGAGATATCGCCAATGCAGCTACTTTGATCAGGAATTAGACTGTCAGGTACGACCCTCACGGAGCGGTAGTGCTGACCCGCGTTCGATGGTGTTTGTAATGTGCCTTATTAGGCAAGTCACGCTTAGACCCCTACCTAGCGCGATCGACGCGCCGAAAGTTTTGGGGACAGCATCGCGCATCATCACGGCTTGTCTTTATTGCTTCATTCCTCCTCCCACAACCTGAGCCCTCCTTTCCTGTCGATGTCTGCATGCTCGAATACCCTTCGGGCACTCTCTCGGTCTCGCATACCCACACACAAGACGCTCCTGCCGTTCCTGTACCAGACGGCCACAATCCAGCAGTTGAAGCACGCCGCCCAGCCCATTGCACGTCGCAACATCTCACGCTACAGTCCCAAAGATGGGCCGGCGCCTACCGAAGACGTCCCTTTCGAAGACAAGGACAGCCTACCGCCCGCGCTCGACGACCTAGAATCGCCACGCAAAACCACAATCACTGGCTCCGAGCGCGCTGCCTTCGAAAAACTTTACAGAAAGTTCAACACTCGTGGCAGCCGTCAGAAAGAGAAAGATCATGAAGTTGAGATCGACGCGATCGCAGATGAATACTGGGAGCCGGATGAGGAGGAAGATCCCGAGAGCAATCTGGACAAAATCTTCGACGAGGCCCTGAAAAAGGGGGCCGCCGTGTCGAGGGAATGGAATAGATCAGGTGCAGAACAACTGAGGAGTAGGAAACCCAGACAAGATCTGACGACCATGGCCGAGCATGTCTTGAAGGGTACCAGCCCACAGGAACTGAAGGTACGCGACTCGCGCGCGAAAGGAAGAGAGGAGGCAAGCGCCTCCGCCATCAAGCTGAAGAAAGCACGCCTCCTCGAACGCGGGCGCATAGACGCTCTTCTCACATCCGCCAAATCCGACCGCGAGCTCTGGGAAACCCTGCACCGCCAAGTCTTCGACCAGGTGCGCGCGCTGGACCTCGACAGCACCACGCCCAAGAAGCGCGAGACACGGCCTCGGAACTCCAAAGCTGCACAGACACCTGCGTCCACCGACCCAAAGATCCTCTTCTCCAACTACCCTCACCATCTCCTCACCGCGCTCACAACGCTACGAACCCACTTCCCCGCCTCTGCGCTCCCCATGACCCTCCTGCCCACCATCAAAGCGCTCGGCCGCTCCTCCTACGCCCTCGGCGCCACAACAGCGCTTTATACACACCTCCTGCGCACCGCCTGGTTGCAGCAATCCTCATACCCCCTGATCGTCAGCCTTCTGACGGACATGCACAACGGTGCGATTGAGTTCAGCGCCGACGTGCTGGGCGTGCTGGATCAGGTGATCAAGGAGTTCGAAATGGCGAGGAGCGGACGGCTGGGCAGGGAGATGCAGATGGTGTACGGCATGGAGCAGTTTGGCGAGGGGATACGGGAGGTGCGGAGGTGGCGGGCGATTGTGGCGGAGAGGGTGGGTGTCGAGGACGGGAAGAGGGAGAAGGGCACTGTTCCTGTGCCGAGGAGGCGGAGAGCGGAGATCGATAAGGCAGAGCATGTGCCGCTCGTTGAGGGTTCGAATGGGGCGGCAGAATCCGCGCAGGAGCAAGTGCAAGGTGAACAGGCACAGCCTGCAGAGGCACCTGAACCCGTTATACTAGTGCATGATGTTGATGCCGGTGTCGACTTTGGGTTTCTAGGAGAGGAGAGCGCCGAGGAAGTGCCTCGAACGGAAGAGGCCAACGGCGAGCCCAGCGCCCAAGTCGGCGAATCGCAAGAGCAGCCAGACGCCCAAGCAAGGGAGAAACTGGACGATGAGGTCAAAGACAACCTCAAGGAAGAGCAGGACAAAACGGCCGACGAGTCGGAAGCAACAGCGAAGACCTCAAGCGGCGAGCCCGTGCCGTGGACGCCATCGTAAGCGCACTTGTACAATACGTAACAACAATGTAGATATGTAGACATGACAGCAGTGACTCGAGTAGTGACTGCGAATTCAGCAACGACCAATAATTAATCACATCCAAAACCGAAATATCGATTGAAGAAGTCGATTTCATCTATCACTTTAAATCAAGCACAACGCCACAACAATGCAACCCATTCACCTTCCTCGGTTCTTGTACTGCGTCCTCCCACTCACAGCGTCTCCCACCCGCCATTGTTGATGTCCCCCTCTAGTTTCCTCGCGATCAAACTCTGAATACCACCCTCCATCCACACCTTCCTGAGAAGCGCATCATACCTCTTCTGGTTAAGGAAGAGCTGATGGTGGCGCCTTAGCGTAGGGTCGACTTCACCATGTTTGTCGAGATACGGGGCGACAGCCCAGGTGCCGTGGTTGCGGTTGAGGAAGAGCACCATGCACTTCCGGATATGTATGAAGATGCCGATTTGGCCGCCGCACCTACAAGTGTTAGCCTACCATGATCTGGTGAAGAGGGTGGGAGGATGGTGGGATGGGGAAACGTACTTGGCAAGATGCTGATTACAGCCGCCCCGCGAGCCTTTAGCAGTCATACAGCACACAGCCTGGGAGCACATGATTTCGCCGCAGAACAGGCACAGTGCTGGGTCGGTGAGTTCTTTCCCTGTTGTTGGACACTTCCGGCGTATTGCCTCGTCGGTGAGCGTGTCGTAAGTCTTGGGCAGGCCGACGAGCTCGAAGATGGCAGGGTGCGAGAGCGAGATTGTAGGGCGAAGCGGTTGATTTCCTGCTTGCGCCCACAGGAGGTGTCGCACCCAGCCGCCGACGATGGAGCGCGTGATCTGGCCCGAGTTAGAGCGTGCGGCGAACGATGAAAATATCTCGTGCAGGGTCGGAAGGCGCAGTAGCGTGGTGAGACGAGAGAATTCGGATTCATCGACCTGGTCCATGGGAGTCGGAGGTAGTTCGATGCCACAACGTATGTGCATCAGGATTGCCGCTTTGCGCAGGAAGGGAAGGGCGTAGGAGGATATCATGGTATGTATGAAGTAGAGGAAGTTAGGGTTCTTGAACATGTCTGGAATGGGCATGTTGTCAATGTCCGGTGTTGCTGGTGAGTCCTCCATACTGGCAACATTGAATATCGCACAGACGAAGAAGAGCAGGCCATTCAGCTGATCATCGGAGAAGAAGCCATTGCTGACTTTTTCAGATTTGACAAATCGTTCGGGCCGTGAGAAGTGAGGTGCATTCTGCTGGCCTTCGGTGGTCTTGGTGTATGCCAGGACGACACGTACCATCTCTGCCATGTAAGACAAGCGCAGGACGTGGTGTATTTCGAGACCTGTAGCAGGAATAATGCCTACTGCGCACTGCGTAAGGAAGATAAATGGGTCCTGACACAAGAGAGGCATAACGGTCTTCAAATCAAGCGGCAGGACCTCCGGATCGAAGACACCAGGATGCCCAACAAATAATTGGCGAATCTGCTCGTGCTGAGTGCGGAGGTACTCGACTTCCGTGAGACTCGATCCTTGGTTCCCGAGACTGCCAATGGCAATATAAGACGCCACAGTCTCTGACAAAATTTGAAGGTGGGTCAGAGTTTGTGGGGAAATCTTGTCGATCAATGTGCCTCTGATAAATTCCGTCTGTACACCACGTTGACCAATCTCTACAGCGGAGATCGAGTAGCCAAGGGCTTGAGCGAGCGAGTCTGTATGGGTCAAGTCTTCGATCTCAATCCCCATGTCAGGTACGTGTTGAAAAGCGGACGGAATATCGTTCGAACGGAGCGTGTCTCGCAGTCTCTGATATACCTTGAAGAGCTCAGTCATGGGTGTGACAGGCGCGACAGGCTCTGGCTCTGGCTCTCGCGAGGCTCCTGCCAAGAAGGCTGGAATCTGGAATCGGTGTTGGTGGGGCGGCGCTGTAGTCGCTTGTGCAGGCGGTGGGAAGACGGGCGCTCTGACAAGATCTGGTAGGTGACCAGCGATGTTCTGAACGAAGTCTTGTTGACCGTAATCAAAGAGGTTCTTCCGGTCTTGCCCGAGCCCAACAGCCGAACCCTTGCCTCTGTCATCCTCGAAGATCTTGTTCATCGCTGCAACGCGGGTCTCGAGCCACTCCTCGAACGATACGGCCGTCTCAAGCGCGCCAGGATGCAGTATCTTCTTCGGCTTCCAGATGATCGGCAGGAACATGTTGCCGAGGGCCTTACAAAGTGGGCACATAAACTCCTTGAACTCAGGGCGCTCAGGGTGGTTCCTTGCGATCTGTCCGACATGCCGACGCTGCGTCGCCTGGAGGTAGACCTCAAAACAGGCGTAATGCATGATGTGTCCACACCCAGTGGATACTGGGCCCGAGTGAACGTGGCCACGTGGGAAGCCCTTCCCAAGAGTCTGCCTCTCTGTGGCAACGCGTTCGCCCCCAGCATTGACTTTCTCGACGATGTGCCTATTCTTTCCAGACACGCCAAATGGACGGACGTCGTCTGCGGAGCGATCGAGACTGACAGGAGTTTGAGTGACCTCGTCTACCCAATCGTCGTCTTGTAGATCAGTCTGTCGAAGTATGCGGCTTTCTGAGACATAGCCGAAAGTACCGTAAAGCTTCTGGTCGTTGGTCTCTTCCTGGCACAAGATACAGGTGCCCGAGGGATATTTGAACGTCTTCTCTTGCTCAACGAGGCCACCGTCTTCGTCTTCCAAGTCGCTGAAGTCATCTTCGCCCCAGTCAAAGTCTTGATTGGCCATGAACTTGCCCTGCTGTTCTTTGAAAGCTGCCATGACCTTCGCTTGCCGCTCCAGAGCCTGCTTCTTCTTCAGCTCCTTCTCTTCAAGCCCAAAGCTAGCAGGTGAAGCAGTATCCATCCTATCGGTCGGTACGTTCAACGCTGCAGCAGCTACAATGAACTTGTGCTGTTGTCGCTGCTTCAGTCTGTGCAGAATCAGAGTGATTTTTGACTCGCAACCCTTGTACTCCTCCTTGTCTTGGATGGCTAACAAGAGCGAGAGGATCGTCGGTCGCTCAGAGATTCCAACGTTCGCCGATTGCGTAAGTATCGAAGAGACAAAAGAGTCGGGCAATTCCTCAGACCAGTCCTTTTGCTCAGACTTATCCTCAAGAATGGCAACGAGGAGCAACTGCAGCACGAACTGGATGTATGCCTCCACACGCGTCGCGGGTATGTTTGGTGTGGCGGAAGTTGCTTTCAAACTGTAGCCCAGGAGGTAGTACATAACCTGTGTAAAGAGCGGGGTTCTCGTAAAACTAGCGATGTTCTGGAACAGACCTGATGTTACTGGGCGAAGACTTGGTTCGAAGACAATGTCCCTGGCCTGCTTTCCCGTCTGTTTCGCTTTGTAGATCTTGAAGATATTTTCAGCCTCTTCTCGCTGATTCCGGTTGTATTGGTGGACGTAAGGATCAATCAAGTCAAGGTACTCTTCCTTGAGCTCAAAGGTGCCGCTATCTGACAGGCCTTCGGGAGCTCGGAAACGCGTCATCTCACGGAGTACATCGGGGAACTCGTCCATGTTTTGAATCCGATCTGACAGGCGTGCAGTCATGTCAGAGAAGGAGAGTGGCTTGAAGCATAGCACGTGCGCAATATCTCGGCGCATGGCAGCGAGGTGCGAATTGTTACTGTCCTCTGCTGCAACCAGGCAGGTGCGATCGCTGAGAAGTATGATCAAGAGATGTACGAAGTCTTCGACTACATCGATAGCCTGCGTGTCTTCAAAGCCATGCTGGCTAGCGTCGTACTTTCCGGTCATCCACCCCATGAGGCCGAAACGATCGATCATTGAAGCCAGGAATACCGAAGGGTTGCAGAGTACCAGAGCCGACTGAAGAAGGAAGAGGTCCCTCTGGTGGCAAACATCTCTTTGTGAAACGCTCCGATACTGATTCATCTGGTGTCGGAGCGTAACGCCATTCCTAACCCAAATCCCTGCCCGCATTTGAGCCAGCCACGCACACACGCGGAGAGGGAAGTCAAAGACGGCGAGCAGGTAGTCTTCAGGCTTGTGTGATGAGATATATCCGGGACTGGATCGAATCAGCAATTCGTCACGAGTGAAGAGAAGCAATTGTTGCACGTGAGCCGGTGGCATGCTTCGTGCTCGATCGATCAACCAGGACAGCGTGTAGTGAAGAGCGTGGTGGAAGCTCATGTGTTCTTTTGCAACAACGTAATCGACGATCTTGTAATTAGGACCGATCAACGTCGACGAGTTGGCATCGAACTCGAAGACTTCCAGGGTCTTAAACTTAGTTTCGTCCTTAAGCTCAGCTTGATCGAAGCGCCTGCGCTCGGCACCCAGCGAGTTGATTGTCACCACTTCAGCTGTAGCCCGGATTGCACGGGAGATATTCGTCGCATCTTCGTCGCTCTTCCAGGTGAACGAGTCCGCAAAATGTCGACACAGTTTGTTAATCTCTCTCGTGATGAGTGACGCGCTGATCCACAATTCCGATTCGAACTCAAGGTGCTCGCCGATAGCGCGTTGGTTGGGACAGATGCCTTGGTGTAATTTGACTAAATCCAGGAATTGCAAAAGATACCGCGGTTGTTCGCGAATCTTGTCTTGGACAAACTCCGATGCTAAGAGGTATTTCGTATCCATGAAAAAGTGATGTAGTCGTCGGTTCGTTACTGCACCTTGCTCAAATGCCAGAGTAGCCTTTGGATCGACGTTTGCCGGGTAACCGACTTGACGTGTCGTTAGGAAAGTGTATAGAATAGCGAGCAGATTAGTAAGGAAGTTGCCACGTTCCACTACCTCTGATGTGATGGAAGGCGTCGTCAACATCTGGAGCGATAGGTTGATAATCGAATGATCTGGTTCTCGATCGGCAATGAGGAACAATTGCGCTAAACCAGTGTAGATACCAGCAAAGCGTAAGCCTAGCAGGCGCTTGAACTCGGGGATAGACACCACGGTGCTGATGAACACGTCGCGAATGCCGATTCGGAGTTGCTTCCACATGCGCAGATCATACAGGATGAGGCGATCGAGACGCAGGCGCTGCCAGAGATCCTCATGAGCCGGCGTCCCAGGCCTCCTGCCGTACCCTTCTGGCTTCTCCAACCAGTAATGCGGAGGTCGAGAAGGCCTCAGTGGCAGTGATCGCGTGTGAGGCGTTCCAGGTACCGTCATCAAAGGCTCGACATGGCTGAGTGAAGGTGCGCCAACAAGAGGCTCGCTGTCTGACTCTGCAGGAGTATCACTCTGCTCATTCTGTGCTCGTTGGCCGACCGAGAACTGCGACGGTGCTGGAGGAGGTGGAGGTGGAGCAGGATACCCTGCCATGGTGGCCTCGGATGTTTCGAGCGCCTCGTCCGCGCTTTCGAAAGCCTCCATTTCTACATCTCCATCATTATCCTGAGCACCAACCTCATCGATGTCCATATCTTCGCCGGTATCGGCGGCGCCTTCTTCGCCTTCATCATCACCATCATCGAACTCGTCGTCTGAAGCTGTTGCCTCCTCGGTCCTATCTGCTGTGCGCTGCCGCCGTATTCTTATTATCCGGGGCTGCCGTGCAATAGGTACGAGTCCTCGAAAGAAGCTTCTTTCCTCGGCCTCTCGATCCTCCAGTTCATGATCGTCTAGGCCATCCTTGCCGATGCTCTCGTTGGACGCTGCACTTCCAATGCGCCAAGGCTTCAGCATCTCCTCGCAGACGGTGCGTCGCAACACCTGGTGATCAGCACCCGCGCTGCACCCAGCAATGTCTGAGATCCATTCAACGATACCACCGCCCATCATCTCCCGGAATGTGTCTCGCGCAGAGCGAATGGTCACGGTCAATTTGATCTCTTCGATGATCTTGGCCATGCGAAGTAGCTCCTTGAGATGTGATCTGTAGACAACAGCACTGCGGCCAACATCGTTGACTTCATGGGCTTTTGCCAGACCAAAGGCCTGCTTTTGTTTGCAAGCGCGGGCGACTTGCTCCTGGACGTCGGTTACAGTATGCTTCTCGTCGTTCCAGAGGACCAAACAGTATTCCTGGTTTTCTTCGTACTGATCGCCGGGGTCGTACCACTTCGAAGTGAGGCGGGAGTTGCGCTCATCCTGTAGGACAGACTCTTCGGTCTTGGGTAGGCGCAGTTGTTCGGGAGAGCAGGAGAAGACGTCGATCAGGTAGTCCAAAGACCTTGCAATGGTCATACGTATGCTCTCGAGCACTTCGTCCGGCAACGCTGAACCTTCCTTGGCCTTGCCAGATGCCTTGCTGCTGGACTCTGCGTCCGGCGAGTGTATGTTGCAGTGGACAGGCCGTATCCACGCTTCTTCGTCTCCACAGTCGCAGCAGCCGGAGTTGCCCGGCGAGACGCTGACAAAGACCTGGTGGCCCTCGTGGTCTGAGGCGTCGAAGCAACGCGCGCAGAGGACGCATGTGTCATCAGCGGTGCACGTCTTGCAGCGATATGTGCCCTCTCCGTTCTTAAAGATATGGCCACACGGCTTGCCCTTTGCTGCAGGTGTGTATTCTGCACCCTCTATGGCTCCTTGTGCGTCTCGCAGGCTCCATGGCTTCTCTTGGTCGGCCGGCAGCCCAGAAGGGAAGAAGAGAGGGATGTGGGCTTCATGGCCGGCGAGGGAGCGGAAGAGGATAGCGCGCAGGTCGCGGTCTGCGTCTGGAGTATATCGGTAGTTGTGCCGGCGAGGCAGTTCGCGCAAGTTGCGGCAGAGCTCCTGCTCTTGCGGCGTTGTGTACATGGCGCGACCAAGCTGCAGGCGGCGGAGATGGGAGGTACTTTGTATTGGTGGGGCTGGCTGTCGATGCGCGCAGAAATCGCGCAAGAGGCCGACGCTGAAACAGTTGCGTATTACCAAGTACGAAGGTAAGTGGTCCTGCCAGCTCAAGGAAAGTGTCCTGGCACAAGCTGCAGGTGTCGCGTTGGCAAGGCAAGCGTGAAGCTATCCATGCGGTCATATGAAGAAAGCCCCCGCAACCGCGGCGCATGTGTCGCAGAACTTCACTTTGATTCAGCAGTGGTTTCCTCGAAGGTTAGCATGCTGCCGTAGACACCTCTTCGTCACGAATTTATAATCGACATAGGTTAAGACAGTCTTGGTTGAAAGCCGCGTTGTAGCTATATAAACACTACATCCAGTACCACGTCCGGCGGTCCATGGATGCCACCTAGATGCGCATTCCCGCCAGCACCAACGAACGAGTTGTACATGCAGGTCAACCAACTGTTAGTAGAGGGTGCACACTCGTCCGTACGCAGGGGCACAAAGAAGCAGTCGTTGGATGTCAGCACTCGGCCGTGGTATTTGCAAGCTGTAGAATACACCCCAACGTACAGTGCCCGTCTCGAAGAAGCGTAGGAAAGATCGGTCTATGTCATGTCTGCTCCAGCTCCCAAATGCCCTCTACTCGTCGTCCTCGGCCGCCTCGACGTACTGGTGCTTGATGTCCTTCCATTGGCGCTGTCCTGCCGTTAGCCTGCGTCGCCCGCATCTCTCGCGAGTTCACCTACGCCCTTGTTGATGTTGTTCCAGATGCGCTCGGAGCCCTGGTCGAAAGCCCTGTACAGTCTCAGTATTGCTGTTCCTCCATCTGTCGGGCCGGCGCTGCGACGTACAGCTGCATGCCGAAGGCGGAAACGAAAACGGTGCCGAGGAGCGTGATGTTGCTCCTGATGATGGCGCTGCGGTCGCTTGTCAGCAATGTGCCGTCGTGGGCTTGTGCTAAGGGGAGGCTTGCTTGTAGACGGTGTTCGCGAACTGCTCACGGCGCTGTTAGCAGGCGGCTCGGGGCCGTGGAGATTTCTCAATTGACTTACGCCGGACATTGTGACGGGGTTTGCGGAGCGCGGGAGGCTGCGGAGACGGATGTGCTGGTGCTGCTGAGGGTAAGGCGAGGTTGTGAGGTTGCGGAGAGAGAATCCGCTCACGGCATTTGGGCAGCAGAGCTGCGATTGGCCAGTCGCGCTGTCTGTTTCCACCACTTCAACTTCCATGACCCAGATGAACTTTCTCCACCACACTAACTTGGAGCTGCGAGCGCACAAAAGGGCTCGCACGCCCACGAATTTGCACATCGGTCAACAGACAAAAGCACCTTTCGACGCACCTTTCGACGCCCCAGCTATCCCTCAGCACACCGCGCAGTCTGACGACACTTATTGCCTAACCCCACCAAGTCACCCTCCCCCTCGACTCTTGGACGTTTGCAATTGTTGCGCCAGCAGCCATGCCCTCCGTCGAAAGCACCTCCGCAGTCTCGCGTGCTGGTATTGCTACCTCTGCCACCGGCGAGCGTCACATCCCCTCCTCCGTCCGCCCCGACGGCTCCGTTCGCAAAGAAATTCGCGTGCGCCCAGGCTACCGGCCACCAGAAGACGTCGAGCTCTACAAGAACAGGACCGCCGAAGGCTTCAGAAACCGTGGCAAGGTTGGTGTGCCAGGTGCTGAAAACTTGAAGAAAGAGGAGGACCCCTCCAAGAGCAGCGTCGCAGCCAACAAGAACGCTAAGCGCAGGGAGGCAAGGAAGAAGGCTGCTGCTGAGAAAGAGGAGGAAATTCCTGCTGAGTCTGCAGACCCTGCCGAGCCCGCCGAACCTGCGAAGCCGGTCGATCCCGAGGCTGAGAAAGAAAAGGAAGCGAAGAAGCTGGTCAAGAAGCTGCGCCAGGCGCGAGAGCTGAAGGACAAGAAAGAGAAGGGCGAAGGACTGCTGCCAGAGCAATTCCAGAAGGTCATCAAGATCAGCGAGCTTGTCAACCAGCTTGAGAAGCTCGGATTTGATGCACAAGGCGAGAAGAAGCCAGCTGAGACTTGAGGCTCTCAAGGATGCCCCGCACTACCTCCACAATCTCACGTTGCACAAGTCGCTTTGGCCGTGAATGAACGATCCCACAAAGTAGCACTGCTCAAGGTTGTGGTCTGCTTGCCATTGTCCTACCCAGCCTGTGCCGGTGTTCGCACAGCATGACAAACCATACTTCCACACGGAGATTTAGTATGCATACCTGGGCTCTTTACCTACGAATTAGCAAGCAGTGCAGCTATTTGACCGATTACGGCTCATGTTCTGCGACCGCGGCCACCAGCCAGACGTCACTGCTCGTTTGCACCGGCATTATACCCATTGGCTTCCGCCTGTCATAGTAGACTACATCTAGCAGAAGAATATACCCACGACAACCGAGCCGGCATTTGAACACGGCACAGCTATTACCGCCACTTCTTTAGTCTTCATTGTTCCCACTCACAGAACGCAGATTCATCCGAATGCGCACCATCTTCAACACCTTGCGTCGATCCTGATGATCACACACTGTTTCGACATCGTATCATAAAGCCCAAAGTCGCTCATCGTTCGCAACGATATCTCCTCCAACCTGGCCTTCACAAGGACCAATCCAGATTCATCCGCCTTCTTTACGCCCAATTCTGGATTTCCACTCGGCGATCGCTCCTTCTCACCCCTCCCAATAAACTTGGCAAGGAGGCTACGCTTCATTTTATGCGGCCCCTCGAACTCGCTTCTCTCCCGGATCGGACTTCCCAGCTGTGGACTCGCATTCAAGCTATCTCTTAGCACCCGCTCCAGCTCTACGATGACAGCCTGAACTCTCCAGAATTCCGTCCGGTTCATCTGACCTTCAAGACGTACTATGTTTGGCTCCTCTTCTGATGCGAATCCAAGTACTTCCACAGCCTTCGATGTGTCAGTGTCGAAGCTGAACTCAGACTTTTCCTGCACGGCCGGTAGGGGGATGTCGGATGGCAGCATGGCGATGGTAGTTTGTGCGATGCCATATGATGCACGCTCTTCGACGAGCGGAATGATGTGCGTATCAATGACCAGCTGGATGTGGTGTGCGCGCGTAAGTGTCAGCTGGTCGAGGATTTGCTGCCCTCGGTGCGCATTCAGACGGGAGAAGTTGGGAACTTCTGTGTACGACGGTGGCAGCTCTTCTTTCTCGTTCCGTGACATGTTCGCGCTCTGGTTTGAAGATCTCCGGTTTCGAATATCTTATGAGCAAGTTGCCGGATGATGGGCACGAGACTCAAGTATCGGCCGAAGTTTGGGTGCCGGTGAGTCGAACAGATAAGGCCTCCCTTATTCCCGGGTTGGCCTTGCCAGTCTGGTCCGTGGCGATGTTCGAGATGATGTGATCGGTAGAAGCCGTCAAAGATGCGTCTCAGCCTCAAGCGAACTATGTCATACAGAAGCCCAATCACGGACCGTGAGTACCTCGTGACCTGAACTACCCTTGGTGCGAGGTGATGTAGAGGTCAAGTAAGCGGAGATGCGCCAATGAGGGTCTACAAAGTGTTGCATATGTATTGGCCGGGCCGAGAAGCTTGGCATGTAGCTCAATGTACTTCGTAGGTGTCCGTAGAGCGGAGGAAGGTGAGTAATGCGAACACCGAAGATGTACTGGAAAGTCTGACAGAAGGCTGTAGAGAACATGTGTTGCTTTTCTGAGGCATGAGTGGTCAGCCTTTGACAAGGCCTTAACAAGGGTGCAGTAGCGAGCGGTCAATTCAGACTTTCCATCGAGCGCGGAGACATGTCTTTCAAGAGCGATCGTCGCCTCCAAGGCCAAGCTCAGTGTTCGGTCAGGTGAGCGACTTGTGGGCTGTGCTCAAGGCTGACTTTGTTGCCTGAACATTGACCTCGTTGGCTAGCGCGGTGCACGGACCTTCCCCGGCTTTCCACCGGTGTACGCATTCGGCTGTTTTGTCTGCAGGGCTGAGCGAATATTTGTGAGAAATTTTGATGAATGGTAGGAGTTATAAAGACAACGGTCCGCCCTGCTTGGGATGCCTCATTAGAAGCGGCGTTAAGTTCAACTCTGAGAACCAACTCGTACTTGCTTGTTGCATAGTTCCTACCGGTATTGAGCTCGAGGGACTTCAAATCAGCTTGAGGCCCACACACTTTACAAACCACATCTCCACAACAGCATCCTAGCACCGCAAGCTCGAGAACCCTTACAACCTCAATAGTTCCACAACCGTCAAGATGCCATGGTACCATGTAGCAGAGCCGAACTCCTACCTCGTTGTCACCGGTGTAGGAATCGAGAAGGTCAAGATCCAGAAGAAGGTAGCTCGTCACAAAAGCAATTTCAAAGGTTCGATTATACTCATTATCTCCAGGCGTTCGTCTATCCCTTCCAGAAGGTCTCCAAGATTAGCATCACACCGTTCGACTTCTCCATGTCGTTGCAAGCCATGACCATCGAGAAACTCAAATTTTCTCTACCAGCAGTCTTCACCATCGGTCCCGCTGATGACATGCTCTCGCTTGAAAAGTACGCTGTTCTCCTGACAGGCGAGTCTGACGGACGGCCGACCGCAGGAGCGAACAAGGGCACAGTCACTGTCGCTGGAAGTGACGGCCGCAACCATGTCCAAGACATTGTCAAGGGCATCATTGAAGGCGAGACCCGAAGTATCGTCTCCACCATGACGATGGAAGAGCTGTTCCGCGAGCGCAAAGTCTTCAAAGACAAAGTCATCCAGTCCGTGCAAAGCGAACTCGATCAGTTCGGTCTCTGCATCTACAATGCCAACGTCAAAGAGCTCCAGGACACACCTGGCAGCGAGTACTTCGCCGTTCTCTCGCGCAAGGCCCACGAGGGTGCCCTCAACCAGGCCAAGGTCGACGTTGCAGATGCTCGCATGAAGGGCGAGGTTGGTGAGGCCGAGAAGCAAGGCAAGACCAAGCAAGAAGTCGCCAAGATCCACGCCGCCACCGCAGTCCTTGAAACCGAACGCAAAGCCGAGAAGGCCACTGCAGATGCCAAACTCACAAACAAGGAGATCCAGATCGGCAATGAATTGAATCTCGCCCGCATCAATGCCAAGCGCGAAGCCGAGCAGCGCGATGCTGAGCTGCAGACTGAAGTCGAGAAGAAGCGCGCCCTTATGTAAGTTCAGAATCATTTAAGAATAGTTGTTAGTGAAGCTGACTCTAGAATAGGACTCTAGAGCAAATGCGAGCCACCAAAGTAGTTAACGCTAGGATCGAAAAGGAATCCTCACAGCAGAAAGCCGACGCTGAGCTCTACGCACAGCAGCGTGCAGCAGAAGGCTTGAAGTTCTCGGAGCAAGCCGAAGCCGAAGCAGCCGCCTATCGTCGCCTGCAAGACGCAGACGCGGATTTTAAGGCCAAAGAGCGCGAGGCAGAGGCCAACTTCCACGTCGAGAAGCGGAAGGCAGAGGCCGAATACTTCCGCCGCGAGCGCGAAGCGCACGCAAACCTCATCTCGCAACAGCGCGAGGCCGAAGGTCTGTTGGCCATGGCCAAAGCATACGGCGAGATGGCCACAGTCCTCGGTGGACCGCAGGGCCTCATGCAGTGGATGATGCTGTCCAACGGAACGTATCAGCAGCTCGCCAACGCGAACGCGAAGGCAATCCAGGGCCTGCAGCCGAAAATCAATGTCTGGAACACTGGAGCGCAGGGCGCAGATGGCTCGGTGGATGCCACGGCGCCGATTAGGAACCTCTTCCAAAGTCTGCCGCCCCTGCTGTCGACGATCCATGATCAGACTGGCATGGCGCCGCCGAGCTGGTTGGCGCAAATGCCACAACAGCAGAATCTGGATCCGAAAATATCGGAGCAGTTTGCGCTGAGGAATGGCAGCGAGACTTCATAGGAGAGATGAAGGCGCGCGTGGGTCGAGTAATGGTAGGTGATGCATGCGTCATGGATGATTTACCCAGGAGTTTGGATAGACCAGCGCTGTTTCTTTAGATGTCAGCTATCTTGTGTTTTAGCATGGCTCTCAATGTACTCCATGATCTTCGACATGATTTTTAGGCACCCCGAATGTGCTATGATCTGCAGGTATAGATACTTTCGTTTATCCAAGCAGATACATGAAATGATCCTTCTCATCTCTCTTTATCTTCCGCGATTCTGCTCTGACCGTTCTCTTTCACTTCGTGAATGGATCATGGCCTCGTGAACCCCGCATTGCTCACCGGTGACTCATTGCGGCTTCTTCTCCTCCCACTGCTCAGGCGTATAGCACTTGGGCGTCCAGGCATGGATGGCAGCAATCTCCTCCTTCAGCGCTGCATTCACCAGCCGGTGTCTTGCCAGTGTGGTCTTCTTGGTGAACTGTGGCGAGACAATAATGGCCTCGAACATCTGCCCACATCCTCCTGTACAGCGTATTAGCTCGTGATCCCGCGACATTCAAAACGAACTTCTGCAACAGCCAAATTTGCAGGAAGCAATCAGAGAAAGTCAAAACGTCGTGGACTGGCAACATACCACTCATGTCTTCGATCTCAACATGCGTCGCTCCAAGAGTCTCCATCAGCTTCTGCTTGATAGCCTCAGGCGTGACGCCCGAGCTGGCAGCATTGCGAGCCGCTTCGTCGTCTGTGCGTGCACTCATGATTGCGGGATTTGTGCTGTCGACGAATAACTGATCCAGTGATTTGGTGAGTTTATGACGTGGATCCATCGCGTTGCTTCTGCTCGCCGACGATGTGCTGGTGCGTAATCTTCGGATCTGATAAGGGACCGCAGAGGCGATGGCTCGGGTTGGCGATGGCGGCCCTATGAGGTGACGTAGCTCAACAAAGTCGTGTCTGGAGTGAGGGGAAGACGCGTCGAGCAACAGCCATTGTTTGTCTCTACAGAAGAAGCAATTGTGACCTGAAGGTATGCTTGCGAACAACTGGAAAGTGTTCACCCCCTTCTTTGCTGCCCCAGGTGCAGGGCCAGAGTTGTATGCAGTCGGCTAACGAGCAGGTAGCCCGAGCATTGGAGTTACATACTTTCGCTCTCGCACTCGGAAACACCTGCATGTTCTTTCCGACCTTGAGACGCTATTTCACTGCTACAATGAGTGCCGATACCAGTTCGGCGCCCTTCTCGCGGGCCGTGGTGCGGGCTATGCAAAAGCTGTAGGCAACGTTTACGCGTCTATCGAAGGAAGCGCTGTCTGACCCAAACAGCTATCCAAAGGCACTTGCAGACAACTCTTGGGACAACACTGGACTGCTGCTAGAAGCGCCATTCGATTCCTCGCGACGACAGACCAACACGGTGCTCCTCGCGATTGACCTTACCCAAGCCGTCGCCGACGAAGCCATCGCCGTCAAGTCCTCCATCGTGGTCGCATACCACCCCATCATCTTCCGCGGCCTCAAGTCGCTCACCCTCGAAAACTCGCAGCAGAAAACCCTCCTCCGCCTCGCCAGCCATGGCATCAGCGTCTACAGCCCACACACCGCCGTCGACGCCGCGCCAGGAGGGCTGGGAGACTGGCTCGCCGACATCGTAACCGGCACAAAGACAAGCTACGATGCCTCACCCTCGGCAGCAGTCACGCCCGCACTGCAGAGCGAAGGCGACCAGGATCCCTTCGTGCAGCCAAAGGGCGAAGCCACCCTCTCCGTCCAGCGCCCAACCTTCCAGCTCCAACACCACCCCAGCCAAACCACCCTCCGCCTCTCCAAAGACCCGCCCAAGACGACCTTGATCCCGCACACCCGCCGCCCCATCGTCCCCCAGTCGCCAGAGATCAAGACCCACCCCGGTGCGGGCATGGGCCGTGTCGTCGAGTTCAAAGAAGCACAAGCACTGCCCGCCCTCCTTGATCGGATAGGCAAGGGTCTGAACAACCCAAAAGGCTTCCCGATCGCGATTCCTCAGAACGCACAAATCGGCGATATCGAGATCCGCAGTGTGGGCATCTGCGCCGGCTCGGGCGGCTCTCTGCTCGGGAACCTCGATGTTGATCTGCTATTCACGGGAGAGATGAGCCACCACGAGGCGCTTGCGGCTATTGAGAAGGGCCAGGTGGTGATCAGTCTGTTCCACAGTAACAGTGAGCGGGGGTTCCTGGCTGAGGTGCTGAGGGAGCAGCTGGAAGATACAATTGAAGGGGAGTGGCAGACAATCAGGGATGAGGAGAAAGGCGACGAGACGCTGAAGGATGCGCTGGCTGATGACGAGTTCGAGGTTGCGGTCAGTGAGATGGACCGTGACCCTTACGGAATAATGGTTTTCAAGCCCCAAGTCGAGGAATAGGGCAATGATGGCTGCACAAAGGTGTTTGGAGGACAAAGACTAACACAACAGCGCCAAACGTCTGAGGCTGTCATGATTGCAAAGGTAGTGCTTCACGACATGCAGGAAAACCTCCAGGACTGTGTAAATTTAGATAGTACCTTCGAGCTGCGTTACAGGCCGCAATCAAGAGATTGCGGTAATAGCAAGAGCTCACAGAATGTAGGTCTAATCATGCAGCCTGAACGCAATTCTAGGGACGGAAAAACAATTTTGACTGAGGTTTAGCTCAGCAGGACACGTATCTCTCCACTGGTGCGAGGGAACAAATCTCTAAGCCCAGGGCCAGTATCCTCCTCATCTTCATCGTACAGCAAGTCATCAGCTGCGACAATCTTCTTCTCCACGAACTCAAAGTCCTCGCAGAACTTGGCCGCCGCCTTATCAGTAATCTCCTGCACCATCGATCGGTCGCGAAGTTGCTTCAGATTCTCGGCCGCATCGATAAGCGCCGAGGGTAGGAATTCGTCAAGTCGCTGGCTGGTGGCTATTAATGCGTCCTGTTTGAAGGCTGGCAATTGTGCGATGCTCTTCAGGCTTTCAGGTGCATCGGTAACATCTGAGAGCGCCTCGTGCAGTGCAATGAACCCGGACTCGTGGAGGAGGTACTGGTGCTGGTAGCCCACGAGCGCAGCGACGTGCTCGTCAACCGTCTCGCCCATCTCAGCAGCTCGTTCAGTAGCAAACTTGAAGCTCGAAACCGCCTCCTTGACTGCGAGAAGACAATTGATGGCGAAGATGGCGCTGTTGGGCTGCTCCATGCTCTTTTGAAGGTTCACGCAGCCGCCGAGGAAGGGATCAAGAGCTTCGGCGAGCACAGCTTCAAAGTCGTTGTTCGTCTCGTCGACAGCTGTCACAGAGGTATCGTAGCTCTTTGCCAGTACTTTGAGGGTCTGCAAGGCCTCTTCCAGGAAGTCAGGAGGTGAGAGATCTGCTGGCGCAACAGCGAGTTCGCTCTGCACCGTGGCAACATGATCGCGCATATTTGCGCGGAACTGGCGCATCGCGGAAGCTTGTAGGGTGTCAAATATATCCAATACGTCAGAGTCTTGACCGAGCAGCTTGACAAAGGTGCTTCTGTAGAATCCAATCAGGTTGGCAATCTTGTAGGCGAGCGTGGCATCTTCGTGGCTCTGGATGACCTGCTCCGTCTTCTGGCGTAAGAGTCGTGCCACACCGGTCAGATCACGGCTGACGAGTTGGTTGAGAGCCTTTCTGCCATCAAATATTTCCTGGTCCTCATCACCTCTGAGCCATGGTTCACTTTCCAGTCCAGCCTGAATTGAGCGGCTGATCTCATCGCCGTCCGAAACGAACAGTACTTCTAATGCCTCTCTTTCAGAAACAGTTGCTGAATGTGCCCAAGCGAGCATGTCACCAACATAGCGTAGCGGGTCGTGAGCGTAAAACTCGATGGGCTTGGTGGCAATGTGTGAGGTGTCAGAGTTGGATCCAGTCAAGGCCGCATGGAAGGAATCGGATAAGATAGACTCTCGGGCTTCGGCGAAAGAGTCCAGGCAGCTCTGGAACAGAGTCGGTCGTTCTGCAAGAACTCGGAGAGATCGCCGAACAGATGCGCTGATCTGAGGGTTCTCCAGGTCCAAGGTCTTGAACTCATGCTGTATCCAACGGTACAGCTTTTGAAACGCTCCATTGAGCTGCTTCGAACTCTGCTCCAGAATCTCAAGTCCCAACCGCTGATCCTCCGTGCCCAGCAGTACTTGACAATCGTGATGGATCTTCTTCACTCTTGTCAAGATCTGGAAGAACTCTTCATTGACCAGCTCGGCGGTGGAAGTCAGAACAGCGACCTGTTCTTCAGTAATTTGAAAATGAGAGCTGAACGCGTTCAATATCTGATGCTTGGTCTCGATCTGTCTCTTTTGGTTGATGAGGCTCGTGGCTTCCTCCAGTACTGGACCTGTTTCACGAGCTGCAGTCGTGATGTGCGCCCGCATATCAGCACAAGAAGTGTTCAGACTCTTTATAGCAGCACCGATGCGTCTCAGTTGCTACAAATACTCAGCACAAGATCACCGAAAGCTCCAGGAGAGAAACAAACCTCGGCAACTTCTCCAAAGTCCTTGACGATCTCGCCATTACATTCAATAACGTCTTTCTGCACATCCAGTCGTATCTGGCGTCTTGTCTCGGCTGTATTCTGGATGTTGCGCTCGTCCAAAGTTTCAAGCGCCCCTCGGATTTCTAGGTCGGCGTACGGAGCAGACAAAACGCTGGTTATCCGACTGGATAGAGCATTGACTCCACGTGATCCTGCTCCAACCTGTGGAGACACAGGAGATAGGCCATTCAGTGATGCAGGAGTGCTACGCTCCTGGAAATAACTTGCTGACATGGTTGGTGGTGGTCGGACGGACAGCACAAGTGTACTCACTGGACAAATAAACCGGAGGGAAGGTGCAGCCGAGCGCGCCTTATCGATATCGGCCGCGCCTTCCTTCGGCAACTTACAGCTATCGCCGCGTCACGAGTAACACCCCCAAAGAGCACCCGCATGACTACTCCTGTCACCATTCCTACACTTTGTCACGCCGGCATACTCACAGACTGAGACTTGGTGACGTTCATGGAGCTGGGCCTGACCCTACGGGCATCCTACAACAAGCCTTCTGACCGCAATATTCCCTAAGACAACCCAGTACGGCCACGCGCCCCGCCCGCTGTCTGAGCGTAGTGCTGGCGGTCCAGCATGATGGCCTCAAACCTCCTCTCCAGACTTCTTCCCTCAGCGACCGATGAGCCTTTCGACGATCCTCTGAACCTTCAGCTGCGCCGAAGCTCCACCTCGACCGATGGACAGCGCGATATGGACATAGACGAAGAGAACTTTGGAGCCTACTTTGAGCCGCAAGACCTGGAACATCTGCTAGAGGAAGCTTCTGGCAGCCAAATGACTGTCGATAGCCGTGCTGTGTCTCCCGAAGCATTACGGAAGCCAAATGCGCCTCCAGGCATCAATACAGCGAACAGAGCTGCCGGCTGGATAAAGCCTACTCCGGCGCGATCTGTGCCGGTGGAGGACGACGATGATGTTCCCCATTCACTCCTTCTCGAAGGAGGCCCTCCGTCACCCAAAACGACAAGAGGCCTTCCTCCTCCAGTACCTGGCCCTTCGACACGGCAGACGCGTGCGCAGTGGAGCACTACACAACGACAGCAGCGGCTGCATGATGACATGACGGGAATACCAGTGAACACTTGGGAGAGGACAGGACAGTTCAACGTCAGCCCAAAAGAGAAGGCTCTGTGGCTGTGGGTCAACCAGACAGATCTGGACGCGTACATGAAGGATGCATACGAGTACTACCGCGGTCACGGTGTCTACTCGATGCTGCTAAAACGATTTTTGACTCTTTTGCAAACCGCCTTTGTGGTAGCCTTCATGACTTTCCTTGGCTGGTGCATCGACTACTCCAAGCTCTCCACGAGCCACAAGATGAGCGAAGTGCTAGTACCCAAGTGCACTTCGAGAATACACGGGTTCTGGATCTTCGCGATCTGGGTGTTCTCCAGCTATTGGATCTACTGTTTCTATACCATGGTCACCGACATTCCAAGACTGAGAGCGATGCACGACTTCTATCATCATCTCCTCGACATTCCGGATCGTGACATCCAGACCGTTGAGTGGCAACAAGTCATCAGCCGTATCATGGCATTACGTGACCTCAATTTGACCACTGCATCAAATTTGTCACCGGAAACTCGGAAGCTGTTGGACTCGAAAAGCCGGCAGCGTCTAGACGCTATCGATATAGCAAGTCGACTCATGAGGCGCGAAAACTACCTCATTGCTCTCTTTAACAAAGAGGTACTCGATGTGACCGTGCCAGTTCCATTTCTTGGGAATAGATACGTCTTCTCCGAGACAACGAGATGGCATGTAGAGCTCGCGATCTTGGACTTCGTCTTCAGCGGGAAGAATGGCCAGTTCAATCCCGAATTCCTAAAGGAGCGCAATCGCAGAGAGCTTGTCAAGAGACTGCGAACTCGGCTGATGGGTGTTGGTCTGATCAGTGTTATCTGTGCGCCCTTTGCAGTCGTGTTTGTCCTGGCATCGTACTTGTTCAAGTACTTTGCGGTCAGTATGCTTATTCTAGCCATTACGAACCTCGACTGACAATCACAGGAATATCACAAAGATCCCGGTCAACTGAGCAATCGTGACTTCACCCACTTTGCTCAGTGGAAGTTCCGCGAGTTCAACGAACTACCACATCTCTTTGAGCGCCGCACCAAGATGGCGCAACCATACGCGAACATGTATCTTGCACAATTTCCGAAGGATAAGACAGAGCAAATTTCCTCTTTCGTAGCATTTGTTACAGGAGCCTTCGCCTTCGTGCTAGTGGCACTCACTCTCCTCGACTCTGAGCAGTTCCTCACATTCGAGGTCACACCTGGAAAGACCGCAATCTTCTGGATTGGCGTCATGACAGCCATCTACCGCTCTGCTAGGGGAAGCAGCCCTCAGGAAGACCAGATCTCCGATCCTGCATTCTACCTTGGTCACGTCATCTACCACACGCGCTACGAGCCCGAATCCTGGACAGACCGTTTGCACACTGATGAAGTCCGCGCCGAATTTGCAAAGCTCTATCAACCCAAGATTCTCATTTTTGCCGAAGAGATCCTGAGCATGGTCATCACACCCTTCCTACTCATCTTCCGCCTGCCAAACTGCAGTGAGCGCATCGTTGACTTTTTCCGCGAGTTCTCCATCGTCGTCGATGGTCTGGGCGTGACGTGCTCCTACTCTATGTTCCCCTTCAACAAAGGCACGCAAAATCGCACAAACAACATCCCAGCCCAGCCTGGCGCACGCGCCAATGACCCCGCTAGCGACCCTCGAGAAGACTACTTCATGACAAAAGACAACAAGATGATGGCCAGCTATCTCGGCTTCATGGATACATACGGCAACCCCAGCGGCAGGGGCTATAACATCAGACTACAGGGTCGCAGCACCTTTCATCCCCCACCGCAATTCCCGAATGCATTCGGCAACATGAGCCAAACCGCTCACTTGGGCGATGCCCGAGGGTCCAGCAGAGGTCCTATGGGCCGCACTCCGCAACACATCCAGCGCCGCACACAGCCACCTGTGAGAGACGAGCCCATGTCCTCGATGCTGCTGGACCCGCATCACCAGCCGTCCGCTTCGGCAGTGAGGAGCTCACCCCGAGGTGCGAGCCATGGAAGGTACCAGTCGAGACTGCACAATGTGGCGAGTCCAACGAGGTACGCGGGAGCGCGAATTGAGGAAGAGAGTACTATTGGAGACAGCTGGCGAACGAGCAGGCTGGCGCAGGACGACGAAGAAGAGGATGAGGCGCCTGGTACGGGTAGGGGTGGCGTGCTGCAGTTATTGCAGCAGTTTAGCAAGGCGCAGGCTGAGGGCCGAGGGGCCGGTGTGGGGGTATAACCATTTGCTGGCGTTTGGCACCAACTTGCATGGGCATTAGATGGGCACTGACGGTACATTTGAACCCACGGGGGCTAGCATAGCTCGTTGATACCGCAATACATCGTATTCATGAATACTGGGCGCGATATGATCCAATCTGATCAAGACAGCAACTGCCCGCTCATCTCGGGTAACACATGAAATGACATCACCGCAGAGTCCAATTATTGTATCGTTGTCATTGTCGGGCTGGTATGCGGTCATTCTACAGACTCACTCATCCGACCGTATCGATGACCGAGGAAAACAAACCACGCCATGACCGGTATCCCATTTGAATAACCCAAAGCGCATGTTCATCATCTCTTCACTCGCAACAAAACACCTAAGCGGCCTGCTCGAAAGCCTCGGGGAAGCGGCGCATGTTGTAGTCGAGGGGACCCTTGGTGCGGAGGAACTGGACGTAGGCACCGTCGATCCTGATCTTGCCCTCCTTGCGCTTCTCGACGTACTCGTCGCGCTTGAGGGGGGTGAAACCCCAGTTCTTGGAGACGATGATCTTCTGGCGACCAGGGAACTGTAGGTCATCAGTTTGGGAACTTTCACTTCCGTTGGAGCGTATCGTACCTTGTACTGGCAACGCCTCAGAGCCTCAAGGGCGGTGGCGCGGTGAGAGTCACGGGTTCGGACAGACATGAGGATCTGGCCGATGTTGACACGGGCGACTAGGCCGTTAGGCTTTCCGAAAGCACCACGCATTCCGGTCTGCAGCCTATCGGCACCAGCGCACGACAACATCTTGTTGATACGGACGACGTGGTAGGGGTGGACACGGACACGGAGATGGAAACCTTCCTTTCCAGCAATCTTGACGAGGTACTTGTTGGCGCAGATACGGGCAGCCTCGAGAGCCTCGGACGACAGCTGCTCGTACTCGTTGGAGACGAGGTGGACGCAGAGAGGGAAGTCGTCTACGCTGGCCTTCTTGCGACCGAGGTCGAAGATGCGGATCTTGGCATCAGGTACACCGCGGTTGAACCTGCTCTTGGGGTACTGGACGCTGTCAGCCCGGGTTCCTCCTCTAAATGTTCCAGTCGATTGCGGTGAAACGTACGGGCTTGTTCTTGCAGTAGCGGTAGCAACGGGCGGGACGGCGGGCCATTGTGACTGATTAACCTGCTTTCAAATCAATGAGCTGCGTATCTGACGGCGTTGACGAGCGCAAAGGAACGGCAGGAGTATGGAATCGCGCAAGCGTGTCGACAACGGCTGTGGCGGCGGTGGGGGCGTACTGGGGGTCTTATAGAGTCCGTACGTACCTCGTTCGGTGGTTAGTTGACGAGTGAGGTCGGGCGGGCGAAGACGTGCGATTTCCCTGTGTTGAGCGCACGGGCCTCTCGCTTACGGATTTCAAAGCAAGCGCCGCATCATCGCCACTTCGGGCAATTCGCAGCGCTGAGGATGATTGCGCAAGGCTAGTTATCGGTGTTGACAGGCATCTATGTTAATCATGCTCGCGCGCGTCGTTACTTGAACCTTTTGAAGCTGTCAATTGCCTGGAGTCTCGCAGTGTTCGCCGGCATATCAACTGTGCATTTTGGAGGTCCTGCCACATGCGGAAGCTCAACTGATTTATCAGCATCGATGGAGTGCAAAACATTCATAATAGTCACATAATGAGTCACAGCAGGATACGAAAGAAGTGTTAGGTCAGCCTTTCACGGCCTTCGGCCTTGAGTCTTGTCATTCATTGGATATCATCATCGCACCAGCATTGAAGCCGTACGTAGGTATCTTCTTTAGTCTAGTCCCCTTCCTGCACCTTTCAACAACCTTCTTAGTTCTCGGTGTTCTGGGTCAGGATGTCCGAGTCACCGGCATCGAGGATGGACATGGTGGAGCAGCGGAAGAGCTTACCGCAGGCGGTACCGAGCTCGATCTGTGTCGACACGTTAGTCTGCAGCTCTCCGAAGTCGTGTTCGGACCTCTTCTCAGAGCCAACCCTCGGAGTATACCCCGTGTCAAGCGTATCTCGTCGTTAGGCCATGAGAGGATCGGGGTTGTACGTACGTTGTTGCCGGAGAAGTGGTGGACGGAGGTCTTGGACAACATGGCATAGTACTCGAGCTCAGACTTGCGGAGTGGGGGAGTGTTGCCGGCAATGATGACAAGCTTGGCCTTGCCGGAGCGAAGGCTCTTGAGGGTGGACTTGTAACCGAGGGTGACCCTATTGCTGTCAGTGTTTTGCGCATTCCGTGATATTGCGCCGAACGTACTTTCCGGACTTCATCACAAGCGCCAAGCGCGAGTTGATGGAGTCGGCGGTTCTCTTGTTCTTCTTGGGGGCCATCGTTGCGTATAGGATGTGATTGATAAAGTCCTAAGGTAGTTGCTCCGGCTCGTGGTTGTCAAGAGGGAAAAGTTCAGACAAGCGCGAAGCGAATTTGGCTGTGGGTTTCAGATGGCGCTAGCACGGGCCACCTGGTTGTTGGCGTTGCGAGCGAGCATTCAGCGCGATGCTCATCATGCTCAGCAACGCCAACAACATCGCAACGCCCGATCAGGTGGCGTATCAACCTCCCATTTCAGGAGTTTATCTTCTGATCGGAATTGGCGAATGTGTTGCATGCTTCACGTACTGTGGCCGTTCAAGACTTCTGCTACGTGCTGTTCTAGGTACGGAAGCAGAATGCGGCCTCAATCGCTGAAAGTTCGGGTACTGTTGCCTCCTATTCAAGGCATACATCTGTCGCACTCTATCACATATGTATATTCGATACTGCTCTACTGTATCTAAAAGGCAGAGGTAGCTCTTCACTGACTGTAGAACACTTCAGGTTGCCTCACTACTGGAAATATGTCCCCAGCTCTTCTGCATATGCTCCTGAGGAGCTGGATGATCTTCCAGTGGTCGTTCGCCATAGCTAAGGAGAGGGGCATCTATCCGCTCTTTTCCTGGGAGGATAGGCTCATGTCACCTCTATCCATCAACATCCGTACAACGGACGTATGCTCTTTCCCTGCAGCCCATGCAAGCGACGTGCGGTCTCGCCAATCCGTAGTGTTGACTGCAGCCCCACTAGTATCGGAAAGTAGCTTCACAGTTTCTACGTGACCATTTTTAGCTGCCACTGATAAAGGCGTCTGACGCAACCAGTCTCCTGTATTAGCATCTGCTCCCTTCTCGAGTGCCAAGGATGCGCTTGATTCATCCCCATGCTCTGCAGCCCACAGCAGGAGCGCTACACCACCGAGGTCGCTGGTCCAACCAGCAGACTTCGCTTCCATGACCCCGCCTAAAACTGCTGCTAGAGATCCATACCGTCATTCTTATGCCCAGGGCAAGAGTGCGGTAGGCAAGTCCTGTATGTTCTCTTTGAATTCCAACATCGGCCATAGAGGCAGCTTGTCTATTGGTACGCCGTACGTGCGGACGTCAATCAGGAACGCTAACATGCTCTGTATTGCTTCTGCTTCAGATCTGCTGTAGTCGGGTGCCAGGACCTTAGAAATGCACGCATCCGAGGAGATGCTAAGCAATGCATAGATGTTGTCTCTTGAATCAGACGCCTGACTGCCAGAGACCTTCTGCAACAAGATACGGAGGTCACGTTATTTCGTCCACCAGGAATGTTTTCGAGATGATCCTGGCATGATGTCCAGCACGGACTGACTGTGTGAATCCGGCATTACACCAAACAGTGGAGGTATCAAAGCAAAGAATCTTGCCGATACAGACTTGGTCCCGCAAGCTATCTTTCCAGCGCTAGCTTTGGCCACCTCCTGCAGGGCCCATGCTCCTTTGAATCAACTCCGACTTAGCAAAGCGTCGAAAGAGGTACACATCCTCCGTTTTGCATCATATTCAGTGTTACGCTTGTCCATAGAAAATGCCATCTATTGTCTGAGGGGCTCCAGGCGTTGCAAGTGTGATTCAAGGCTTGTCGCTACAGGCCCCGGATCGAATCGAAGAATGAGTCCGTGCCAGATGTAGCTGGACCTAACCAGATGATGACTTGCTGTGCGTAATCATATATGGCAGCCATTTGCTGAACTGGTGTCCTCGCTCTTCCGTGTTATTCTGGTCGATGCAGAGTACGTCAGTTCAGAGGATCCGATTCTCATCTTGATCGCACAAATGTTCCAAAGCCTGATACAATTTTTCCGTGACTGCAAAGTCGCTGCCGTCGAGACTAATAGCGAATAACTTCTTCGTGTCCCCATGGATGTGACAGTACTTCGTAGTCAATCGAGTCGTCCGCGTCGTGGATATGAGCGTGAAACAAAATGCACTCCAACGGGCCTTTGTTGCCTCTGATAAGCCGTACAAATCAGGAGGAAGGCTGAACAAGATCTAACGGCTCATACCTGAATTGACGCATGGTAGCTGACGTGTTCTATTTGACATAAAAAAACGGCACAACGAAAGATTCGAAGCATTCAATGCGGGCAGCGTGTCCACACGTCAAGACTAACGACAGGGGGAGACCATGATGAGAGTGATCAACGTGTTGCGCATGTTGCGTCAAAACGCAACTGTGTACGATGTTAGAAGCGCTTCATGGCGAGTCGGTGGAAGTGTGGAGATGCAGGCTGAAGTGGGGTCAACCTTCAGTGCTCTTACCTGAAATATCAGGCCCGCCCTGTTAATATATGTATCGACCGTAAATTAATTCAAGTCTCTACGAAACACCCTCCATGCTTGCAGGACAACATAGATGATCACTACAATTCATCTCTCTTCCTCTCTTCATCCTTCTCCTTCTTCTCACGGACCTGCTCTTCAGCTTGAACATCCACAACCTCCGCCTGCTCCTTCTCTCCTCTGATGCGCTTAGCCAGCGCCGCAATCTCATCATCGTACACAGTCCACTCAGGGATCTGCCTCTTTGCACGGTCCAGCTTTGGCTCCTTGGTCTGTGGGTTGTTGCACAGATCAATCGTCTTAGCGGAAGCCAAGTCCTCGTCAGCACACCAGGTCTCGCACCACAGCCACTCCTGTGGCAATGAGTGGATGGGTAGATTGAACTGCATGTTGTTCGGTAGATCCTGGTCGAGGTTGCTCAGGCTGTTGGGATCGGCCGACAGACTATGATACTGTTGACGTAGACGATCACCGGCAGCAAGCTTGCGGAAGCGGTTCAGATCGACGACATACAAGGCGGAGATGTGGTAGGGCTTGCCGCGGAGGAAGTTCGCCCAGTATCCTGTCTTCCAGAAGCGGAAACCTTCCATCTCTGTGCGGGAGTCGCCCATAGGCGTGAAGCCATAGGGTGCGCCGTGTAAGTCGTGAGTGACGAGCTCATACATGTCAGTGCGGACGATCTGATCTGCATCGACGAAAATGACCTTGTCGAGATCGAGAGGGAAGAGCACGTCAAGAAAGAGGATCTTGTAACCCCAAATCTCGCGCTGCTTCTCGGACTGCTGGCGGAGCCAGTGCGGCCATTTGTACGTTACAAGCTCGTACTCGAATCCGTACTCAGCGGCTATGTGAGGCAGGAAGTGTTTGAACGAGGGCGAGAGGAACTGCTCAATGAACCAAAACTTGACAGTGTGTTTAGTGTGCCTCATGACAGAGAGCATCATAATGTTCAGCATGCGTTCGTAAAGGTGGCCGGAGGCGACGGAGAAAATGTTGATGTCGGCTCGAGTCTTTGCAGGCTTCGAATTGGCGAGGAGCTCAGCCCCCTTCTTGAATACTTTCTCGCTGTTGAAGTTAAGCCCAATTTTACCAAGCAACTTGTTAACCTTCTCGGTGCCTTTGGTCGCAAGCTCAGAGATAATAGACTCCTCATCTGCCAAGATGTCGGCTTCCTCCTGTCCAGGCATGCGGGATAACCGAGGAAATAGCGTTGTGCCCTGGAAACTCATAAGTACTAGCTCGCTCGACTCGTCGTTGGGTTGAACGGCCCAGCCTTTGGCTCCGGCACTGTCAAGGGAAAAGATCTCCTGTGACTTGCCCTTCTTCAGTTGTATACTGTAGAAACCAGGGTTCGCCTTGAATTGAAAGTAACCCAGGTTAGCCATAATGATGGTGTCGGCGAAGTGCGGGTCTTTCTCAGTTGACAATACAACCTCTGCGCCACGGGGCGGCTGCCCACCGTTTGTGGTATCACGGGAGTGACCCTCGATGAGGACACTCTCGAGTCGGTAGGTTGCATCAACATCAACACCAACAGGTAGTGTGCTGAGTTTGATGTTGTCGAGATCATGAATAGACTCCTCAGGAGCGACAAGCCAGGACGGCGGAACGTCCATGCCCAAATTGAGCAGAGCCTTCTTTGGGATCCCTTTGAACTGTGCCTTGAAGTTGTCGACCGAACCGTCTGCGTTGAACCTTGGTTTGGATCCGAGCAGGTACCTGTAGAATCGCTTGACAGGAAGCTCTTGCAGCATCTGCTTCGGGTTCAAGAAGAGCTGAAGGTAGGACCCTTCCATCTCGCTCAATGTGTTCAAGATTGGGATCCACCTTTGAGCTTGCTCGGTTGCAGGGTCGATGGATGCAACGATCTGGAAAACAGCGTTCTCCTTTTGGCCCCTGATGATTGCTGTGTGGTCAGCAGTCCATTTTTTGAAAGTGCTGGTCCTCAGGGTCGACACCGTTTCGAACATGCCTTCTGGGACATCAGAAACGGTGGAAAGAGCTACCAGAGACTGGATTTTTGCAGCATCAAAGGGAGTCGCAATCTTAGCAGTCAGTTCCAGGTCCTCGAGGGCGTTGATCAAAGGCTCGATACGCTTGTTCGTCTCGTAGGATATGAGCGTCTCGAAGTCTTCAGCTGAGAAGACCTTGTCCTCGGAAATGGGCCCAACAAAGCGTCCATTGATGAGTACAGCGAGCTGACCGGGCTTCAGTTCCAGCTCCTCAAAGAGCGGCTCAGCAGATGCGCGAAGACGTGCAGACCTGGCGGGTATTGGCGACTTAGCAACATCCTTACTCAGAAGCTCCATGAGCTTATCACTGTTGAGCTGGCGTTGCGCCTCGATATAGGCATCGAAGATCTCTTCATATACACCAGAGTGGTCTGCATAGGAATTATGCATCATGACGATCTCAACATTTGGGTTCGCTTGTCGATACTGGGATACGGACTTGAGCAAAGTCAAGCCAGACTCGGTATCAAAGTCACCAAAAACTGTCAGATGTGCCCAGGTACCCCTGCTTGTGGAGTCTGTAGCCTTGATATGAGGGTACTCCGCAAAGATCTCACCGTACTTCTCTTCGAATTCAGCCATATTGACGAGCTTTATCTCCTTCTCATTCTCCGGGATGATGAGTGGGTTGCGTTTGGCAGCAGCTTGAAGTAAGAACTGCTGCGGCACCCAGCTGTCGTCCTTGAGCTCGCCATCAAATACGGCTTTCTGGATGTAACGAAGGTCCATGCTGATGCGTTGGCTGAGCTCGGACAACCAGTTTTCGCTCTGGGCAACGGGTACACCGTTCACAATTGCTGGGGCGTTGGGACCGTTGATCGCAAGACGTTCCAGGTAATGTTTAGCCTTGCCCACACGCTCGCCGAGAGTTTCGGTGGTCAGGATGTCCTCGAATTCGATTGTTTCACGATCCCTGCGAAGTGTGCCGGTCTTGACAGCCGTCTCAAAACTAGCCTTGTCTGGTCGTGCAAGTTTCTTCGCTTCCAACGCAGTCAAAAGGTACTTAGTGACAGCGGACAGACCATAAGTGTGTTGCAAGTAGTATACGACCTTTGCTTGATCCACGGCGTTTGGAGTCTGGCTCTGGGGAACGAGACCCCATCGCAGAGGGATACCGCGCCTAACAAGACCGATGACAGTCTCAATGACGTTAGAGACATGCTCAGGGTCAGTGAAGTCGACGGGCAGGATTGCGTTGTGAATGTCACGACGGACATTGGGCAATTGGCCGGGGTAGGTCCTTTGCAATAAAGCCCGGAGTTCGGATGGCCAACTCTGGTACCTGGAGTCTTTCTCGATATTATTAACCCAGACGATCACTTTACCGCCCTCGATCTCGTCTCTGAAGTCATATCGCTGTGGCTCGTCTCCAAGTTCGCCTTGCGTGATAGCAGGATGTGACAGCAGGGATATGGTCTCCGGAGCAGACAGTCCCTGGCTTCTGATGCCATTGATCAATCTCCTCTCGCGACGGAGATGGGCAAGAAGCGCATAGGGATTGACGTCCTTCGCAGGAATCTGTACGCCGTTGACCCAGATGACGTTAGAGCCGGTAGGCAGAAGCAGCTCACGATTGTTGTAGTGCTCCGTAATGAAGTCCGAGGTAGCATTGGTAGCCGCGATGGTCGAGGTGTACTTTGGAAAGTCGCGCACCAACTTCAAGAGTGTGTCCATAGGCTGATCGCTTTGCAGCACGAAGCTAGCAGCCTTCTCAGCCAGGTCAGGTACATCATCCTTGGCCAAAGGCTTCAGATCTGCAGCCTCTTCATCCAGCTCAGTACCCGATGGTTTCTGATCCTCTCCTTGCGCTGCTTGTCTGTCATCGATGACGATGTAGTCTGTGCGCTTTAGCTGCAGGGCTACGCCATAGCCATTAACAACCAGTGGCGTCTTAGGTGCCTTCAAGGAGGGCTTGTGCCTAACACGGTAGGAAGTCTTTCCTTCTTTTGCAGTCCTGCTCACGGTCTTGTGGAACTTGTGAAAACGCGGAGCGGTGATATCGGCGTATACAATGGTTGGCAGTGCCGAGCTGTTACCCAGGATACGGTCGAAGGGTAGCTCGTTTGTACGCTCGTTCTTGATGTTGCCGGTTGGCTCGCCATCAGCTACGTATGGTGTGCAATACTGCTGGCCGTTGAGGGACACCCAGAGCTGACAGTTCTCGCCTTGCTCTGACTCCAGAGAAGGCTCCACCGACGTCTTGTAGAACTGGTAGTGTGCTTCTATCCGTGGCGCCGCCGATCGTACGGAAAGCGCAAGGTTGAAAGAGGCGAGGGTCTCGGGGTCGTTGATGTGGCCATCGCTCTGGAGTATCTCGACGAACTTGTCGTACAGCTGCTTCTCTGTGTCTAGCTCGTCTAGCCAGCCTTCTGCTATTCGGTCGAGGAGGGGGAAATATGCGGTCGCGTTCTCATCTGCTGCGGTCTCTCTACTACCCATCAGCCGACTTGGAATGTCATAAGGTAGATTTGGCTTACAGGAGTTCCACCAGGTAAGGTGCAGGGGCGAATGAAGCTTGGAGAGCAACGTTGATGTTCGAATCCGCAAGAGCTCCAATTCGGCTGAACGCGCTCAACGCAAAGAGCGTTTTCGCACTCAGCAACGAGGCTGAAGTACGCATCTCGCCACAAGCTGTACAAAGCTCTGTGAAAGCAGTGTGTTGAAGGTGTAGCCAAGGCAACTAGAAGATCAGCCCTAGAGTATCAGGAAGTTGCAACGTGTAGCATTCCGTTTCGGGTCGAGCTTGAACGTGAGCAACCGTCTAAGGCCGTATAACTACCAGAGTTATTACAGCAAGCAAATATGAGAGCTCGCAATGGAAAGGCGAGAAACACGCTGGGCTTTCGTGAACAATTGCTGCGCAATGCCTCAACTGAGAGGTATCCCAAAAGTGTGGGACTAGCGCGAAGCCCTACATGCAGGGGTCCTTGTCGATCTCTTGTACACGTGCAGAACTCGGAGTTTTCTGAGCTCCCTCTCTGGAAAGAGGCAGATAAGAGGCAGGTAGAGACAAGAAAAGCTATGTTGTGCATAGAGACCCTCCCCTCTGCAGGACCTTTCCATATGATATTCAAGCTGCTTTAGAGCAACAGGCGCACGAAAGCTTACAGATAGGTGAAATTTAAGCAAAACCCTCCTTTCTTCTAAGATGCATGTGTACAAACTAGAAGTACATCCTCTTGCTGTGTACATTTAGGAGAAAATTGAGAACGATGGCGCCAAGGAAGGAAAGCGTAACCGCGCAATTCCGTCCAGACAAGAGTTTTCCACCGTTAAATTTCCCGCATCTCACTTCCGTTCGACTGCATGATTGATGCAGAGACCTAGTGGAGAGATGGCGCTCTGTTGGGTAGGAGAGGGGCAGTCGACGTGAGACTTTAGGCGGAATATATTCGTCAACAAAAGTATTGTTGTCACATACGACCATAGGACGTTGAAAGCAAGGCTTCCCGTTCGCTCAGCCCTATTTAAGCAACGTACCGGCGGATTAGTAGTTAGGTGGGTGACCACTAGCGAATACCCGCTGTTGTATGTTTTTTCCTTTTTGTTTATTCTCTCATTTGTACGTATGCTCATGCTGCTAGACTGACTAACGTCAGAGACAATATGTTATGGTTGTTGTGGTTAGGCTCATTGCTGTAGGCTGAGGTATACGCGCAGACTGCGTTGAGTAGGAGCGAATTGTTGTAGAATCATATCTTTCTATTTAACCCTTTAAATTGCACATCTGCCTATGGCGCTAAGAAACACAACTTCATCGCCAACTTCAGTGCACCCATTAATCTTAAGACTAGTTACCTAGCAGGCACTAGTTCGCACAACTTTACCTAGAAAGCAAAATGTCGCCATCCATGATAGTGGCACCAGAATCTTGATCTAGAGGTGTCACGTCCTAGATAATCTGCCTGGTTAACATAGGCTGTATCAACATTGCTTATACAGCCTACTTACCCTTCGAAAAAGGGCTGCCAATGATGTTGAAGCAGACGGGCGTTAAAGCCAGCATCAGGGAAGACTTCTACTTCCTAACCTAGTCAATTAGAGGACGTTTCTGAGGCATTAAGGAGTATGAGGCTCAGCATAAGCGCTAGGCTTCAAGTGAACGTTTCTCACCTAGGGCAATATCTGGCAGTAATCTCTAATCGCCAAACTCCTTGGCGGACAGCCCAATCTGTGCTGGGTCCCACATTGTTTTGATAACACATTGAAAAATGCGTACTGCACTAGGTATTTAATTCAAACCACTGTAACAACGCTCTACAAACAGTGACCCAATACCACTAGGATACAGTTCTAGCAACTCATGACCATGGCCCTTGTCGCATGGCATGAGCTCACACCAAACTGCCACCGAACCCTCATATAGGCTGGCGGATGGGTAGGGTATGCTTTTTTACGTTTTGGCTTATAGCTTCTTAACTAGCAGAGATACGCTTACATAATCTATTATTCGATAGAAGCGCCTAGTATTGCGCCTTCTAATAAAAAAAGAATTAGCTTATTCTGCCTAGTATTAGCTAAGTTATTAACACTACCTAGCAAAGTATACCTATTAATGGGTATGCTCGCTAGGTACCCCCCCTTTTTTAACATTTTCTAGCCTCTAGCTTGTGCAGTTTAATAGTTATAACAAAACCTTCTACTACAAAAATGTAGAGGTGGTTTTTCTCTTTCTTTTTAGCCCTAGTTCGCTAGAATCCATGTATTATTAATAAGGTTTTGGGGGGTACCCACGAAGGACGTTGGAGTATACCCATTCCGCCAGCCTACCCTCATATATAAGGAGCAAGGAACTGTAGCATTGTAGAGTAGTTTTTCTGTATCCTTTCGTACAAGACCTATAGGTGTAGAGAATATATCCTGGTGTTCTTATTATCCCAGCACTCCCATATGCCTCGTAGCGGATTCACACCTATTCTGGATATCTCTCTTCTTGCCTGCGTCGTTACAACCACCAGCTCCTGTTATTTTTAGATTCTAGTGCTAAGCTGTTCGAGGCTGCGATGCGCCGACTTTAGTATGCAGCGACCAAGCAGACGTCGTTGCTGGGCTACTGGACGGTAAAGACAAGGACCTGAAGCAGATACCTGGGGTAAATGGGCTCTTCTGCAGTTCAGCGACGGCGAGGCGTGAAGTGTGTGACACAATGTAGATAAATAATACAGCTTTTTATCGCTCTGCCACTGATTTTCTGGGTGTAGAGACAGTTTCACTGATTTGCTTGCCCAAGCAACGCATGCAATACCCTAAAGACAGGGGAAGTGAGATGTGACTGGCTAGCTCCACTAAAAGTAGTTGATAATCTATAAATTCTGCAGCGTTGTCACATACGACCATAGGACGTTGAAAACAAGGCTTCCCGTTCGCTCAGCCCTATTTAAGCAACGTACCGGCGGATTAGTAGTTAGGTGGGTGACCACTAGCGAATACCCGCTGTTGTATGTTTTTGCCATCTCTTTGTTCTCGTTGTCGATGTTCGCACCGTTCATATGGCGGTCAGGCGTTGTTTTTGTTGAGTGAGCGCAGGGAGACAATCAATTCAGTTGCGACTAAGGTGAAATTTGTCATAACGTTCCATTCTATGGGGCATGTTCAACGCTATTGGATCATAACAGTCCCTGTACTTTCAGGATGTACAGAAGAACTCGCCCATTCAAGCAAGTTTGCGGTTCTTACCCACCCCTATCGGCGGAGCGGTGTCGAACGTGGTTATGGGCCTCATTGTGCACCGAGTACGTGCTGACTGGGCTTGCCTGGTTGGTGTCGCATTGACGAGTATTGGGGCACTACTCATGTGCATAATCCAGCCAGAGTGGACATACTGGGCCTGCGCTTTCCCAGCAGTCTTCCTTCCTCAATTCCATTGGCGCAGACGCCCTGTTCACGGTCTCAAACCTTGTTATCCCTGCAACCTTCCCGGCGCGAGACCAGGCACTCGCAGGGAGCGTCTTCAATACTGTTGTGCAGATTGGCAAGAGCTTTGGTCTTGCGACTAGTGCCGTGATCGCAGCAGGTGTTACCTAACACTCCAGGATCGCGGATAAAGAGAGTCCAGCCACGCTCATGGAAGGCTACCGCGCCGCATTCTGGTACGTTTTCGCACTGAGCTGTGCCATAGGAGTGTTATTTGCATGGGGATTGCGAGGTATTGGCAAGGTTGGGATGAAGAGAGACTAGACACGTACAGCTTTGGTCTTCGCGTCCATGCACTTGGATGTTGAAGTAGTAATAGTTTTGATAACTAATGGTCCAGGAACGCTAATGAATGCTACATCATATACAAGAAGATCTTAAACCTATGCGCAACGCTGTAAGGCGTCAAATTCAGCTATACATCAGAGTCATCCTGCTCGATAGGATCCTGCTGTGGGTTGAAGTCTTTCAAGGCTTGCAGGTCAACTCAAGCTCTGCGGTGTCGAGAAGAGCAGGAATCGCTCTCACGCTTGATGGCCTGTTGCCACTAATCCAGGACTGAACCCATGACACGACCATCTACGCTCGTAACTTGTTGTACAGTCGTATGCCATGGACCTTGAACACGAAATTATTCTGGTGCAATCGATGGAGGTGTCATGATATATGCGGATGCGAACGATTGATTCAATCCTGGACGAGTCATGTCTTGCCTCATCGAGACGCGCCGGAACCCTGATTCAGTTTATTTTAAGATCGAGTCTTATTACTTGCATGAACCCAGCGCGTTCAAATAGCTTCTTGCAAATATGTACGAAATGATTGTGTCGGTGGTAAGGCTGTTGTTCGACGTCAAAATAGATTGGTCTGTGCTCTGTGCGGACCTCCGCGGATTTCTTGAGCTGTCTCCAAGGCTGTACTCCAAGCGCATACCTTCGAAGACGCGGTATATTCAATTACGCCTGTCACGCACCTCGAAACGACCGATACAGTTCTTGCGACTCCATTATCAATCATGTCGGACCAAAAAAGGCGCAGAACAGGCGATGAAGATATTGGTGATCTGCGTCTAAAAGCGCGCCAGACATATCTCGCCCAGCGTGAGGCGCAACAGCTTGCTCTCCTGCGTCGTCAGGTCGCAGAAGAAGCCGAGGAAGAAGAGAGGCTTGGTTCCAAGCTCTCCGTAGAAGAGAGGAGGGACTTCGCGCGAAATCGAGAAACACTGCGACTCGCAGAGGCACGAAACGCCATAGACGAACACCTTGACGGATATCTTCTACCAGATGCCGATGGGAGTAGATCCGCCGTACTCACGAAACGACACAATGAGCGCGAGAAGGGATACGACAAGAGCGAGGTGCAGCTATGGGAGGATGAGCAGATGAGCAAAATCAAAAGCCAGGTCAAGAAGCCTGAGCGGGTGAATGCCGACGACTATGAATTCGTCTTCTCGGACGAGATGGCTATCAACTTCCAGAGTGACGGCATGCCAGATCCGGATAAAGCGTTACTGGAACGACAATTGAAAGAAGCGGAACAGAAGGTCAAGACGATGGAGCAAGTGCGGAAGAATCTACCCATCTACGTATATAGAGAGGAGCTACTGTCAGCCTGCGAATCACATCCTGTCCTCATTATCGTCGCCGAGACTGGTTCTGGAAAGACAACTCAGGTCCCGCAGTACCTCCACGAGAAGGGTTTCACGAAGAATGGCAAGGTGGGCTGCACACAACCTCGACGAGTCGCTGCCATGTCTGTTGCAAAGCGTGTAAGCGAAGAGATGGGTGTAAGACTGGGTCGAGAATGCGGATACTCGGTGCGTTTCGACAGCAAGATCACACCAGAAGTGACCAAGGTGGAATACCTGACGGACGGTCTGATGTTGAAGCAACTCATGTCAGATCCGCTGTTGTCTGAATACTCAGCAGTAGTTTTGGATGAGGCGCACGAACGTTCGCTCGCAACCGATCTGTTGATGAGTCTACTGAAAGAGCTGGTGGCAGTGCGTCCAGAGTTCAGGCTGCTCGTCACTAGTGCTACCTTGAACGCCACCAAATTCTCAGATTACTTTGGCGGTGCGCCCTTGTTCAACATCCCTGGACGAACACATCCTATCGAGCGTCTGTACTCGAGTTCACCGGAAGCCAACTACCTCAACGCAGCAGTCACGACTGTCTTCCAGATACACCTCTCACAAGGGCCAGGAGACATTCTGGTGTTCTTCACGGGTTCCGAGGAAATTGAAAGCGCGGGCGAGTACATTCTCGAAACATCACGAAAACTTGGGTCGAAAGCAGGACCTATCATTGTGGCCCCTGTGTATGGTGCACTGCCAGCAGAAGAGCAACAAAAGATTTTCGCACCCACACCGCCCGGCCACCGCAAGATTGTTCTCAGTACCAACATCGCGGAAACTAGTTTGACGATCGACGGCATCCGGTACTGTATAGACTGCGGCCTCGAGAAGCAATCAGTGTACGACCACAAGCGGTCCATGAATACTCTCGTAGTCGTACCATGTTCACGAGCAAGTGCTGAGCAAAGAGCTGGTCGAGCCGGGCGTACCGGGCCAGGCATGTGCTTTAGGCTTTACACAAAGTATGCTTTTTATAACGAACTGCAAATGGAGACCGAGCCTGAGATTCTGCGCTGCGATCTCGATGGCCCCATGCTCACCCTGAAGACAATGGGCATCAACGACCTCCTGAACTTCGACTTCATCGACCCACCATCCACAACTGCTATCGCTGCGTCCCTCGAGCATTTGTATGCTCTAGGCTACATCGACTCGGCAGGCAAAGTGACCAAACTGGGCCGGCGCGCCAGCGAACTCCCCCTCGACCCCAAACTCGGTAAAGCTCTTCTGGCCGCTGACAAATACGGCTGCGTCGAAGAGATGGTTACGCTGGTTTCCATGGTCAGCGAAGGCGGAACGCTCTTCTTCGCGCCCAAGGACAAGAAGATCGCAGCCGACTTGGCTAAGCAACGCTTCAGCGAAGATGTCGCTGGCGGTGATCTTATCGCGTTCCTTAAGATCTGGAATGAGTTTGTGGAGAACGAGTACAGCCAGGCATGGGCGAAAGAGAACTTCCTCGACTACAGGGCGCTAAACCGGGTCCGCAACGTAAGGGAGCAATTGCAGAGACTGTGCGACAAGGTCGAGCTACCGCACAGTTCATGCGGCATCTCCGATCACGTCAAGATCCTGAAGGCGTTCACGAGTGGATACTTCACGAATGTTGCAAGGCTGAATCGCGATGGACAGAGCTATTCGACGGTCAGCCAGAAGCTGTCTGTATTCATCCATCCAAGTAGTTGTATGGCGAGGAAGCAGACGAGGGACCGATGGATTGTGTTTTATGAGCTTACGAGCACGAGTAAGGAATGGGTGAGAAGTGTGGCGCCCATTCAACCGGAGTGGCTCACAGAGGTTGCGCCGCATTATCACAAGGCTAAGAACATTGAGGACCTGACGGATAAGAAGCAGAGTAAGGGCGCTGGCAAAGTGGGTGCTGGGCGGTAGGTTCGAAGCCGCGACTTTTGATTATTAGCACAGCGTAGGCAGACGGCGTCTCGAGGGATGACAATGTGGAACAACGAATTGATACCCTGATTAAGCTCACAGTATGAACTTCCATTGCGCAGTATTACCATTCAAGTACAGAATTTCTAATTGTACACATCTTCGTCCCATAATGCTTCGTCTATTTTCCAACGTTCGTGAACCTCAGGTAAGGCTTGACCTCCCTGACACCGCCGAACTTCTTCCTCGCATCCTCGGTGCTCACACTGGGCGGGACAATCACATCATCGCCAACCGTCCAGTTAATAGGCGTCACGACGCCCTTCTTATCACCCGTCTGTAGACTGTCAATAACCCTCAACACCTCTACTGTGTTGCGACCCGTGCTGGCAGGGTAGTCCATCTTAAGCCTGATCTTCTTGGCCGGGTCGATGATGAAGACAGAGCGGATAGTAAAGGCGATGCCCTTCTCGGCGATATTGTCGAGCTCGTCTTGCGCGATCATGTCGTACAGAAAGGCGACTTTGCGGTCAGCGTCGGCGATGATGGGGAATTTGACGTTGGTGTTTTGGGTCTCGTTGATATCGTTCACCCACTGGTCGTGCGAGCTGAGGTCATTGGCGCTCTAGGTAAGGTCAGAGTTGAGGCGAATTCAGATGCGTGTTTGACATACAAGACCAAGCATCTGTACGCCACGCGCGTCGAACTCGTCCTTCAGCTTTGCGAAAGCACCAAGCTCAGTAGTGCAGACGGGCGTGAAGTCGGCAGGGTGAGAGAATAGAATCGTCCACTTGCCATTGAGGAACTCATGGAACTTGATCTTCCCGTGGGTGGTCTGCGCCTCGAAGTCGGGTGCGACCGATCCAATTCTCAAGCGTGGCTGCTCAGCGGCGGGAATGGCCAGACCCCGGCGGAATGGAGTAGCAGTGGGGCGCTGAACGCGCAGCGCAGGGCGGACGGCGGAACGGAGAACTCGAGAAGCTGCACGTGGGATGAGAGCTGACATTGTGGAGGCGGTAGTCGGCCAATTGGGTTGTGGAATTGCTCAAATGCTTTGTATGTCTTTTCAGCGGCAATTGAAATTGGTTAGTCTAGTAGAGCGGACTCGATCGCAATGGCGTCATCGCCACGCGGGAGAAATGGCAAGGCCCGATGCTTCTCGGCGCTCGCCCTGCGTGCCTGGCTTAATCCAACGGAGCAATGAGCTGATGGTCTTCATGCTGTGGCATAAATTAAGAATGGACCCAGTCTGGTTAGCCAATGTCGAATTTAATTGCAGCTGCACGTGTGCCACGTGAAGGTCGGACGATCATCAACGTTGCGTCATCAAGCTTCATCCGCAACCCAGAGCTGGGATCTGAGCCAGGATTGCAGCAAGGACGACCGACATGTGGCTGGCCAAAAAGACCGCCAAAAGCCAGCGCATCGCGCGTGCGTCGCATGGTTCCTCTCGACTCACAATTGAACCGGCGCATCCATCGTTAGCCTCTTAGTGCTCAGATTTTACAAAATTATGTCGGTCGCATCCTCAACGCCAGGAACAGGAGGCTTCCTGAAGTTCAACAATGGCCCACCCAAAATATTCATGACCGACTCGACACCCCATCCGCCCGAGAAAGTGCTCCTCTCCTGGAAGGAGGAAGGCTACGATGTCACGTACTTCCAGTACGACCCGGCCGCTCAATCCGCCTACATCCGTACCATCCAGAACCTCAACAGCGATCTAAAGCTTGGAGAGCACTATGCGCTCATTGCCTATGGTGCAGCAGCTAGTGTGGTGCTGAAGACCGCCATGAAGCCGCTTAACAAGTGCTGTGCAATCGTAGCCTTCTATCCTCCCGTTCTCCCTCGTGTAACAGTCAAATATCCGGAGAGCACGAACCCGCAAGTCCACATCGCAAGCAAAAGCCAGACGAGTCCCCACCCAGAGATGGTCGACTGGAAGCTATACCGCTACGATCACTGCGCAACGGGTTTCGCAGACCCGAATTCAAAGGCATACTCGGAAGTCGAAGCTAATCTAGCTTGGAGCAGAGCGCTGGCATGCGTCAGGAAAGGATTCAAGAGCGAGATCGATCTCGAGCCTGTGGTGCAGAGTTTCTGGGCAGCGAAGTATGAGGACGATGTGCCCGAAAGAGCAAGCATGAGTGCGATAAAGAGCATGACGCAGAATAGTCCGCACGTGACCATCCTGCCTACTCTGCAGGGAGGTATGGGGAGGAAGAGGCTTGCAGAGTTCTACAGGGAGTTCTTTGTTCCGAGTCTGGTCGAGGATTTCAAGATTCGGTTGGTTTCGCGGACCATGGGCGTCGAGCGCATCGTGGATGAGATGGTCGTGAGCTTTACACACTCCGATGAGGTCGATTGGATACTGCCTGGTGTCCAGCCAACGGATAAATTTGTGGAGATAGCCATGGTCAGTGTCGTTGCTGTAAGAGGTGGCAAGCTGGTCTCAGAGCACATGTACTGGGATCAAGCTTCCGTGCTTGTTCAAGTGGGCTTGCTGGACCCGAAGCTGGTGCCGAAGAAGTTCAAGAACGAAGGGACGAAGCAGCTGCCAGTCGCTGGAGCCGAGGCAACGAAGCAGCTTGTTGACCCTCAGCAGGGCAATTATAACAAATTGTTGCAGCTGCATGGGCTGTTCCAAGGAATCAATGGAAATTGAGTGAGATGGGCTGCTGCATGGTTATGGCGCACTGATTCAGCGTTGGCGTTTAGTTGCTCAGCCTATGAAGCTGCATGTGGGCAACCTATACTCTTTCAATACCCAGTATTTTCTCCGTAACCCCTCCCACTCGCCCTGCTCGTCCAGATCCGGCACCTGTACCGTCTCCCATTCCGTATCGAAGCCTGCTTCGAAAAGGTCCATCTCAACAATTTTGCCATATACGTCATAGACGATCTGTCTGTCCGCGCCCATACCGTTGAAGAAGCCAAACTTGCCGCCCTCACCGGCTGGACCACCTGAAGGATCAAGCAACGTAATGACGTGTTCTGTGAAGAATTCTCGGAGGTCTTTGTATTCTTCAGCGAAGGTGTCGAAGTAGATGCCATCGAACAGCTCGCCTTTCTCGGCTAGGCCAGGCACGACGTCCTGCCACCGGCCTTCGTGGATGACGACGCCTGCCTTCTTGTCCCAGCCTTGTTCTTTCATGCGCTTCAGCACATCTGGATGCGCCTCGATGATGTGATGCGCTTTTGGCTGCTTATCGTGCAGGATGCCATCGATGATGCCCATTCCATGGCCGACATTCAACACCCGCAGGCCTGGCGTAGGTGCTAGCAGGTTAGCTGACTGACGCATCAGCGTTGTTTCCCACTCCATCATGACACCGTTCCCTGCCTCGTCGGTCAACCTGTCTCGATCGAAGGTCAGGTTCGACGCCAGGTAGTTTGGGTTCTCGGTAGACTCGTCGCCAGGTGCGGCTTCCTGGCTGATGTCCAGAATTTCAACATCCTCAGTCGCCACTTCCTTACCAGTGTCAACAGTCTCCTCTTCCTCCTCATCATCATCGTCATCGTCATCTGAGTCCCCGCCCATGAGCAGCTGATACTGATCCATCCGGCTCAACAACAGCTCAGCGCGCACACCAGCATCTACGCAGAGCTCATACGGCTCTTTCAGGCCTATTCTCAGCGCAATACATCCCGGTGTCTCGCCGTTCGCGTCCAAATCATTCCATATCGCGCCATTTTCGAACAGCAGCTTGATCGTCTTGGTCGCGGCTTCTGTGTTGTTGCACTCAGCTTCCCTAGCATCGTCATTCTCTCCGTTTATTTTTTCAGCAGATGTGTCTCCATCGACAGGCTCGCAGGCGGCAATCGCAGCGTGGAGGGGTGTGAAGCCTGTCTCGGCGTCTTGCACGTTTGCAGAGGTGTTGCGGAGGAGATTGCGGAGGGAGGGTATATCATGATTTGCTGCTGCGAGAAGGATACTTTGGGTAGACAGATCTGTCTCTACGTCGAAAGCGGAGTCGTCCATATTTGCGGCGTTGTTTGGAGATTTGAGAGATTTTGTCAACACGAGAGGGGCAGAACTTTTTGGTGGAGAACTCAGGGTCCACTTTGCGCTACGTCAGCGGGGTCGGATATCCTCGTCCTTCTTCCGCAACTTGCTAGAAGTCTCGAACAGCCACCAGCTGTGTTTGATCTGAGACATACTGGTCTTCTACTGTAAGAATCTGCATTACGGTAGCTCCCTTTTGCCTTTTGCTACACTGCTAGCCGGGCAGCAGCACCAAGTCTAAAGCCGTTTGAAACCCCGATCTCCTCGTATGCTGAGAGCCGTTATTGGTAGTCATGATCTATAGTGCCTACACCTAGCAGGTACTGGTCTTACCTTCGAACCTACTCTTCCTCTCTCGGTCCTCGTCCTTCACCAAGACCTCATCATGTCAGAAGAAGAGCAGACTCGCACGGGGGCATGCTTATGCAAGAAGATTACTTTCGAAGTCAAGGGGACAGAGCTAAATTTCACTATCTGCCATTGTACCAACTGTCGGAGAAATTGCGGAGCCACATACACAGCAAATGCCTGGTTTCCTGACGCGGTCCGCTCCGACTACCCTACGCCAGTCGACAATTTACTGACTGCCTCCAGCACTTCAAATGGACATCTGGAGGAGAACTGCTCAAACAGTACAGTGACCGAGAGACAGAGACCGGTGAGGCCGTGTACCGCTCCTTCTGCACCAACTGCGGCTCACCGATGTTGACAAAGTCTCCTCGCATGCCTGGCATCACGATCATACCCAGCGGCGTCTTCGATGGGAATCATGAGTGGAAGCCAAGCTACGAGCAGTGGAGGCGCAGCAAAGTCTGCTTCGTCGATGATATATGGGCTGTGGAGAATGTGGGGCGCTATGGCGATCATCCAGATCTGAAAGAGTTCGAGGGCATCTGGAGCAGGAGTGGTACCAGGCCAGCTCAAGAGTTTGTTGATCGCTAGAATGTGCAAAAAACATTCATCATGCCTGTTCGACGAAGAAATATTGTAGCCTGCAGAAGGTCTATCATGCTACAAAGTGCTCGCAGAAAAATGCTGACTAGCTCCCATGTTCCCGGGAATCGAGAGCCTGGCGCCTAACTCTCTTTAATCCTGAGTGACTTGCTCTATATCTAGAGCTTTGCGCTCTTCACAATCAAGGCGTGTGACTGTGTCATCACATCAGTGGCGTCCCGCTCCATCGTCTTCACCAGCTCCTCGCATGTGGGAATGTCGTGAATAAGACCTGCGCACATCCCCAACGACCACACTCCCGCATCAACATCGCCCGTCTCGTACACACCCTGTCCACGCTTTCCGCTCATCAGATGTGCAACGTCCTTGAATTCGACATCCTTCTTCTCGTTCTCGATCTTGTGTACCTCGACTGAAACCTTGTTCTTGTGCAGTCTCGACGTGTTCCTGAATTTGCGAAGAACCAAGACAGTGTCGTGCTCTGTGGCCTTGACGATCGCCTCCTTGACGTTGGCATGGATCGGTGACTCAGCTGTACACATCCACCGTGTGCCCATGTTCACACCTGCTGCACCGAGAGCCAATGCGGCGGCTAATTGACGCCCGTTCGCGAAACCGCCGGACGCAAGGTAGGGGATCTTGAGCTGCTCCTTGCACAGCGAGAGGAGCATGAGCGATGTCGTGTCGTACTCGCCTCCGTGGCCAGCGCACTCAATTCCGTCAATGGAAATGCAGTCCACACCCAGCTTTTCTGCGCGCAGCGCGTGCTTCAGCGCAACGCATTTGTGGAAAACAGTCACGCCGTTGTCTTTGAGGTACTTCAATATCGGTGTTGGGTCGCCCGCGGTCTCGACGACTTTGATCCCCTCCTCGACAGCAACCTTTGCGTATGCAGGGTAGTCCGGTGCATTCATCGAGGGGAGCAGGGTGATATTGACACCGAACTGGACAGCGGTCGGCTTCAACATGGACTTCGTTCTGCGAATTTCTGCGCGCAGCGCTTCAGGCGTGGGTTGTGTAAGGGCTGTGAGGAAACCAAGAGCGCCTGCGTTTGCGACTGCGCTGACCATCTCTGCTTTTCCTACCCACATCATGCCTCCTTGTACCATAGGGACGCGTATCCCGAGCGTCTCGGTGAGCCACGTCTTGATCGGCATTGTGTCGAATGGTAGAGTTTATATTGTAGTTGAAGAGGAGTTTCGAGGGTTAGAATTTTGTACGCGACTGGATAATAGAGGACAGAGGGAGATGACTGAAACCTTGGAGAGGAAAGTGACCTTAGATGTAACATGTGATGGGTCTCTCAAGCCGGCTCGAGTCAGGTTGCAGCTTTCTGGGCCGAGGCATACCTACCGACAGCACTTGCGGCAAGTCGTATTACCGACCACCCGGAATAGCAGAGTCGAAAGATACACTACACCACAGAAAGGCAGTGACGACCCTCTGGACCGACGCCAAAGCCGCATGCATCCGTAAATCTTTTCGATGAGTAGCATTCGTCGACCTCGAAACTGTCGCAAGATCTTAACATCATTGGTGGTCCGCTCGCTCTCACTATTTGTCGCAGCAGACATCATGCCTATTTACCAGTCAATTCAGGGGTGCTAATGTATGTACATTTTGCCTCTATTTTAGCTGCGACAGTTACGAGCCTAGACGCTAAAGCTGTGCAAGCAAAGGTTGAATGGATTTTTGTGTTCTATAGGTGACCATAGCCAAGCCTTGGCATAGTACATGCTTAACTAGGGCTACTATCTGCAGCATAGTATAGAGCGTCACGAAAAAGGATTCACCTACTTAGCATGTTAGGCATTTCTCTGCGTTAAGTCACCTCTAATTATGCTGTCCTAGTTGGACGTGAGGGGGTGTGTTGCAGCAGATATCATGCCTATTTACCAGCCAATTCAGGGGTGCTAATGTATGTACATTTTACCTCCTTTTTGGCTGCGACACTATTGCTTTACAACGGCCCAGTGTCTGCACATTAATGAATAGAGGATCACGTTTTGACATGGCTGCAGCATTGCTACTAGGAGACACAAGCCAGGAGACAGTCAGAACTATTATGAGACAGGACATCCTGAACCTTACAGCTTCCCCAGTGGCTACAAGTCGCTCTGCACTTCAATTGAAAGACCAATTCGCGCCTATTATTCCTACAATCATTAAATAACGAATATTTGATCTAGCACTAAACATCATTTCCCAGTTCCTATCTCATGCACAGGTCCTGTCTGGTTTGGCGCATGCGGCACGCTGATCGCATCTACCTCATGCGCTTCAGCATTGGCTTGATACTGGTTGACTACCGGCGTCGGAGGCGGCGCGTTATACGGCTGAGAGTACACCGGCGCCGGTGTGGGTCGGCCTGAGATCGGAGGAGAGATCGGAGGCGAGACTGGCGTCACAGCATACTCGTGAACAGTCGTGTGGGTACCAGGCTTCTCTTCGTGTAACCCCGGTGGGAAGTAAGATGGAGTTGTAGTGGGAGGATTACTTGGAGGCCGGAAGAGACTGGCTTGGTATGACTGTGTTTGTGCTACAGGTTGCTGTTGTGGGTACTGATAGGCTTGCTGCGGCGGTGGATACTGCGATTCAGAACCTGTTGCTTGGACGGCAGCCGTGGATTGGGCATTCGCTGCGATTCGGCGCTGCTTCTTCTTCAAGAAGAAGAGGGTGCCAATCGCGATGCAGGCGACGACGAACAGTGCGACTACGACAATCCCAACGAGCAAGCCAATAGCGATCTTCCTGGTCTTGTTAGTAGTCTTGTCGCTATTTGGGTCTGTAATGACAGGGTTCGCTGCAACTGTCGGCAGAGCCATGCTCGTCGTGCCCCCGACCTCATCAGTAGCGTGCTGCAGGACTGAAGAGACGATACTGTCCGAGTCGGCGTCGCATCCATAATAGAGAATACTATCACTAGGATACGAGAAAGTGATACAGTGTGGCGCGGTCGTTTCTGTACACTTCCGTATCAAAGTATTGAGCAGGCAGCTGGAGCCGCAGCTGGAGGCTCTGTATGCTCTAGCGTCGACACAGGAGGTTGCCCATCCACATTCCTGGGTGTTGGTGCCATCACAGCAGCCAGCCATGCCGGCACCTGCGGTGTAGAGCATGCAGGTCCGCGAACCAGGGCAAGTCACTGAGAGTGCTGTTTTGCATCAGTATTTAGTGTCTCCATTTTGAGAAGTAGGCGAGGACGTACAGTAGACACCATCGACCCAGCCGCAAGTTTCGGGATAGAGGTTCGTTTGTCGTCTCTTCATATCTTCCCTCGTTGGTGCCACTGTCGGTTTGGGTGAGGTGCCTCTTGGGGCAAGCCCTGCAATGATGGCAGTTGATGCAGGACCGCCGAAGGCGATGCCTTGAACTGCTGGCAAGGCAATTGCGAGGCTGGTAATTGACACGGAGTATTTCATCTCTGTAGGATCACGACGCGAGTAAAGAGGGATGGGAGATTGCCAGACAGATGACAGTTGAGAGAGGGGGATTTGAAGAACAAAATGATGAACGATACTTCGCCGCAGCTGAACCGCAAACCTAACCTCCCCGCTCATTATTAAAATTACCATGCCGATGGCCTTCTGAGCTGAATGTGAGACACGGCCATTGTGACACAGAGCAAGCACTGCTATCGAACACGACCCAGGCCTGGCGTCTGCTCTATTCAGGCGAATCGCCTACGCGTAGCGTGTGCTCTAGGGCTTTGTATCGCGCTCTAAATGACATGGTATAGTGGTGATGGCGCAGAGTTTGTCTGTTTCTATGTTCTGAAATAAGCATGCTTGGAGCAGCTGAAAGATGCGGCTGAATTCGGAACCTGTGATAGGACTGTTGTTGAGCGAATGCAGCCCAATCTCGGTTGCCCCTGCAGGAGCGAGGAGAGGAGCGACCCGTCGACGAAAGGAGCCCCAGATGCTGATGCGGCTAGGCTCAACTTGGTATGTCTTCGCAAACGAAACGCCTCCTGCGTCGCGATCAACAGCCCTCTTGAGTACATAAATTTTACTGTGGTCTCCTGGAGATTTGTCAGGTTGCAAAACGCCTGCAAAACAGCCCCGAAAGCCTCTGGAATTTAGTGAAATCGGATTACCGGTAGGCATTGTTAACGGGATGAAGATCATGTACAAGAGAGTTGGTGGTGATAAGACAGGGGAACGTATCATCTCAACAGTTGCGTTGCATTGACAGGTGGACTGGGGGTATCTTCGAACGATCTTACACTACTCGTGCCTCATGGGGCTGCTGTTCACCGGTGTGCCTACCGCTGGAGTCCCAAACGCCGGGCTCTCCGTTGCAAAAGGGTTTGGTGGGAGGGTGTCTGGATCGTACCCGTTGCTCCTCTCCTGCTTCACCCTGACCTCAGGCAAAGGTGCAGCTTTCCAGATGCGTATGCTCCGGTCCAGCCCCGCGCTCGCAATCAACTCTTCCTTAGGGTGTGTGTCCACAGCCAGCACTGCATCATCGTGCCCAGAGAGCCTTTGTAGCACGTTCTTGCTGGAGACGTCCCACAGCACGATCCCTCCCTCTTCACTCCCAGAGGCTACGAAGGCATAGGTCTCTTTGGGGTCTGCTCGGTCCCCATATGTCCCAAATGCGCCAGAGAGCGAGTACTTCGCGTTTGTGTGTCCTTGATACGTCTTGACGCACTTGCCTTTGCCGTTCGCATAGTCCCACAGTCGTATAGAAGAGTCCAAGGTGTGTGCCAGTATGTACTTTCCGTTCGGCGAGAAGCGAACGGACGTGACTGGCGCATTGTCTTCGTGGACCAATGTGCGCAAACACTGTCCTGTACTGGTGTCCCACACTCGAATCAGACCATCGTGTGAACAGGAGACGATGAGAGTGCCGTCGATCACGAAGTCGACCGCAGATACAGGATCTGAATGTGCTGGTAAGGACCGCATGACGCGTGCAGCACGCACATCCCATAAGAAGACTGCTTCGTCGTAGCTCCCACTGACGAGCATGTTACCTTTGGGACTGAATGCGAGCGAATAGACATAGTTGTGATGTCCAATCAGCGGCGTGGGGTGTGCGAGCCCCGTCTGTGCATCCCAAAGACGAATACTCTTGTCATCTGAGCCAGACGCGAGTGTCGTACTGTCTGGCGACCAGGTCAGGGTGTTGATGCCGGCAAGATGGCCTTCTAGCGTGTGCTCGAGCGCTCCGCTAGACGAGCTCCAGATCTTGATTGTAGCATCCGCAGAGCCGCTGGCTATCCACAGGCCGTTCGGTGAAAACTTGAGGCAGGATACGGCGCGCTTGTGGCCGCGCAGGATGAGGTGGGGTGTGTAGTTGAGCGCCGTCGGTTTGCGAGGCGGGGGCGTGTTGCTCTGAGAGCGCGAGCGCGAGTTTGAGGGTGAGGGTGATATTGAGGGTATTCGGCGGCCGTAGTATCGTCTTTCGTCTGCGCTATCGTCCACAGAGTGCTCTCTGCTGTATCTGCGCGCAGGCCGTTCTGCTAATCTGTATGCCGGCGAGCCGTTGCGGGGAGAGCGGGAATGCGAGCGTTTTTGCGGAGGCGCATCATCATACTCGTCTTCTGTCTCTTCACGCGACCGTTTCGGCGGAGATTTCATTGTGTTTGTCGAGTGCTGGACAATGAAGTAGGAACGCGACGATCATGCGTTCCTGCCAGCTAGCGCGCGTAGGCGGTGAAGAGTGCTACAAGGGAACCCCTGTTGGGCAATGACATGTCTCGGTGTTCCTGACGGTTCGTGAGGCTTTACGAATACTTCGGAGATCCCCAATTAGGTATTCTACACTTTTTCCGCCATGGTCCCAGATGGAAAACCGACAAGCTTGAGAGTCTTGTCTCTCAACTGCTGGGGTCTCAAGTTCATTTCCAAGCTGCGCAACGAGCGCTTGACTGAAATCGGCCGCCAGATTGCTGCCGCCAACCCTCGTCCAGACATTGTCGGCCTGCAGGAGTGCTGGACGCAGGAAGACTACGAATCCATACGCGAGCTGACCAAATTCATCTTACCATATGGAAAGTTCTATCACAGCGGCTGCTTCGGAGGAGGGCTCGCTATCTTGTCGCGATGGGCGATTGAGGAGAGCAACATGGTGCGGTATCCATTGAATGGACGACCTGCTGCCTTCTATCGTGGAGATTGGTTCGTCGGTAAAGGCGTTGCATGTGCTCGCATTCGGATAGGACCGGCACCCAAGGACGTAGCAGAGGTTTTCACCACACATGTACGTACTCCAGAAGTCCATAGAGCCTCGCTGACATCCACAGCTACACGCACCGTACGAAGCCGAGCCGCACGACTCGTACATCTGCCACCGAACGGCGCAAGCATGGGAGATAGCGAAGCTCATGCGTGCAGCTGCCGAGCGAGGACACCTGGTAATTGGCATGGGAGACTTCAACATGGTGCCACTGTCGCTGGCACACCGCATTATCGAAACACACTCGCCTGTGCAAGACGTTTGGCGAATCCTCCACCCCGATTCGTCTCACGGTGCAGCGAAGGACAAGGTGGAGCAGCTGCGCGGTCTGCCCATGCCAAATGCAGAGTTCAACATCTCGACAAACGGGACAACGTGCGACAGTGCATTCAACACGTGGAGGTGGAACGACGCACACAAGAAGCGGCTGAAGAAGGGCAAGGACGTGCAGATAGATCCGGCCGTCGATGATCCAAGCGCAAAGCGACTCGACTACGTCTTCTTCAGTAGCGCACGGCATCACGATGCCCAAACCGGTGAGGAAACGGCGGAATGGAAGCTGAAGGAGGCAAATGTTGGCATGACCATGCGGCATCCAACATTACACTGCTCACTCAGCGACCACTTCTCAGTCGAGTGCACTTTGACGAGAGAACACAATTCTCATGCAGCGCATGCTTCAGACGTTGTCAACCAGTACCTGCCCATCGGGACTTACGAAGAGATCATTGCGACGCTCTTCAAGTATATGGATCGCCAACGGCTACAGCGAAGATTGCGCATTGGACACTTCTTCTTCCAACTCTCGATCTGGACTGCCTGCATGATCGGAGTTTGGTGGTCGCCGCATAACTACGTGTCTTTCATCCTGATGCTTCTGAGCTCAATAGGGCTGAGTGTTGGTGTCATCGATGGGCTCATGGGGCTGTTGTTCGGTGGTAGTGAGATGAGGGCACTAAAGGAGTTTGAGTGGGAGGTTCAGAACGCAATGGCACGAGCGTTGGAGCTGGAAGGGAAGTCGAACAACGAGCAGCCCGCATAGCGCAGCGTAATGCAGCATCAAATGGACTGTACATGTGAAAGCCACTCTAGAATTGATGAGGTGTATCTGACTGCACGTGCGCCCGCGTCGCGAAATAGGGAACCGCCAAGATCCCGGTGCATCAGTCGCTCAAGCGTCACCCTCGATGCATCATCGCTCACACCTCAACCCCACCACGCAGTGATCTTTGAACCACACGGCATGAGAACGCGTCGCGTGGCCATCGCGATTCCCTGAACACGCCAGAAATTCTACTGCAGCCGTCTACGATCGCCCGAGCGCGACAGCCCTCGCCATGAGCACCCAGCCCCAGGCAGGCGGTGCTGGCCAACAACAGCAACAGCAGCAGGGCCCGAAGCTGCTCAAAGCAGACGACATTCTTAGGCTGCAATGTCTGACCGACGACGAGAAGCAAAAGTACCGGCTGCTCATGCACAATACCTGGAACATGTTCAACAATGCGACACCAGGCAGCCCGGAACAGACACAGGCGCGCACGACCCTGCAGCAATTCTCCCAGAAATTCATCGCGAGGGAGCGAGCACACAGGGCGAAGATACAGCAGCAACAGCAGCAGGCTGGACAGGCACAACCCAATCAGGCTGGTGCAGGCGCACAGCAGGCTCCAGTCAAGCAGGAAGGGCAAGGGATTGCTGGGGAGGCTGCGACGAATCAGCAACAGCAACAGTCATTGCAGGCACAGAATCAAGGACAACAGCGACCGCCAAACTCATCTGTCGACCCATCCATCATCAAGCACGTCCAGGAATTTCCGTTCACGCTACCACCCACCTACACCATGGGCACGCCGGAGGCCGAGGCAAAACTTAAGGAGTACAAGAATGGCTATCTGAGCATGCTCGCAAAGCAGGCAACGCTGACTGAAAACATTAAGAGGATCCAGGCGCAAATGCAAGAGCGACAAAAGAGTGGACAAGAAGTGCCGCCGGAATTGACGAACGCAAAAAACAAAGCCGAGGAAGAGTATTATAGAATGAAGGCTCAGATTGAGAAGTTCCGCGGGCTGCAGAAGCAGTGGAAGGACGAGCGCGGCAATCAAGGGCAGGGAGCGCAGCCTGCGCAACAGGCCCAGCAATCTCAACAGACACCGCCGCAGCAGCCGCAACAAGGACAACAGCCACAGGCGCCCCAGCGGCAGCCTTCACTTTCCGGACCGAGTGGTCAGCCCGCGGTCAAGGAGGAACCACAGATTAAGGTGGAGGGTGGGCAGCCGCAGCAACAGCAAACGCAACCCCAACAACCACCGCAGTTCAACCAGCAACAACCACCTCAACAGAACCCTCAAGGACCGCCACAACAGCTCCAACAGCAGCAGCAGCAGCCAGGGCAACAGCATATGCAGCCGGGACAACAACAAATGCAGCCAGGACAACAACAAATGCAGCGTCCACCACCCGCACCACACTCCCTCAGTATGCCTCAACAGCCGCAATTTCCACAGCAAGGCCAGCCTCGCCCGCAGATCAACCCCCACCAGGCGAACATGCAACAGCACCAGCAAAGCAACTCGCCACACCCACAGTCCGCGACGACAAATGGCCCGCCAGTCCCCCTCTCTCACCAGGCCGCCATCAGCGCCGCGAACCGCTCCTACACAGACCCTGCACGCGCTAACACGCCCATGCAAGCCGGCGCAGGAGGCTCGTTCCACGCGCCGGGCAGCCGCGAGCGCGAGCAGCTTAACAACCCTAAGATGCCCATCCCTCGTCATCTCAATGTCACATCACCCATGCCCGTCAACATGGGCCAGCAGCGCCCAACCATGAGTGGCCCTACCAACGGCGCACCAGGACCCATGGGCCAGCCTGTTATCCACCGGCCACCGCCCTTCCAGCTCGAGGGTGATGGCGATCGCGTTCTGAGCAAGAGAAAGCTAGACGAATTGGTCAGACAGGTCACGGGCGGGAGCGAGGAGGCGCTCACGCCCGAGGTGGAAGAGGTAAGACTCCTTGTCCCTGCAATGGTCCAATGTACTTAATGCTAATTCCTCACAGGCAGTTCTCCAGCTCGCAGACGACTTCGTTGATAATGTCATCTCCAACGCATGCAAGCTCTCGAAACTGCGCGACAGCCCACAGCTCGATATCCGCGATATTCAGCACGTTCTCGAACGCAGCTACAACATTCGCATTCCCGGATATGCATCTGACGAGGTGCGCACAGTCCGCAAGATTGTGCCGGCAGCAGGGTGGGTCGACAAGATGAAGGCGGTCAATGCGGCGAAGGTTATGGGTGGTAAGACGGACTTCTGAGGCTCTCGTCAGGCAGAAGTGTAAGGACAGAGAGGATATGCCGAACTGACTTAAGAATGAGGAGAGTATTGACTACCATAATTGATGGAATGCATGGGGCGGTTGGTTATCAGCAACGACTCATGCCTATTTCGGCGTTGAAGAGATGGGACATTGTGCTGGTTGGCCCACTCGGCGAGAAAAGTCTTCAACACAACCACACCGCAACACCGGCGAGCCTGAGGCACCTTACCATAGGTGTTCGAGCACTCGAATACTATTTTGCGCATTATGATAAGGTACTTTATCCACTATACTTTCATGAATCAGATCATCATCTGGCCTAATGGCCCAATGGCAAGGCGCTTGACTACGATCAGTTCGAAATCAAGAGATTCCAGGTTGTAAGCATTTACCTACTCGCACTGCCCAGCGTTCGAATTCTAACTGCTACTGCTTAGCGACCCCTGGTTAGGTCACACCAAACATTTTCTTTTTGCCCGTGTGACTGCTCGTGATAAGTAGCCGGACTTCTAGCGTGACCTCTAGCGCATCCTACTGCTCATGTAACCACAAGGGAAACTCACGGCAGGTGCGCGACAGTGTGCATCTTCCTCCTTGTTCACCCTCGATGTTCCTATTCGCATATACAATGCCAGATTGGTAGCCGTCTGTATTTCATCAACACGTTCAACGACTAGAATTCTTGCGACTGGACTGGGTATGCGATTTAACAGGAAATCTAGTAAAGGAAAGATCCTTTGTCGTAATGCGTTCACCTTTGCTCGGAGTCTCGTCATTTAACTAAATCAAGCAAGCAATCGAAGGACAGTACAAACATTTGGCGAGTTTGTTAAGGCTTGGTATCTTCTGTACTCCCTTTGATTCCAGTTGGTTCACTTCACAAATATTATAAGTCTGTTGCTGTTTGCCAACCAGCAATTCGAGTGTCCCACCAAAAACAACGTGATAAGCAGAGGCACACAAATAAAGCCCACACAGGACTTGATGAAGACTCGTCTCAACCATCCTCGTTGCATACACAAAACGAACAGGAAATCGGATAAATCAGGTGATGGTGTAAGAAAACGGTTGTGTGGTTAGCACATGTTAAACAACTGTTATGCAGACAAGGAGAGACCATGTCGTGTTCTACGCTAAATAATCAGTTCTATAGAGAATATATCTAAGATGCGTCACACGCAGTTTCTGTATATTAGCGTCAATATCAACGGCCTCTAGCTATGCGCCCTAGGTCCCTTGATCGCGCTATATATATAGAAGTCTTCCATTCTGCATTGAAATCACACTAATACATGCGTAGGTCAAGAGTTATGGCTTCAACTAGCCATAAGACATCTTCTGCAGAATAACCATTTGCTGTAAAGGATATATATACGTAGCAAAGCTAATAGTTCTATAGAGTGTAGTCAGTTAGCATTCTTAGATATAGCGCGTATCCTTAACCGTAGAAATAAGCTATAAGCTATCTTTTGGTACTGCCCCACGTCGTTCAGGATTACTCAATCCTGCATAGTCAAGATATTTAGCTGGTGGGCCATCTCGACGTCTGCTTGTGGTCAGTAGAACCCCTTCGGAGAGCCACAAGCATCGTACCAGTACATGTGCTCTTGCGTCACCAAGACCTCGGGCCAGGTATGTCGTGCGTTTTCCACTTGTGCTTAAGTATGAGGCCAATGCTTGACATGGGTAGCACAAGGAATATGGTCACGAGGGCCAGCTTGGCTTCAAGGGACCATATGGGCTCGGAAGTAACAACGGGTAGATCTGTTGGGACAAGGCGCTCAACCAGTAACGCTGCGTTTGAGAAACCGAGGGCCAAGATCCACAATAAGAAAGACAGGACGAGCACTCTCAGGAGTAAGCAAAACTTATGTAGCTTTGAAAGACATGCGTACCCTCGGCGATTGTCATGGATGTATCATAGATGTATTCGGGTGTTTGATATGAGTGTAGAAAATGAGGCTGGAGATGATATCGCGGACGTTGAATCAAAGGTCGAACAGAGTGGACAACGAGACGTTTAATCACAATCTCCCGGTTCTCTGTAAAGCATGGGGGGCTAACTTTGACCTTGCCAGATCTGATACCACATTCATCAGATCGCAGTCTTGTACAAATGATCGAAGCCTGCAGGCATCCGGTGTCGTTGTCATTCTTCAATCTGAATGGCCAGATAGAAGGGCTGAAAGACGGAACAAGGGATGAACATACCAAGGGTAACATGAAAACGCAGTTTGTGTACCTCGTGGTGAGGCTGGAAAACGTGGGCTGGCGGGTCCGCAGCCGCGGTCATGGTATTATACGTAGCATCTCTAGGTCGTCAACCCTTGTCCAGGGCGCATCACGATTTGAACGTAAGCGAGCCAATACCAGCCGAAGATGAGTATAAAGCCCCAGGGGAGGTGCGACAAGACCAAGTGACAGTGAAATTGTTGCGGTATCAAGGGCAAATGTAAAACGAGTGTATTGTGTTGTTCTGTGTTCTTTTTGATGACGTGTTTGTGATGCAGCTGAGGTAAGAGGTGCTCAACAACATGAGGAAGCAGCACCAGACCACCGCCAACAACACGTGATCCGCTTCTCCTCTTAACCATCACAGAAATCTTGTGAATGTTCCGGAACGATTCAAGGTGCCGCGCTGCCGAAATACAATGTTATACAAGCCATGCTACATGCATGCATTTTGAGGCGGTTCAAGATTTGCCCAATGCTTGGCTGATATCAAGGACTTCTGTGAAGGTGTGCTTGATCTCTTCTACGAGGGCCCTTGCGCGACCTCTGCGCGTCCGTATCATCACTGACAGCCTCCACTCTTCTGACCCACGGAAGTTGCGTCTGCAAGTGAACTTTGATGGCCTTCACCTACGTTCCTGCAATGCAGAGCCATCCAAAGCTGCTCTGCTGCCCAAAACAATGACCAAAAGTAGCACTGCAGTGATTATGGATGTCAGCGGCAGTATGGTCTCGAGCGACCAAATCGACTCGGTACCCGAGTCAATGGAGCCGAATTACCTAGAGCAATCATCAGCTCGATCCAAAGAAGGTAAACAATGAATATGAATGGCACGCGGTGTGTGAACAAAGGCCTCCAGACCGTCGTGAGGCGTGCAGATTGACTCCATGCCGGGTCTTGTATATTTCACACAATATTATGCTGCTCGCCAGATCGTACATTGCGAGATAGAATGACGTCCGCTGGTGACGTCGATGCGATCCTTGGTGGAGAAGCTGACATGTACGCGCCATCTGTGCCGTCGAGGTTTGCAGAGAGGTGGCTTATTTAGTGCCTCAAGTGTGAAGTGCTTTAGTCCTTGCCGTACTTAGACGGCGACTTCTCAAGGTTCATCCTCCTACGAGCAATGCGTATTTGGCGCTCAGTGCATGCTGGCACGTCTTTCTGACGTGGAGTCTATAAGTATAGATTCATATTGTCTTCGTGAAAGCAGAAAGGATATCATACTACATCGCTAATCTCAAACCATTTTCCCCCTCTGGGTCCTTAGGAGGGTCCGCCTCAACAATCCGTTTGGCCCTCTCGACACCCGCCCGGGCCGCATTCTCCTCGATGTCTAATCTGAATCATCACTACTGGGCGGATCATCAGTCGGCGGCTTGGTCGAATGACTCAACGAAAAGTCAAGGACATCGCTCTTGTCGCCCGCATCCACATACTTCCTCAGACACCAGCCAATCTGCACAGCTGTACTCTTTTCATTACCCAAAGGATCTATCTGTCGCCCCTTGACGAAGATGATCTGGTTTTCGCTGTCTTCGCGGTCGTAGACGCGGTCTGAGGCCCCGAAAGCAATGATTGCTAGCTTTGAGCTTCGACTCTGGAGCTTCGCGTGCTTCGTGCTCGTTTCGAAGCCTTGTTGTGCGAGGCCGGCGAGGAGGTGCTCGTAGATCTTGCGAGGAAGTTTGCTGGACGACGGGCGTGTCGTCGGCCAGGTTGTAATGTTGAGGGTTACAAGGTTGGGGAGGTCGCCAAGGCAGTTCTTCGCGGGTCAGCATCTGGATTGAAGATAGGGGCGATCGAAACATACCTCGAAGTTCACGAAACTGTCGTTCTTCGGACGGACGACACTTACATTTGGAAACGCCATGGAGAGTTGTTCTAATAGAGGGCAGTCCTTACATATCGCGGAGAAGTAGGCATAGTCGTACACCTGCTCGTCGTCGCACTCTTCAGGCGCTCGCGAGGCATGGACACTCAACTGCTTCAGCGTCTTCCCATGCCTTTTCACACCAGTATGCGCGGGTAAGCTGTTCGCGTTCGAATAGTCTAGTGTAAGCACTTCGATGCCGGAGACCAAACACAGGAAGTCATCCAGCGCGCCTAGGCCATCGTTCTCGGTGTTGTCCGCGAGCTTAATCTCCAGAGTCTCAAGCTTCTGCGGCAATTTCGTGCTCTTGCTCAGCTCTGCGAACAGAGCATCGGTACCCGTACAGCTGAACACTCGAATGCTCTTCACTGTGCGGAAGTCGATGATCTTGCAGTATGTCTCCGCCGAGTATCGCAGACCCAGCTTCTGCAATGTGATCTCGTTCAGCGCAAGAGGTGTGCATGTGGCGAACGGCTGCATGTGGCTGAACATGATGGATGTGATCAGGCCGGGCTCAATCGAGGAGTCGTTCAGGACTCTGTCCGGTATTTGGACATCGCTGTCGTCGAAGCTCGCGTGCACAGTGATCTTGTCGAGATTCGAAGTGTGCTTCAGGATGAAGTGGCAGTAGTCCAGGACTTCTCGCGAGTCAGGATACAGGCCGACCTTGCGGACGTTTGCGAACTGCTCCTTGAAGTCTGGGATCTTCTGCAGCTCGTCCAGCACGTTCCTGTCCAGCGCGATGCTCTCTGCCCACTTCATGCGCTTCTGCTTCCTGTACAGCAGCACCAAGTTGTCAGCTGAGAACGGCGTCCATGGATGCCATGAGAACTTGTCGAGTATGTTCTCCGGCAACAGTTCCAGTATCATGCGCACGGCGAAGTTGGCCAGGTGGACCTGGTTGCATTTGTCGAGCACATCTGCCAGGTACAGATCGAGCTTGCGAATGTGCGGCAGACCGATGTTCCTCGGGTTGAGGAATGCTCCGAGGCGCGTGTCCTTGCTCGAGCCGACATCGATGGTGACTTCGCGGTAGAGGCGGCGGACGGTGACGTCGCGGAGCTGCTGCGAGGTGAGACACAAGCTCTTGAGGTCAGTGGGACGGTTGATCTGAGGCGTTTAGCGAGCGCCGCAGTAGTACAAACGTCGGGGTGCAGCATACATGATCGATGACCAGCGCCTTCAGATCCGTCGGAAGCTTTGCGAAGTCCGGGTGCGGGATTTGCGGAGACATGGTCACTCAGCGTCGTGGGCGGGAGCCTGCAGCACTCTGCGGTTGCGGCGGCCTCGGAGGCGCCAGCCCTTTGGGGGAAGCTGTGGTGCTGGGACAGCGAATGTGCGAGTCTGGTGCGTAGGCAGAACTGCGTCTGCTGCCTGCTCGGGCGAGAGAATCTCAGCCTGACTGGTGCAGTGTGTCTTGGCTTCAAGTCAAAGAAGCCTTTGGTGAGCGAGCGCCGTGGCACAGAGACCTTCGGACCTCCAGACCTTCAGACCTTCAGCCTCACCTCCAATACCGACGGCCCCACATGAAAGCTGGGGCAAGCGCACCTGGCTAGCGCCCATTATTGGAGGGGCCATCTGCACGGTTCCGTCACTGACAGGCGGCTAGAACACAGCCACAAGGCGCTCGCTCACATGTGAAGTCAAGCTGACAGATTGTAGCAGATGAAGTGCGTGTGCGTATTTGAAGTGCGTGTGCGTATTTGAAGTGCGTGTGCGTATTTGACTCCATAGAAGCCCATATGACTGTACATGCGAAACCGCTATCAAGACATCCAGACCATGCGCAGGACGTCGACTTCGTATATTGCACACCAAGAACGCCCAATGCAAACACCGCGCTATGCAGGCGAACCAAACTCTAACAAACTCATGCCTCGCCGTCACTGCTATCAAAGCCAGCCAGTAGCTCTGCCTCCAGAGCATCGTCGTTGTCGTCTTGGACGTCTGGTGCGACGGCCTTCTCTTCCGGTCCTGTCTTCGCGACGCCGAGATTCACAGCCTCTGTGCCTGTTGCTTCTGGCGTCGGTAGACCCGACGATTTTTCTGCACTAACGACATTCGTAAGTGACGTTACTCGTTCCATCGTGCGCTTCTTCCGCCGTTGGAGGCGGGATGTGCTTGCAACGCTGCTGTCACTCTCCTCGGCCTCGCTCCCATCAGTCGCGTTGCCGTTGGTACGCTTTCGTTTCTTTTGGCTCCTGCTTGATGTCGACGCTGTACTATCGTCCGAACGTTCGCTTTCAGACCCTGAAGCGCGTTCCTCGTCTGTGTCCTCGCCATCCATGAATGCGTCGAACTCGTCGTCAACACCGTCCCAGTCTTCAGGGTTCAGATTGACCGTCACTGGTGATTCGGCGAGACCATCAATCTCCTCTTCACCCGATGCGTCGATGCTATCGTCCTCAAGAGGCGTTCCGCCGCGTTCAGCTGGATCGATCTCGATAAGATACGGAGTCTCGTCAACGTGCTCCCATCTTGAGCAGCATTGAAACATCCACTCGGGAGTGACTATCTTGATATCCTTGTAACGTGCAGCCTTCTTGACTTTGGTGGTCTTCCGGTCGGGGTTGGCGATGACATGGGTCGTCCGTTTGGTCACTTTAGTGGATACTTCTGCGCCAAAGCTGCTGATCCAAAGTGCATAGTCGGACCTGGCATCGTTAGCAATGACTAATGAGCAGTGAGACCGCACTTACGACTGCACGTCAGCACCGAGCGGTATTATGCCAGAGAACACCACGCGGGCGTGGCCCAGTACTCGTTCCTTGATCGAGGGCATCAGTTCAGCAACATCAGGGATGACCTCGGTTGGACGCTTCTTCGGGCTCCTTTCGCCTTTGAGCACAGCTACACGTCCCACTGGTCCTACGGCTGTCGAGGACTTGTACTCGTCGTAAAAGGCGGCATGCACACGATTGAGATTGTTCTCGACTATGTCCAGGCCTCGGTCGTCGTCGTGAAGAATACTGTGCCGGTTTCTGGAATGCTCAGAATGATCTGTCTCGCCGTTTGATGCGTCTGGCTCTTCGCTTGCTTCCGCCTCCTCGTCTGCCTTGTCCTGCATGAGCTGTTGCTGAAGCAGCGGCCGCTCGGTCTGTTGCGCAATGATTACCCGTTCCTGCTCCTTTGTTTGCTGGTCAAGTGTCTCGGGTGACGCCATAGACAACAGCTGCTGTTCCAGTGCTTCTCCGACTCCATTGGCGCCCTCCGCCGGTGTAAACTCGGCGTTCTTCTCGGCAGCTGGCGCAACCTCGGCCTTTTTGACGGGAGCTGCGAGGGGTTGCGACTGGGTCACGAGCTCTTGTTGTTTGGGCAGGAAGCTTGCGTTGATGTCGCCGGCGCCGGGGAAGAAGTTGAAGACGGGGACGCGGACAAGGTGGGGGCTGTACTGCCAAACATCTGCTCTGTCGTCGATAATGACCACCATGGATGTGTTGTGGTAGAACAGCCGCTGTAGGCTCTTCAGCTTGTCCGTGTAGTTCTCGTCGCGGCTCAGGATGCGGTCGCCGAAGTACTTGCGCTCGGGATCGATGATCTTACACACTGCCTGCGCATATGCGCGAGTGGCCATTGTGTAGACGTGCATCTCATACTTGTTCGAGACCCGGTCGAAGAAGCCTCTCAGGCCCGGGCGCATCTTGACGTAGTACCAGTTTGCTGCGACGTGGGAGACGTTGTCGTCGGCGAGCTGGAAGCCTTCGACGTCCTTGACCGCCGCGTGGTTGGGGTTCTTGGGGTCCGCCTTCCACTCGGCAATGGTGCGCTCGCAGGTGGTGTGGATGACGGTTTGGTCGAGGTCGACGATCAGCGTAAGCTTCCGCGAACTCAGCAGGCGCTTCTTCGTCTCCTCCTCACCGCGCAGGGCCTCGTTGTGGCTGACGAGCAGGGCGGTGTTATCGTGGGTCATGTTGACCGTCGCGCGGTCCGTGTTGCGCGACTGCGTGAGGTGATCCATCTTGGTCATGTCCTGGCCGCACTCGGCACAGAGGCCGCCGAACTGGATCTCGTGTGTGCATGGCTCCTCAATCTCGATCAGCTCGGTTCTGGGCACGTTAGCAGCGGCGCGAGGGCGAGAGCGCGCGGGCAGCTTACCCCGGGCGCGCAATGACGGCGCCGGCCTTGATGAACCAGCGCGAGACTTTACCCTCGGTGCTCGCATCGAAATGGGCGTTGAGCTTGCGCTTGACGTCGCTCTCGAGTCCCCACTTGTCCGTCTCGGCCACGGTGCTCTCGTACGTGTACGTGAACAGGCGCTCCGAGCGGCTCACGTCATCGTCCCGCTTCTTGAGCAGCTCGAGCACGGTGATGGGATAGTGCAGACCCGGGGGCGATGAGATCTTCATTCCGCGTCGAGGCTGCGCATGCGGCCGGGGGTGTGGGCGTGAGCGTGAGCGTGAGCGTGGTGTTCAAGGCAGTCGCGTCGCGCAAGTCGGCGCATTAGGGATGGTTCCGCGGAAGCTGTCGAGCCTGGGGCGCGTCACTGAGCAGAGGAGCTATGACGCGGTGCGCACGAGGGATTGCAGCAGTGACAATACAATGTGGGGACCGTCGCGGGATGCAGGCGCGCAGCGATGCAGTGCAGTGCAATTGTTGCAGAGAAAGGGCTAGAGAACAGTGGTGTTGCGCCTCCGTGTCTACCGGTAAACCACCCGTTTTTGAGAGGGGCTTGGAGCTCTATAAGTAAATGCTGCTGGACCGTGCACGCCGCATGCCGCCTCGATGAAGCACCAAACAAAGAGACCGTGTTTGCCAAAAGCAGACTCGAATCAAAGCGGCCAAGGCAAGTTACGGAGTGGTGACCAGCGTGTTGTTTGACGAAGGATGGTGCGTCTACGCTTCACGGAAGCAGGCAGCCACGCTCGCTCTCAGAGGCCACGTGCACGTGCTCGTGCTCATTGTTTGTCTTGCATCGTCATTGCGTACGTGGGACGTTGTGGATTGGGCATTGGAAAAATTATAAGTATTGCACTGCTTTCAGGCAGCTCTCAGGCATCAATGTCGTCTGATAGGTGCCTAGGTCACAGTGTCGTGAGCCGTCATGTCTATCAATCTTCCAGGCTCCTAGAACGCCATGCTAGTACCCAAAGAAACCTACAATGCTCAGTCTCTATGTGCCGACTCAGAGGTACGCTTCTGCGCACCTCTCAGTACCATGCTTCCCAGAACCAATGAGCCTCCACCGGTCCGAGATGCGTCCTGAGTCATTCCTATGACAGCCTGCTGCGCCTCGAACGGGGCAACGTCAACTTCCTCCCCCTCTTCGACCATTGTCCAGTCATCTTCAAACTCGTCTGTCTGGTCGCCTTCCAGCTTAGCCTGCTTGTTAATTAGAGTGCGAGCACGGTCCAACTCGCGGTAAATTGTCTGGATGGCAACTTGTGCGCCATTGTCCTGTCTCGGGTTAGTGACGTGAGGGAGTTTTGAATGCACAATGCATACCTTGCGAATTCTTTGGCCCAACACCTTCGCCTTGACAATCATGCGTTGACTATTGGTCACCTCCCACAAGGCTCGACTAAAAACACTTGTATTGACCTTCTTCAGCCATATGCCGACGCCGAGGTCCTCGACGCGCTGAGCGAAGAAGTACTGGTCACCGAAGAAAGGCTTGATGATGGTAGGGATGCCAGCTCGTAAACTTGCGCCTGTTGTACCAGATCCACCATGGTGCACAGCAGCGTCCATCTGCTTGAAGAGCCAATCGTGCGGTGCAGCCTGAATCTGGAATACCTCAGGCGGTAGTGGGATCTCAAGCTTTGATGCATCTTTCGTCTCTAGACGATCTGACCAGCCCTTGGATAGGATGCACCGCACGTTTGCCTTGACGACTGAATCGACCACAGTCTTTGTCAAAGCAGCAGGATCATCGATGACAATAGAACCGAAGCCGATGTAGACGAGCTTCTTTTCGTCCTTTCGTGCCTTCTCGATGAAAGCCATGAGGTCCGCAGGCGGTTCGTACATGTCTGCCTCGTCCAAAAACCAGTAGCCGGTTACGCGGATCCAGTCAGGCCAGTCTAGCGGTGGAGGCACCACATGGGGGCTAAAGTTGTACATGAATGGGCGAGAGTTGGCCTGCATCTTGGCTTGGGACGTATTCTGCAATCCCAGTTCTCGGCGACGCCACTTGTTGATCTGACCGGAGATGGCTGTCCAGAAGATGGCATCAAAAGTGATGTACGTGATGTTGTTGTAGCCGCCTCCCATCTTCTTCTCCAGAACCGAGAAAGCGTGGGGGTAGGCGCGGGTTCGTGTCCATGGCATCGTGAACGCGCGGAAATATGGAACCTCGAGGGCTTCTGCAATATGAATACCCGCCATTGCGCTGGGGCTTTCGATCAGAACATCGGCACCCTGGCAAGCGCGCCATGCAGAGCTGCAGACGTCATCAAGCCAACCTCGAAACTTGGAGTTCGCCTCTTTCATGAAGCCGTACGTGAACATGCCATGTTCAACGCAAATGCGCATGAGCTCGGCGGGATTGCCATCGACAGGCGCAAAGTCAATGCCATGCTTCCTGACCCAGGGTTCGAACTCAGCGTGAGTTGCTATCCGCGGCTTGTGGCCCTCCTTCAATAACTCCTTGCAAAGAGCAATGTAGGGCTGTACATCTCCACGAGAACCAATGGTAAGACAGACCACGGTGAGAGATTCGGTGGGCTTGAAGTCAACGAAGGAAGCGAGCGGGTCGTCAAAGATAAGCGGTATGCGCTCGTGGTCAGCAGCGCGAACGAGTTTGGATACATCAACTCGTGGGTCCTCTGCCGTGTCCTGGCGCGCTTGCTGGAGCAGATCATGCTCTGCTTTGGCTGCCTCGTCGTCGCTATCAACGCCTGAAGATGATGAGTCCCTGTCCTCTAGGTACTTTGCTTTCTCCAGTATGCGGAGCACAGCAATGGCGCATTCGTCTCGGTACTCGGCCTTCGAGAACTCAAAGAAGAGCTCCTCGTGACCTCGGATGACGATAGCGAGGCCATGGTAGCCGATTCTGAATCCCTTCTCTTTGTTGACGTTCTCGATGTCCTTCATGGGCAGGATAATCTTGGTTTTCGATGTTGGCATCAAGCTGCGGAAGCAGAAATATTTCCCGCTGATGTAGATCTTGCCGTAGTTGGGTAGCACGCGCTGCAGTGAGGCGAAAAAGGAGGATTGCAGTATCTCGGTCTCAGGGAAGGCAAAGTGCTCTCTGAAGTTCTCTGCCGCTTTGACGGCATCTTCGTCGTCCTCATACCCGTGCACTTGGTCACCGGTCTCCAGTCCTTCGTCGGTATTATAGTGCTTGCGTCCACCAGCCAGCATTCCAGACACCTTGTCGTAGTATCCCATAGACTCAGTTGCGAGCAAGTTGCCCATCTTCTTTGAACGGTTGCGGAGGAAGCCTGCAAGACCAGTGGCTTTGTTGAGGGGGTACGATGCAATGTCTTGGAGCGCTGATGACGAGCCTGACAACCGAGGTGGAGCTACACCCGCCTCCACATCCTCGTCGGTTGTTTCGGGTGCGACAGCCGCCGCCTTTGCGTTGTTGTCACTTCTTCGGTGTTGCATTGGTTTTGGTGATCGTCTGTCCCGCCCAGAAGAGCGCGTTGTATCTTGTGAGTACCGCGCTGATGGCCCCGGTTGGTCAGACGCGGTGACGGGTGAAGGGTTTGCTGGGGCGCGGAATACGTCGGACCGGTTCAGTATCTGCGATGCGGATACGTTGCTCTCGTCTATCGATTGTATGGCAGCAGATGACTCCGTATCGCGTTCGAGTGAAGTAGTCGCGGACTCAGTATCCGTCGCTCTTGTCGACAATGGCGATCTATCAGCCGGGCGGCTCGTCGTTTGTGCACTGTGGCGGCCTCTACTGAAGCTACGTCTCAGTTCAAGACTTGGCCGGCGGAACATACGACTAGCATCCATGCTGCGTCGCGCGTCCCAGCTCTTTCGGCCCGCATCCATACTGGATCGCGCAGATGCTTCACTAATGCTTGATCGTCCCACGTGCGGTGCTGGCAGTGGTGTAAGGGTAGTACGGACGGGTTCCACGATGGACGGACTGATTGGGGGGTTTGCATCTCCTTTCGGCGAAGCAGTGGGTGTGATGATCGCAATATCATTGCGGGACTGTGTTGGTTGGTGGTGCTCATTGTCGTTGATCATGATTCGAAGAACGTTGAGCGCATCCTGGCCATTGTTGAAGAACGAGAAGAAGTACTATGCTTGTCAGTGAGACGCTAACACAAATGAAATGCTGCGTGTGTACCTCGTCGATGGCGAACGTCTCGTCATTATCGATGACCCTGACCTTGACAGTATTTGCGAAGTCGAGTATGGCGCTCTCCTCTATCTCCAGTACGTTCTGGATGGGGAGTGAAATCTTAACGCTGTTCCCTTCGTTGTGTGTCCGGAAGATCACCTTCTGAATCGACCGCACCCACTCCTTTGCACTAACAGCGCTATCTGCCTTGAACTGGTATGTCCGTTCGTCGGTCGTGACAGTGAACGTGGTTTCATCCTCGTTCTTCTTCTTGGCTTCTAGTATCTCTGCAGACATGGCGTACTGCAAGTTGATACGGTTTCGTGGGAAGTACAATTCCGCCGGATTGGTATAGTAAGACAAGACGTCGCCTCGCAAAATGAACCAGTATCTATTATATTTGGATCGACCGCGCTTGGACAGGAAGCCAGTCTTACTGACATCATGCTAGAGTAGGTCAGTACACTGCTTTGAGAAGGGACTGCTTGACTGCTCACGTGTTTCTTGGGTATGTATGCATAGAAGCATATGTGCTTTTGGGTGATGTACATGTACCCTTGGAGCAGGACACTCTGTAATAGCCAGCAAGGGTACTCCGAGATGATCTCTTCAATCTTTTCGAACTCGAAGATCTGCCGTATCCGTTGTGCAAGCGTGATAGGCGCCGAAGCCTTGACTGTCCCCGCTGAGCTTCCATGCCTACTTCTCCCACCTGAGCTTTTCAGTTTCTGAACCTGTGCAATCTCGCTGGGGGTCGCCTTCGGCTTCGTCTTGGGTCGTTCGCTCGGCGTTGCAGAAGGAGATGCTGGCGGAGGCGGTCGCGGAGGCAGAAGCTGTGAAGATGACATTTGGTCCATGGACTGGCTTTCTGATCCCACATCCTTTTTGCTCCTCAGCTTGGGCAATGATTGCAACAGCTTGTGCCCTGACATGACCCTGCGGTGCTGCTTTTCCTGCCGGGGCTGCTCGTCTTGCGACTCATCTGCCCGCCTCTGAAAGTCGTTCGCTGAGCTTAGGCGGCTCAGCCGTGCGGCGCCATCCAGGCTGTGGTAAGGCTGCCGTTTTTTGCCTCCCTCGTCGCTGTCGCCCGATTCCGCCTCCTGCATGGTCGCGAGGTCGGTCTGCGAATGTTGCCCCGCGCGGGCTATCATGGAGAAGATGGACTGGTTCATCGACATCGTGTTGTTCCTCTTAGGCGCCGTAACATCGTCCTCGGCGTCGTCTCCATCCTTGAAGCGCTCTGGTATGTCGAGGGAAAGCCGGCGTGGCTCCTTCTCCGAGTCCCTGCGCTTCTTCGTCAAACGGCGGCTCGACCTAGCCCGGCCTCTGTCCTGCGATACCATCTTGTGCGTTAGGCGCGTTCACGACGCGGCAAGTCTACGTGAGATCGGGAGGTCGGGGATTGTTGCGGCGGAGTGCTGTTGCGCCGATCAAGGGGGCTTGGATATGCACGGGGCTGTATTGAGATGTGTTGTTGTAGGCAAGACGATGACTGCGACCGGCAGCTTCTAGAGTAAATCGTCACATATTGAACGAGTCCATCGATGGACTGATACGCTGACAACCCAACACACGTGCAGGATGCACGCACGACATCTAGCGCCCACATCCGCGCCGTTACACCGGATGACTGGTTGATAAGGCGCACATGTTTAGGCAACGTTACTCAACAATACTCTTTCAGGAACATTTCCCCCGCTATGCCTGTTCCCTCAAGACATTCACACATTACACATGGCTATGAACATGACCTGCTGTCGAGGCTCAGACTTGTCATCGTCGTACGTCATTCGTGAGCTGGCCCTCGGTACGATAAGATCGATAACGAGTCACGCTGATGGATGCCCGGCACCTCAACGGTGACACTGAACAGGACTGAATAGTCACTTTCGACAGAATTGCTCCCATTGTATTGACTTGATTTGCTGATGTACATGAATTCGACAATCTGTGCCGACATAACAAACGTTACCTATTACTGCTGCGTACAACACAGGCCAAGCAGTTCCATCTGCTGGTCGAATGATCCCAAGGCCCTCCTAAAACTCCAAACGCGTCCTAACATCATCGACAACTGCTTACTTGGCCTTAGCAAGACCAACAGCCGAGTTGCCGACGTCGTAGACAGAGTACCACCTCCTGAGGAAGGCGTCTCCGAGGATGGCGAGGGGACCTACGGGCTCAGGGAAGTCCATGCCGAAGAAGGCGGAGATACACGAGCCCTGGACCTCAAGGATGTAGTCATAGGCACCGATGGTGAAGTTGTGGCCGGTCAGAGTGAAGGTGAGGTCGGGCAGACTGTCACGCGTGTTGCACTCTACGGTGTACTGGCCGTTGTATGACTTCTTAGCACCGATTTCCTTGTTCAGAAGCTCGGCGATGGTAGAGGGAAGGGCAATGAGGGATGTACCAGTGTCAAGAATGACACCAGTGTTGTCCATCTCAGCGGTCTCCTTGCCAAAGGTGATGGCATCGAGGTCAACCTCCCAGTAAGCCTTACGCCTCAAAGGGATCTTGGTGAGCTTGCCAGTGTAGTGGCTCTCATCGATGCCACCGAAGGTAGCAACGGACTCCTGACCCTCGTTGGTGTCTCCGAGGTAGAAGGCAAAAACAGGCTCGTCGAGCAGACCCTGGTCGAGCATGTTGTAGAAGGGGGGAACAATCTTGTTGACGGAGATGGTGTCGTAGCCGAGACCCATGATGCCGTCGAAGCGGCCAAAGGCAAAGGCGAGACCAGGCTCAGAGGTGGCCTCGGCGAAGTCCTGGTGCTTGACCTTGAGGTCGCCAATCTGGAAGACATCGTTGGAGACGAAGCCGCTGAGCTCACCAGAGCCGTAGCGAATCTCGAATGACGTGCCGTTCTTCTTGTAGGTCGACGAGGCAGACGAGTCATACTTGGTGTGGAGGTAGCAGGCGATGGAGTTGCACTCAGAGGAGGGGACCCAAAGGTTGGAGCTTCCGGTGTCGAGAACGACCTTGAAGCTCTGGGGAGGAGTACCGAGGGAGATCTCAGAGAAGTCTGGTGCTATTAGTCGCCGTTCCAAGCTATTACTGAAGGATCAACATACACTGCGCGTTCAGGAAGTTGCTAACGGGCACTGGGTGCGAGCCGTCGGCGACGTAGGGCGCCTTGAACACCTGCTCGGCGTGCGTCTCGGGCTTGATGCCCATGTACTTTTGGCCGAGCGCCTTTGCGTGCTCCTGGATATTTGCGTATTTCTGAAGCTGTTAGACCATGTCGCCACCGCAAGGCGGCTATGCGGTCACTTACGAGCTGCTCTGAGAGAGGCACCTTCTGGAGCTTCATCTTGTGGACGCCGGCAAAGGCGGGCGAGGCCAGCGCACCCGCGGCGAGGAGAATAGCCGTCTTCATGATTGCAGTGAGCGATGGGTGGTAATGGAGAAACGCACTCGAAGAATGCAGTGGAGTGAGTGATGGGAGGAGAGTTCTGACGGGCGGTGCCTGGAGAGGTTGGGGCTGGGGCTTGGAGCTTCCTAGCGCCTGGAGCTATCGGCGTTGTCGTCATGTGCACTGTTAAGAAGGCACGTGCGCCCGCGTCAGTTCCTGCAGTGACGGGATAGGATCAAACTGGCCGATCCACTCTCTGACGCTTTCGGCATCGAAGAGCTTGAATCCCTGTATTCCCCACACTGACCCTGGAGATACTCACGGTCGGGGTGCATGGCAGCGAGTTCATGTCGAAAGATGTTCCATTGCTAACAATTCACGGTCAATGTTGAAAGCTGTTGCTCTACTAGCTACCAGTCGCTGTGTCGATCAAAGCTGACCACCGAGCCACGCTCTCGAGGTGATCGAATTGCCAGTGCAAGTTCCGCCTTTACGCTGCGCTACATGCTCAAGCTGCCAGCAAGTTCCATTCGCACACTTCTGGAGGTGACTTGTAAGGCCATGTGCGTCATCACTTCTCGCTCCTTGGCTGGTTCGAAGCCACTATAGCCGGGCCGCGCTGGCGCAAGCTCGGCTGTTGCAAGGCGCTCCATCGCTTGGGAGGTCTACATTGAGACGAGCATCTGGTCTTGAGTGGACGTCCTGTATTTAGCAGAATACGAAGTACAAGGACAGCAACGACCCAACGATGTGTATAAGTCGTACTTTCGCCTTTCCCCTCTCTTATACCGCCGCAACCGGGTCATCCGTGTACTGAGGAGCGATTATTCTTCCCTCCTGCTCGCGCTGTGCTGTCTCCAGATCAGCCGCCCACAGCGCAGAGCTTACGGCGGCTGTTAACAGGAAGAACATGCTGAAGGGCGGAACTAGCTGTAAGAACAAGTAGATAGTACCGTACCTGGGACTTGTCAGTAACGCACGGGAACGCGTATTGGCGAGCTTACCATGTGTATTGCCATCTGCGCTTGCCAACAAACTGGTCTCTCTGTTTACGGTCGAAGCCCAAAAGCTGAAAGTACCTCCAGTGCTGGAAGGGACCTGCACGGTACCCAGTGAGCAAGAGGAACAATGGCACTCCCACGTATGGCACGAGGTTGAGCGGCAGTAGGAGGATGAACTCGGCGATTTGGCGGAAGGAGAATGGCGCATATACGGAGGATTTCGTAGGCTTTCCGAGACGGCGTAGGGGGTTGTCCAAACTCTCCTCGGACAGAGGACGGTGCTGCCGAACAAGGTCCTCGTAACCCTTGTAGATCATGACAGCATCAAATATGTCCACCTGGGTCTCATCCACCAAGAAGGCCTCGAATAAAATAGCCACCGCAGCAGCTCCTTCGCCTAGCACCAAGAATGTGCCGTTCACCCAAGCACTGCCACCCTTGTGGAATATCGAGAGGAACGCGACCTGCGGTAGGTAGGTCCAGAAGAACAGATTTAGAAGGACGAAGCTGCTAAGGAGGAAGGCAGGCAATAGCCGAGTCTTGAGCATGGGGTAGAGGAACGGTGTTGCAATGAAGAAGAAGACTCCCTGTTGCCTGGTCAGTTTCGCACTGTATTACGCTGGGAGTTGCGAACCTTTGGCAGATAGGACACTGCGACTGTATTGTGCCATGCTGGTCTTATCATGACCCTAGGGACGTTACGCAGGGCAAACTGCCGCTGTTGTTCAGGCATGTTGGTGATGTGGTGAAGTAGTGTTCAAGATGACGCAGTACCTACCAGTACCTAGCGCGTCGCCAGCCTATCGATTGATCGACAAATTCGGTCCCAGCCGCAGGTGACAGAGCACATGCAGGGTCTACATAATATTCGAAATGACCTTCGAAAGTGGGACCAAGAGCAATTGATTCGGACATGTGACAGGTTGAAACTTGTAAATAGAGGGTATATAGCGCGACCAGGTTCCTCAGCCTAGCGTCTTCGTCTTCTTCTCCTTCTGCCTCTCCATAGCTTGGAGAACATCGTCTGCGTTATTGACATCTCCTTTCCTCTTCTTCGGCCCTCGCTTCCTTTTCTTCGCAGCCTTCGGCCCATCTTCATCGTCATCGTCACCACCAGCATCCAATCCCTTCCACTCGCTGAACTTGACTTTCTCTCCCTCGCGCTCCATCTCGTCAGCATCGTCGAACCGTGACTCGCCAAAGCCCATGTCGATATCTTCCATATCACGATCCGATGCTGCAAGCTCAGCTGCACGCTTCCTCAGACGAGCCTCCTTGGAATCGGCCTCGCTGGGATTGGCAGATGATAGATTTTGCAAAAGCGTGGACTTCTCATCAAGATTCTTCACCTTAGCAAGCGCAGCGCGGACGGTCGCATCTGCAGAAGAGAGGCTTGGCATGCTTTCTGCAGCGTTGCTTTGGCTGTTCCCGGACTTGAAATAGTCTCGCTTGATAGCTTCACTAGGCTCAGATGGCTTCGATGCGACCGCGGTGGACTTGTCCTTCGACGTCTCTTGTGGTGTCGCTGGAGGAGTCTTCTTTTCTGCGGCGTCTGGCGCAGCTTCTCCTTCCTCCTCTGAGTCCTCATCGCCGTCATCGTCGTCAAGATTCGCAAGGGGATTGTAACTTGACCCGACTCCTGCGAAAATGTCATCATCTTCCGAATCCTCTTGCTTCTTCGGCTCCGGCAGGTTGTGCATATTGATCGGCTTAGTTGCATCGTCCAAGTCATGCCGTATTTCTGGTGCTGTCTGAGGTTCGACCTTCTGCTTCCTCACTTTCCTCTTCTCTTTACCATCTGCCGCAGTGATGATCAAAACTTCACGCCCCCTGTCGTCGATCTCGATCCTGGTCTGTTCTCCCTGACGTGTGATCTTCCGGAAGCCAGCCCCCAGGGTTGGGAACTTTCTCTCACGCTCTGCCTCGGCGGTCTTGGCTGCTTCCTCGCGTTGTCGTTTGAGCTCTGCTAAGATGTCTGCCCGAGTTCTCTTCGCACTTGCGACTGGTGGCGGCGGTGCCATCATCTTTTCACCCTTCTTCTCCACCTTCTCACGAGTGACGGCACCAACTTCTGCTTCGGCTAGCTCATTAAAAGCATCTTCCACGTCTTCGCCAGCCTCCTCTGGCTCTTCTTCCTCAGTTGCTATATCCTTGATGCTGCCCAGAACATCCTCGCCTCGTCTCACCCGCTCGAGAAGCTTCCTGTCGAGACCTTTTACCAAATGTGTGGTCCCAACGTCGCCGCCGGTGATTTCTGACACTAACTTCTCAAACGTCTCGCGGTCAATTTGCCCAAGCTTCATAGCTTCTTCGAGGTTCTTGATGCGTTTGGCGATCTCGTTGTCCTCGTCATCGACTCGTTCCTTCGTGCGGTCGGTGTAGCCGGCAGCTAGTTTTGTGCCTTTTGGTGCTGAGGCTCGCGACTTCTTCTGAGGGTTTGCTTTGGCATTGCGCTCTGCCAGTTGGCGGGCAAAGTCGGCCTGTACCGAGCCTTTGCCTACCTGCCGCCTAAGCTACATTAGCAAGTAATCAGTCTGATCTTTGAAGTTGATACTAACGGCGTCATGGGTATGCTCGAGTATTTGCGCGCGCCGAGTGCTCCTCCAGGCGTGCGCGAAGACGATGGCGCGCTCTGCTTGCTCCCATCCTGCTGCTTTGGTTGGTCGCTGAGCAGCAGCCGGCGAAATTGTGAGTTGTTCATTTTGGTGGGTGACAAAGTCGATCACGATGGAAACCTGGCGCGGGAAAGTCGCCGAAAGCGCGTTTACTTAGCGGGCATGCCCTCCGCGCCTTCCCCGCAATGCGTCACTATTTAGACACCGAACCAGGGCGCTTCACGTGAACAATCGATGTCGAGTTCGAGCGAGAGCTAATAAATATACTACAGCAAGACTACCGCCATGATCTCTGATGGCACATCTGGAAGGGAGGTCATAGAGCACTTCCTGGTAGCAATGCGCTACATGCATGTCAACACGACCCCAGCCAAAACGCTCATGCAGATATGTTGTGCGTACCTTTACCGGTACCCTGACCCCTTCATCATGCTCGCCCACCTGATCTGCTCCCCGCTTCCCAGTGGTATATAGTGCTGACATCCCCGTATCTTCTTCGTCTTCTACTTCTCTCCTCTTCAACCAGCTCAAGAGCATTGTCTCCGTACGATCCACGATGCTTAAACTTCTGATGAAGGCGGCTCTTGCTGCCGTAGGTGTCTGTTACACCACGCCAACTGCGACCAACTCAAGCTCGACTTTCACAAACCCAGTTCTTGACACAGTGGGCGCTGATCCGTAGGTCAATTCATCACATACTTGGTGTAATGCGCCTGGCTAACAATTCAAAGTTGGGTCTTCCGCCACAATGACTACTACTACATGACCTACACCAACAACGAGAACATCACTCTACAGCGCAGCAAGGTGCTCACAGACTGGAACAATGCTGAGTCCAAGCTATTGTTCAAGCCGCCTCCAGGCATGAACTATTCTACGGACCTATGGGCACCTGAGCTACACAATCTCAACGGCAATTGGTATGTCATCTTTACAGCAGACCCACGTAATGACTCCCCGCCACCTGAGACGGAGATGTGGTGCGAGTATAATTGCCCAGCGGTCAATCATCGCATGTACGTGGTCGAAGGTGTCGGTTCTGATCCGTGGACTGCTTCCTACAGCTACAAGGGCGAGCTCGACACGTACAACCAGTTTGCCATCGACGGTACCTACTTCCAGCACAACGACCAGCTATACCACGTCTATTCGTGCTGGCTCCGTCAGTATGATGGCTGGCCAGCCAACCTGTGCATCACCAAGCTATCTAATCCTTGGACCGTCACCTCGCCCTTCACAGAGCGCCAGATCATCTCTGTGCCAGAGTACGCCTGGGAGAAAACACCATTCGGTCGTGCGAGCAATGACCGTCTCTCATCCAATGAGGGGCCGCAGCAACTCATCAACCCTAAGACACAGCAGAACTTCCTTGTCTTCAGCGCCGCTCGCTCTGACAACCGCAACTACTGTCTTGCGCAACTGGAGCTTGTTGGCGACGACCCGATGAGCCCAAGCGATTGGCGAAAGCACTCGTACCCCATCTTCTACCAAAACCCCGGCGAGAACGCATACGGCGTTGGACACGCGAGCTTCACAACCAGCCCTGACGGGAGTGAGGACTGGATCGTCTACCATGGTATGCGGGATCCGACAAACGGTTGGGGTGCGAGGACGATTCGTGCGCAGAAGTTCACGTGGAACGATGATGGGTCGCCGAAGTTTCCCAGACCTGGTTACGGACCGTATCAGGTTCCCAGCGGACAGTAGGTCACAGCATGCGCAGTATCTGGAGCGGGTACCATTGACGGTGTCGGTGTGCAAGACGATCGAGTGGATAAGCCGGCTTTTACGCATCTAGCCTATTAAAATTGCCGCTTTCTCCATACTTTGGTAGCGTGATCTTGTCAAAAACGACGCGCCTTGTAAGCCGACGGACGCGTACGGATAGACAGACACGTTGGACGTCGTCGAAGCACCAGTGCGACTAGTTAGCGACATGCGGCAATTCTGTTGTTACGCGCTCATCTGTCCATTTCGCGGTGAAGATATCTGCAGATACCTGAGTACTCTTCCAGCTGCTGTTAGTTTGATGTGTACTTGGGGGGGCTGCAACGCGATGGGACGCCCGTTCCAGGTGCAATAAGCTGTATTCCTGTATGTCACGAGTTCTGCATGGAATGCTGAAGAACATTCCAGATTCGTTGCTCATGTTGGACGTATTCCGCTAAACGTGTGCGGCGCGCTCTGTTCATGCGCAGCACGTGTGCCGCGAGTCATGGCAACCAGCAGCGCGTCACAACGGCCCCGGTTCGACCACCATTAAAACCAATTAGATCTACTTATAATCTTTGGAAATAACTATTTTCTTGTCTCGGAATATGTTGTATGATTTTGATATTGTTTGAATACCACGTGCTGTTGTGGTCTTTTTCTGCAATGTTAGGAAACTGGAGCAAAGGTGCATATGTACTGACACCATTTGACGAAACAATACTGGGATAAAAAATCATCCGCCGACGACAAACACAGACGTGGATGCAATGGGCAACAGAAGTCGCTAAATATGATATCATCATGCTTTGTCCAAGGAAGTTGGTCTCGATGTACATATACGGTCAAGGTTCATCGTCCACCAAATGTCCTATCGATACTATGAACTGCCAGCGGGGGCCGAAGTGCTGAGTCGCCTGGACTGATCAGCAGCATTCAGCTCGATCCCCAACTTCTCCGCAACGGTGATGAAGCCCTGACATCCGTTACCAGTACTAATCCACAGATCAACCCAGCCATCCTGACGCGCCTTCTCAACATCATCCCGAGTCCAATCCTCCTCACCAGGACGCTCAACATAGACAGCCCTTAGTCCGTTCTCCTTCGCAGCCTTCAGATCGTTGAGGTGCGCAGCTACCATAACACACTCGCTAGGCGGCAACTGTAGCCTCTCGGCAGCCCCGAGGTACACACGCGGCGAAGGCTTGTAGGTGCCAAACAGTTCTGCCGAGAAGATGTGAGTGAAAGGAATGGTGCTGTAGGTGCGAAGATCGTCAAGAAGGCTGAGATTGCCGTTGGATAACGTGCAGGTATCTGTGATATCAGCATCCAGCATGATGTTGCGAGACAGAACCCACAGAAAAGCTTGTTCAGCATCGACACACCCAACGAAGAATCCGCCCAGGGCTCCAATCGATGCCATATCAAGCTGATAGCACGTAGTTCCTCGTCATTCCAAAGACCGCCGATCTGCCAGTCGTTGACCAACTGCTTCAGAGACTCGAGATGGTGCTCATCGACCGACTTCCAAGGCATGGTGGGATCCGAAGCGAGCTGTCGTGTGAACTTCTTGTACCCATCTCTCCATTGTTGGGCAAAACTGCCCCAGCGCTCTGTAGTCATATCCGACGCCGTGAGTCTGACTCGGGACGCGAGAGATGCGGTAGCCGAATTGAGTGCAACATGAGCCTGGGCCTCCAGCTCCCTCACAACGGTGGTGCGCCAATCAAGGCAAGTACCGAAGACATCGAAGAACAAAGCACGGGGAGTTGGTGAGAGTGCCATGTTCACGCCCGAGATGGCTCTCGGGGACGCCTTGGGCAGTGGGGCCGGCGACGAGAGGTCACTTTGTACTGGACGGGTTGGTGATCCTGCCATACCGGTAGTAGAGGGGGCCTGGAGGTACACGGCAACGTCAGAGGTGCTAGGATTACCGGAAATACGGCGGGCGATCGGAAAAGCGTCGACAGCAGCAACAAAGCAGACTGGAACGAACGGAAGAAGGGAAGTTGCAGCGAAACCAAGGTGACCATTGATTTTGCATACTACGCAGCCCTGTTGCAGTTCGGAGCGTAGAGGCAGTCGTGATCGCCCACACACGCACTTGCCGAAAGCAGCGAATACATACAACAAAGAGCTGAAGCTGTCCACGGCGCCCACGTACAGGCTATACAAGCCATGTAAGGACCTCCAGGACCATATCAAGGCGCTGGCAGCTGCGTCTAGGCTATATCAAAACCACAATCAAGAGACAGCCAGAAACAAAGCTCAAGGTGAAAGATCAACGGGTGTCGACGCTAAAGACAGAACAGGCAATAGGCCCACCCACCTCCGATCGATCCATGTCGTTTTGACGACCGCGTCTCCAACATTACAACTCGCAGACGCGCAGCAATGTCGCAGAACGAAGCAAGAAATCACAGGCGGAAGAAGGTAGTGTGAAGAATTATGGTATCATTCCATGTAAAAGCAGTATCCCACTGATGTGACCGTGAACTCCGTAGCCTACTATACAAGGCATTGTGACCATCCACCCAAGCACCGAAACTGACCGTAGACCGATGAGGCCGGTAGAAGTCGTGATATGAAACTGTGAAAAAGAATGCGCTTAACCACCGAAACCGTAGAGGGTGCGGCCTTGACGCTTGAGGGCATAGACAACATCGAGAGAAGTGACGGTCTTGCGCTTGGCGTGCTCAGTGTATGTGACGGCGTCACGGATGACGCCCTCAAGGAAGGTCTTCAGAACACCACGGGTCTCCTCGTAAATCACTAAAGGTTGTTAGCTAAGAAGACGCGAAGCAGAGTTAGAGACATACTAGCTGAGATACGCTTGACACCACCACGACGTGCGAGACGACGGATAGCGGGCTTAGTGATACCCTGGATGTTGTCGCGCAAGATCTTGCGGTGACGCTTGGCTCCACCCTTGCCGAGACCCTTTCCGCCCTTTCCGCCTGCAAGACGCGTCAGTATGTTATTTGAGATGGTTAAGCCAAACGCGCTCAGAAGAGAGAGGCGTCAAGCTGGGGTAGAGGGAATACTCACGTCCAGTCATGTTGATGTGTGTGAGGGGTTGGTGGTTTGTTTGGGTGAGATAGTTGTAGCGGGTTGAGGCTGGAGATGCAGTTGGCTGATGATAAAATAGTACAGTGTGGGAGTTCGGTGCTTAAGAGGACAAGGCGGGTCGTGCAGTGCGGCCGCTGGATCACACACGCCTGACGCCTGCCGGACCAGATCAAACACTTGCGCACGGGCGCGCTTTCAAGATCAACGACCGTGCCACTTCCCTTTTTGGAAAGTAGGTAAGCGAACCAATCAGCGCAGCTCGCTCTCACTTGTGAGTTTCGAAGTTGACGTTCTCGCAGCGAAACAATGTTGATGTTCTTGCGCCGCTTTCCAGCGCGCTTTCTGAGTTGATTTTCAAGGCAGCCGCCCGCCCCCGTTTACTTATTAACCTCGCGCGCCCGCCGTTCTCCATCCCTCATCCACCACACAGCTCCACACCACAGTCTCAATAATCCATTCTCACACACAACACATCATCAACCATGGCCCGCACTAAGCAGACCGCCCGTAAGTGCCTTCTACCCCACCCACGTCCACTGCATCGCTTGCATCGTCGGTGCATCGACTTGGTGTACCTGTCGCAGCCTTTTGGCTGTCGTCGCCACCTCCGCGCGCCACACGACGTCTTTGCCTTTGCGCATCACCTTATCCCACATCCGCACCTTGCAGCACATCACTAACACTACTGCAGGTAAGTCCACCGGTGGCAAGGCTCCCCGCAAGCAGCTCGCCTCCAAGGCCGCCCGCAAGTCCGCACCATCAACCGGTGGTGTCAAGAAGCCTCATCGCTACAAGCCCGGTACCGTCGCTCTCCGTGAGATCCGTCGTTACCAGAAGTCCACCGAGCTTCTCATCCGCAAGCTGCCCTTCCAGCGTCTTGTCCGTGAGATTGCCCAGGACTTCAAGTCGGATCTCCGCTTCCAGTCCTCCGCCATTGGTGCTCTTCAGGAGTCCGTCGAGGCCTACCTCGTCTCCCTCTTCGAGGACACCAACCTCTGCGCCATTCACGCCAAGCGTGTCACCATCCGTGCGTCTTTCCATCCACCCCGCATATGATCATGCACTAACAATTCGCAGAGTCCAAGGACATCCAGCTCGCTCGTCGTCTCCGCGGTGAGCGCGGTTAAGCTTGTCTCTTCATGATGCCGACCTCACGACAACTTCTTGGTCGGTGATGGATCTTTGGTTACTTTCATAGGCGTTTTCATGGGAATCATGGTTCACGGTCTTCACTTTGGGTTTAAGGGTGCACTGGAGCGGTGCTGAGCATGTAGTATATCCAGTTAATCAGTGACGGATCACTGACGATTCACGAATCGATCAGATCAAACTTTAATTTCTTTATTTTGCACGTGATGTTTTGGTCTCTGCGCGTGTGCGACTTACTAGAATCAAGTTACCAGTCTTGTCGTGACAGCGTGCTTGCAACGCGCCTTGCCTGCTTTGGCACATGCGCGTCTCGATCGCATTCGATGCTGCAAATTGCCGAGATGCTGCATAGGCTATGTGAAGATCAATCAGCCGCTGTGAGTAGATGGCGCCTCTGAGAGTCTTTGGTGGCTGGACCGTCTCCCCCGCAGTGACGCTCTCCGCGCACCCGCTACTACGAACATGGCCACAAGTACAAAGGCAGCTGGTTGCGCCATGACTGCGCTCGCAAGTGCTGCGACAGCATACAGCCCGTTACCAGCACCAGCAGACAACAATACATCCTTAACCTCACAGCCTCCAAGATGACCTGGCAGCAAGAATTCTGGTCGTGGATATCCCCATCCTACGTCAAGACCGCGCAGCCTCCAGTAGTGGGCGAAAAGGCACCTACAGCACCGAAGCTCAGTGTGCCCAAGGATGGAAAGCCTACCATTATCGCCTTCCTAAGACACTGCGGTTGTCCCTGTAAGCCATACCATTACTTCCATGCGCCGCCTACTGACCACGGACAGTTGCTGAGAAGACCTTCCTCAACCTGCGCGATGCAGCTGCAGCGAACCCCAACGTCCAGTTTATCGCCGTCTCGCACAGCAATCAAGACTCGACAAACCGCTGGCTCGCGGCTCTGCCTGATGCACCGAAGAACATCCAGCCCAACCTTCAGATCGTCGTCGATGCTGAGCGAGAAGCTTACGCTGCATATGGCCTCGGCATTTCCAGTTTCTACCACGTCCTTTCGCCTGCCGGGCTGAGCAATCTGAACAAGCTGGGCAAGGAGGAGGACATCTGGAACAGGCCTACTGAGAGTGGGAACAGGTGGCAGACCGGAGGCAACTATGGTGTAGATAAGAATGGCTTCGTTCAGTGGAACGGAAAGCACGAGCGGGCTGATGATATGTCTGATTTCAAGGAGGGTGTTTCTCTTGTGACGGCACACTAGGAAGATTTGGTGGAAGAAGCTGATTTACGGCTGCACGCTGCAACAGAGAGCGGAATCTGGCACGCGTATAGTAGCATGTGATGGTTTAGGACTGCTGCGCACTGTATTTACTACAGTCCATAACAATCTTCATGTAGCAATGTTTATGTTGTCTCTTCAATCACAGCCGTTGGACGATGCGAACTAAAGCCTTGTAATCGTGCTAGGTGGCTCTATGCTTCCCATGATCGTCAGAACAGCCCGCGCGGTTGGAGGGTACATACTTAAGAACTTGCCTGATTCAAATGGCTCGGCCAGGCCCATCTGCTTCGTGCAAAATCTACTCACGCTAAATTCGAGTTAGCCCAAAATTCGAGTTCATGACCTCACAGCGTCACGCGAAGCGTGCCGCGTAAGTCGCGTCGGACGCTTGTTGCCGCCCGCATGCACATCACCACTGCGCGCCGCCAGAAGATGGCAAAATGGCCACACCCTCCGCGCCGGTTACGCACGCATCGAGCTACTATGGCTCCGAGGTCGAGATTGACATCGACTCTGTTACTTCCATGAGCGACTACGGGTCAGAGTTCGACGCGACTGAGATCTACGAAGATACACTGCTGGCAAGCACCCTCGACTCGTTCACACACAGTGTACCCAAATCAACAGGAAGGAGCTCTGCTTTACCAAGTATCGAGTCTGAGGAGGGCGAGTTTGAAGACGATGATTACGATGATCTCATTGTCGTACACAAACCGTCTGTTTTGCGCGTGGCAAAGAAGGACCGCCGCAGCACTGCCAAGGTCGAAGTGCGCAGAGACATACAGAGTTCGCCAGCCCGGGAGTCGCTGGAAGTTGAGTACGATGAACGGTCGCGCCGGGCATGGAGTGGCACGTGGCCTCACAAGTACCAACTGCACGATTTGATGGACTGACGACTAACAGCGTTTAGTACCTCTTGAGGAACTGCAATCGCCGCCTCAAGCGAATAGAACCAGGTTCTTGCGGGTAAACTCGATTCCGAGCACTCCACGCCCACTCTCAGCGCCCGAGTCTATGGAGAACGACACACGCTCGCCCATCGAACGCTTTCGGACCAAGCCCAAGAAGCCCCTATCTGTGACGGACCTCGTTTCGCCAGCATGGTGCGAGCTTCAGTACTTCTACGCGCTGTCGAAGTTTGGACGCAAGCCTCGGACACAGGCCATGCGTGTGGGGTCTAAGATCCACCAGAAGCTGGAGGACGAAGTACACACAACGGTGCCTGTACAGGTGCAGACCAAGGAAGACCGTTTCGGTCTGCGCATGTTGAACACTATTTTAGGACTTCGGTGTCTGCGCGAGACCGGCTTAACGAGAGAGCTTGAAGTCTGGGGGGTCATCGAAGGGCAGATCGTCAACGGTGTGATCGACGAGGTGTCCTACGAGTGTCCAGACCCCGAGCTCGAAGAGAAGATTGAGCGGGCGAAGGCACAGAAGAGTGGCGGTACGGTTCCGTTGCCGAAGGACCAGCCAAGCATTTCCCAAGCTTTCGCAAAAGCTTCTGAGGCAGGTGGCAGCGGTGATGCATGGATCGGTGGCCTCGAGTCGGATAGGCATATCTATATTGCAGACGTCAAAACGCGTGGTGTACACTCGAGGCCAACTGGCGCTTCTCTGCGGCCAACGTGGATGCAGCTGATGCTCTACCGGAAGCTCCTCGAGTCTCTGTCTCTCAACACCGTGGATGCCGAGACAGTCTTCGAGCGCTACGACTTGAAGCCTCTAGAGCCGTTTACGGAAGTCTTCCTGCATGAGATCGGTGGCTTCGGTCCGGACAACGAAGCCGCCAATTATCCCAATCTGCTTTCGCTGTGGTCTCTTCTCGTTACCGAGATGCAGCTCACAATTCCTCCATTTAGCCTCTCGCCGATTCTTCGTGCCGAGTTCCGCTACTCAAAGACCGGCGATGTTATTGGCAATGAACTCGTGGTATACGAGACCGATATTATTGAGAAGTATGTCGAGGATGAAATGGCGTGGTGGAAGGGCAAAAGAGAGGCGAAGGGTGTCGAAATTGAGGAGGCTTTTAAGTGCAGGATATGTGATTTTGCGGAGAGCTGTACGTGGCGGCGGAGGAAGGTTGATGAAGCTGTCGAGAAGAGTAGGCTTAGGCAGACGGGAAGAGAAAAGAGTGCTGTCTGAGTTTCTGGCTGGCTTCTCGTACTGGCAGACTTTCTTCTGGGTGCATCGGTTCGCCGTATTGGCCTCGATGTCCCAAAGTGTCTGCACCCGGTATACATCCTGCGAATCTATCCATGCACGTACATGTTCTGGTGGTGATTCTGTAGCACTACATGGGGGAAGCCACGGCCGTTTGAGGAAGCTGCGATGGCTACCGTAGTACAAGGAACTGAATAGTCGCTTTTACTTTGCCGGAGGGGCCAAGTTGTGCGGCTCAATTGTAGTCGACATTCGCTTCTTTTTCCTTGATTGACACCCTTGCCCGTATGTACCGAATGATATCATATCACACCTCGTCCTGCCACGGACTTTAATTATGCTATTCGTTTGATTAGAAGCGATCTAGGACATGTTCTAGTCCATCGCTAAGACGAATTCGTGTGAAAGCGTGGTGATATCATTTTTCGTGCGACTTGTTAGCTTTGTGAATGGCAACAATAATATCCGGCACAGTTGTGGGCTCTTGACTCTTGACAATAGCAAATATCCACCCACACGAGGCCGACGCTGCAATTCAATACTAACATCAATGACATAAGAAGTTTTGAGACCATCTTATCTGGCCATGCAACCAACCCTCTGTTTGCATCGTGACGATGCGCTGCTCTGCTAACACTCTTACGCGCTGGACTGTAAGCCTCACCACGGAACCACGACACGTCAAAAATCCGGTTCCGAATTTCTATATCACTGACGTATCTCGGAATAGCAATGATAGATGGAACATATCATGCTCTGCTTAGAATGCAAATTGGCACGAGGCTGGCAGTTCGCAGGATGAGTGCAGACGACATGTGGCCCTGTCGCTGTCAACCAATTTGACGCAAAATAGACCAAAAATTGGGATTAATACAACACAAAACATCAGAAAATCGGCAGCAGTCCTATCATAGAAGCCAACCACGTTGCATTACTAAAACCTAGACCTGCAGAGCCGATCAAGCAAGCGCTCCCCGCATTGCGCTAGCTTCCCCGGACACCACGCCCTCGGCATCCGTCATCAGCCTCCCTTGGACCGAAACCGTTCGATAAAAGTCGATTGACACAACACCCCTGAGCGGCTGTACCGACTTCAATTGTAACGTGAGCAAAATCGCCTACGTGCAACCAAGATCGCCATCAGAAGACATCCTTCGATTGCCAAATAAGGAGGTAGACAATCGGAGCAACTCCGAATCACGATCTGGCACTCCGTCTTCTTTCCTACCGGGTGCACGTTCGGCACTTCCAGCCTAAGCAAAGAGCGGTGGAGAGTTGGAATCCATTCAGCAACCTCACATTTACCCTATCGAGTCGCCATTGATCACTGCTGAACCCGACACGCAAGAGAACTGATTTTCACGATGGCTCAACAGCACATCCAGGATCAGGTGTATGCCGCCTCAATCAAAGACCCGGAGACTTTCTGGACACGACAAGCAGAAAATTTGTACTGGCATAAGAAGCCTACCAGAGCGTTCCGAAAAACCACCGTGGCCCTTCAAAAGAGCAAGATCGAGCACGATTCATGGAGTTGGTATTCAGATGGAGAGATATCCACAACGTACAACTGCGTGGACCGACACGTTACAAACGGAAACGGAAACAATGTTGCCATTTACTGGGATAGCCCAGTGACGAACACGAAAGAGCAGTATACATACAAACAGCTGCTTGATGAGGTCGAGACACTCGCAGGGGTGCTTCGGGAAGAGGGAGTCAATAAGGGCGATGTTGTACTCATATACATGCCGATGATACCTGCTGCAATCTTCGCTATGTTGGCAATTGCTCGATTAGGTGCCATCCATTCTGTCGTCTTCGGTGGGTTTTCACCAGCGGCACTGGCTCAAAGGATCGAAGCAAGCCGCCCAGTGGCGATAATGACGGCATCGTGCGGAATCGAGGGATCAAAGAAGCCAACGGGATATAAGAGTATGATCGAGGAGGCGGTGCAGAGGAGCAACGTCAAACCATCGAAGACGATTGTGTGGCAGCGAGGTCAGCTCAGATGGGATCCTGTGATAAAAGAGAACGGCCAGAGAAACTGGCAACGACTAGTCAAGAGCGCCAGGAACAGAGGACTCAAGGCCGAAGCCGTACCTGTGGAGAGTGGAGACGGGCTCTACATAATCTACACAAGCGGGACGACCGGTCTACCAAAGGGAGTCGTTCGCTCTGCCGGCGGCCACGCAGTTGGTTTAAACTTCTCGATGAAGTACCTATTCGGCATCCATGGCCCTGGAGACGTTCAATTCACTGCTTCTGACATCGGCTGGGTTGTGGGTCACTCGTACATTGTCTACGCACCATTGCTTGTCGGCGCTACAACTGTGTTGTTTGAAGGCAAACCCGTCGGCACCCCCAATGCAAGCACCTTCTGGCGGATCATCCGGGATTACAAGGTCACCACTATGTTCACTGCTCCGACCGCACTTCGTGCGATTCGCCGTGAGGATGGCGAGAACGAGTTCTTCGAGAAGCGGTATGGAGAGAAGGGTGCTCTGAAGTCGCTGAGAGCGCTCTTCCTAGCCGGTGAGAGAAGTGAGCCCAGTATCGTACAGATGTACCAGAAATTATTAGCCAAACACTGCGCGCCAGGTGCGATAGTCGTTGATAACTGGTGGTCTTCAGAATCAGGATCACCTATTTCCGGAATTGCATTGGGTGCATCCGCCGGACTCGATTTTTCATCGTCAGAGCGACCCGAGCCGCTTCCCATCAAGCCTGGATCTGCTGGAAAAGCAATGCCCGGATTCGACGTTCGCATCGTAGATGACTCGGGCAAGGAGGTGAAGAGAGGAGAGATGGGCAATATTGTGATGGGCATCCCTCTGGCGCCGACAGCCTTCACGACACTGTGGGAGGACGAAGAGCGGTTCTACAAGGGGTACATGAAGCGATTTGATGGGAAATGGATTGACACTGGTACGAGCATTCAATGGTATTTGTTCAAGACTCAGCTAACAGCGTCTAGGTGATGCTGGCATGATCGATGAAGACGGCTACATATCCATCATGTCCAGAGCGGACGATGTCATCAATGTGGCAGCCCACAGGTTCAGTACCGGTGCTATTGAGCAAGCCATCACAACACATCCATCTGTCGCCGAGGCGGCTGTTGTTGGCATACCTGATGACTTGAAGGGTCACCTGCCTTTTGCATTCATCACGCTTGCCACCCATCCTCATCCTGACCCTGCTGTTCCTGACGACGAGTTGCTATCTGAGGTGCAAAAGCTCGTGCGCGAGCAGATTGGTGCCATTGCGTCTCTAGGCGGTATCATTCAAGGCAAAGCTATGATCCCCAAGACACGAAGTGGCAAGACATTAAGACGCGTTCTTCGTGAGTTGCTCGAGAATGCAACACATGGAGACTTCGACAAAGAGGCAAATATCCCCAGTACGATCGAAGACCGCGAGGCTGTAAAGGTAGCGAGGGAGAAGGTCAGAGAATACTTCGAAGTGAAGGGCAAGGATTTGCACAAAGCGATTGAGGTCAGAGCGAAGCTGTAGTTATGGTCCGGAGATGTAGTTTCCTAATTGAGTAGAGTCGAGCGGCGTCCGGAATTCGTTAGCACATCTGCAATTCAGTTCGGTATGTGTCTGGGCGTTGCTGGGTTTGGTGTTGCTCCTTCCACGTGGCTGCTGCCTATCACGTAGCTACCAGCTCTCTCAAACAACCTCAACGTTTCATGCCAAACACAACATGTCGCCTCCACAGCTTCGCCTCTCCTTGCTTTGCTTTTGCTCCCTGCTAATCCTATTCGCTGACATCATTGCCGCTAGCCACAGAGCACTGCAGCCTTTCTTCTCTTCCACCACTCATGTGAGGTGAGCATTGGATATACGGATCCTGATCTCGAAGTCGCTCGTCGACCTGTCGTCAGCGTCCGATGTCACACTGACGGTGCGCAAGAACGAAGTTCCCGGCGAGACTGGCTCGTATTCGCCCGGTTGGCTACCGGCTGCGTCAGGCTGCTCTGAACGGTGTCAGATCATAACGGCCCGTCCCTCACGTCAATCGTCAAGTCACACAAAGGTACATCAACGTCTCGAAGTGATGGCAGGTCAACGTCGACAAGTTCTGGAACACGATAATCATGAACTCGAGATTTCTCTCACAACCTCGACGTTCAGGCGGGATGTTCACCATGCTGCGTCCATCAGGCTAGACCTTCACGTGCTTGACAACTGCTGCGGGCACTGCGTGCCTTGCCGGAGCAAAGCTCCTGAGCGTTTCCGGGCTCGTGGCCACGTGTGAAATTTGACCAATTCTAGGGTTTCGTCGAGCTGGGCCACCTGTTGGTTCGACTGGGCCAGGAGCACCCCAGCCCTGCAATCAATCTGGCGAGTGGACTTGCACTTGCAGACCGTGGCTGTTCAGGTTTAGGCCCAACATCACGACTCCTGCAGAGGGCTCTGTCGCCAATGGGCACATCGCAGGCTCGCCTGATGCGTCGTCATACATGGCAGCAGGCGACCGGCCTGACACGGCTGTCAGTCCCATTAACAGACGCATACCGGAGAGAGAGTCCGTTGGAGCGTTGCAGCGGTGGAGGCGTACAGCCGTCGGCTCGGGGAGGTCATCTTGTTGCCAAGCACGACCGGCTACGCTGTCGCGGGCGTGGGAAAGCTTCCGCGATGCACGATCCCTCGCCGGCTTCCAAGTTATGAAACTTTGGCGCAGGGTGTTGTCGACAGCGTCGACGGAGGTTTTGCAACGCTGCGCAGGTCCACGTCCAGCTACAGTACCTGCAGTGATGTGTCACACTGAGGATGTGACGGATGGATTCGAGCACACATGCAGCTGTGAGCCGCGTCTGAGCGCCTTACAAGCAATTCCAGGCACGCGGGGGGGGGGGGGGGGGGGGGGGGGGGGGGGGGGGCAGCGATAAAGCAGCACCGACAAGATCAGATGGGTGCACAGCTACTGCGCGCAGCCGCATCCACGACCGCGGGCAAGTACTTGTCTGCGCTGTCCAATCATCCCAGAATCATCCTCGTCGTTTTGTCGTGTCTCGGCTCGGTCGGCGCTGGCCGTACATGCAGTCTACAGATCATGGGCATGTCACTACTCGCCGTCCAGCCCGTCTGGGGTTGACAGGCGGCAAATCTTGCGTTTCTTCCAGGCGGTTCGCACTCCTCAGCCAAGCGGTACGTACCTCGAGCGTCGAGGCTGCCTACGGGCGCCAGTAGTGCGCTGCAATGCACGTGTTGGCATGTTAGCAGCGCTGGCGCAGCCAGACGCCTACCGCTTGCGTCTAGTTGCGGTATCGAGCAGCTGCCAGAGCACGCAGCGCCAGCTCGCCTGGGCAGACGAGGTGGCACGGCGGTGATGAAGGACCTGGCGGGCAGGCACACAGCAGCGACACGTCCCGGAGCGTGGAGCACAGCGCCGCTGCAGGCTGGGGAGGGCAGCACGGCAGACGGCCGAGTGCCCGGGACTTGCATGCTTGCAGGCGCACTGGTGCTGGGCCACCGCTGGCCCTTGTGCGGCAAGTCGAGCGCATACAGGCAGCTCGCAGCAGGCCACGGCCGCCTCGCTGCGAGGGGCCTGTAGAGGACTAGCCCTCGCCCTGCCGAAATCCTGAGGTTTTACGGTTCGCCCAACCTCAACCGCACTGGCGCTGGCAGCTGCTAAAACCCCCGGCGCCCAGCATCGCCTTTCCTTTGCCCTTGACCTCACCCTCCGCACCGCAGTGTCTACCCATTGCCCTCGTGCCCGCCAGCCGCCGCCGCCACACGCTCAGCAGCCCCCCCACGCCGCCCGCGTCGATGCAACGCAGCACAGACAGAGCCTGCCGCCGTTGTTGTTGCTGCCGTTGATAGACGATAGCCGTCGATAGTCGATATCTAGCCATTCACGTGGGTCTCGGAGCCAGCGAGAACCCTGACTTGCACCTTGACTTGCCAGCACCGACGCTCCGCCAGCCCCGGTATTCGCCCTCGCATCCACAGCACGGCCGCATCCAGCGCGCGCTGCCTGTTGAACTCCTGTCCCCGTCCGCGCGCCCTCGCTGGCCGTCTCACCCTCTCTTCACGCACCCTGCCTGCTGTCTCACTGCGCGCCCTGCCACTCGTCCCTGCACCGCCCGCCCCAGCCACGCCCCGCTCGCTCCTGCAGCCATTTCTGCACCGACGTTGCTGCACAGTCCACGTCCCGCCGTGTACAACCCGGTGCTACGCCGCCCCCGATCGATTCTGAGCACGCTGCAGCTGTCTGCGACACGCGCCCGGAGCCCTCCTGTGCGTGCATGCGAGTTGGGAATACCCGCCCCGACACACGACCGCGGCCCTTACTGCCCATCCCCAACAGGCACTCGAGACCGCCCACGCCGCCCGTCACCTGCGAGCGCGCTCTCACGAGACGGACTCTGCGACGACGTGGCTGAAAGCTTACTCCGCGCCGCCTACCCGAGTCCTGCACGTCTTAACTGCCTCTTGACCCCCAAGAACCACTGCACCAGTCCCCGTAGCTCTCCTACACTGCTCCAGCCAAGATGGCGGGGAAAATGACGCTGTACAAGCTGGTGGTGCTGGGCGACGGAGGTGTAGGCAAGACAGCCCTGACCATCCAGGTACATTTCCCCTGTCCAACGACGCTGCTTGTCCCAGACGACACTAACCGCTCCGCAGCTCTGTCTGAACCACTTCGTCGAGACGTACGACCCTACAATCGAGGACTCGTACCGCAAGCAGGTCCAGATCGATGGTCAGTCGTGCATGCTCGAGGTCCTCGATACAGCCGGCCAGGAAGAATACATTGCCCTGCGAGACCAATGGATACGCGATGGTGAAGGCTTCGTCCTCGTCTACAGCATCTCCTCACGGTCATCTTTCGCGCGCATACAGCGCTTCCACAGCCAGATTCAACGCGTCAAGGAGACGGCTATGGCTGGCTCACCCACCTACCCCGGCTCTCCCATCAGCGCGTCTGCCCCGGTCTTCGGACAAGCTCCTGTCATGCTCGTCGGCAATAAATGCGATCGCGTCACCGAGCGCGAGGTTTCCACACAAGAAGGCCAGGCCCTAGCCAAGGACCTGGGCTGTGACTTCGTCGAGGCATCAGCCAAGAATTGCGTCAACGTTGAGAAGGCCTTTTTCGACGTAGTTAGGCAGCTCCGCCGACAGCGCCACCAAGGCTCCGGTCGTCACGAGAGGAGCGAAAAGACCCGCGGTCCACGTGTGTCAGGTAACGACCGCGTTCGAGGAAGCGGCGGCGACCGAGGAGGCAGTAATGGACGACCGGTCAAGCGCAAAGACAAGCCCAAGTGTGTCATATTGTGAGCACTAGCTTGAGGAGCCGCGAAGACGAGTATTTGGAATTACAGCACATCCTAACGAGCCACGACACATACCTCGTCACCGCCAACACAAACCCTCATAGACCGCCATCTTCATACGGCGTTGGCATAGGAGCGGCGTTTAGCACTGCACGCATCATTGGTCTCCCACTGTTTGGATTAGCATGAGACCCACGGCGTTTTGGAGTGTCTTGGACACCTTTTGGAAATATCCGCATTATTGTATGGATAGGCATTCACATATGGCTATGATCTTGTACGACGTTGCACGGCTGAATCAATTATTACTGTCATGGAAATTGGACAAAGACCTCGCTCAACACCGCACAGTGCAGACAAGGTGCGGCGGTGCTGAGTCTGGGGAGGACTGTCCGAAATAGGGAAAGGAAAAAGAAAAAGCAGGAATGATTTTGCTCTTCACGGCGCGAGATACCTCTGAATTCACCTTCAACACTTCATAACTCACTTCGCCTCGAATTTTGAATCTGCGTCACAGTGCTGTTAGTCCCACGTGTGAGCCGCGTCAGACAGCTTTGACGCGGTAAACGAGCCTTGTCTGGGTCGACTCCGCCCGGGTGGTTCTTTTGATGGAAGCTCTTCCCCACAAAGCATTAACTCCGATGCCGACACAGAGGTCGTGTGGGTACATACCGCACCCGGAGCATGGTGCAGGTGGCGGAGGAGGGCGCTTGTGTTGCTTAGATGTTGCCTTATCATCGTTTTGAATACGCCGCCCTGGCCAGCTACACTATCCAGGACCTGCGAGACACAAGCATGCGGACGCTCTGCCTCACTTCGGCGTAACGAAAACGGCTCGGAAAAACGACGGGGCATTTGCAAAAATGCCGCTCTCTAACGGCATTCCGTCGCACAGCAACTCACAGCGGGTATTCTCAGGCGCAATGTGCATATTGTGCACTGTATATGTCTAGGGTCTTCGGCAGCTGCCCACCCAATGAGATAGTGTGCATGGTGTGCATAACTGGGAATTGTTTGTGTTGGGCAGCTATGCATGGGGATTTCCCTAGATGGGCCTGGACTTCATTGTCTGCTCATCCCTTGTAGAACTCCAATACCGACTTCATTATTGAACATGTGTCATCACATGCGTCTGTTAAAGTCATTTTTGGATTGTGTAGTTCGTAATGCAGCTGCCATCAACCGAGCCACGCACTAGTTCCCACTAACCACAGTAACTCACTTCGCGCAATAGTGAACACCCTGCTGTTCCATCTAATTTACCATTAGCCTGCATCACCTAGGATACTAGATAACACTTCGCTTGCGTGAGTGGAAACGAGTACATGTCGAAATCCGCCCCAAGAGTCCTTCCTCGTTGTATATTGGGAAGTGCTGTGTACAAGATGCTGGCAACCAACTTTTCAACGGTATAGCATAACCAACCTTCGACAGCCCTAATGTAACTTAATGTGGACATCAACTTGATGGGAGCACAGCGTGCGCTGTTCAACTTCTACACACAGCTCGCATTCGTCTTTGCTCCCCCAGATACTCAATCGCCATCGCTATTCGTTAGAACCATGTTCCAAGAACTCAAGCAACTGTCGCAACATCTCCTTCGGGAAGCTGGATGAGTTGTCAATATCAATAGCGATGCATCCGCTCCGTCGCTCTTCAGAATCCGATCGTTTGAGGAGACTCCGTGCCTAGTCGTCAAAAATTACAGCAACTAGGAGCGGTACCGAGCTTCGCGTAAGAGGGAACAGCCGATTATGCCGTGCCCATACTGCAAGAGGATCGATGGGCGCCTCGTCCTACATTATCAGGCCTGGAGCTCGACCCTGAGAGACCTCCAGAGAATGCTGATGAGCCTGCGCTGGTGATGACGGTGCAAACGAGCTTTATGAGAGGTGGCTTGGTCTTGTGCGTCAACATGCAACATAACATATGGGACGTGATGGGTCAAGCGGTAGTCGTGCAGTGGAATTTCAAGGTTTGCTCAGGAAGCGAGTTGACCAGAGAGGAACTCAGGCTTGGCAACATGAAAAGAAACGGACCGATCATCTTCTCGATTAGGAGGACTGGAGTCATGGCAATGAGCTCAACGATCAGCTGATGACCTCCGGTCCCATAGCCAGCAGTGACCCCAGCTCTGAGCAGGTCCAGACTGGTACTACGCTAAGCACTTTTGCACTACCGAAGTGCTCCTGGACCTACTTCAATTTCGCCTCACCCTTGTTGGAGGATTCCAAGCAAGAAGCAACGAGCGAGATGTGAGAAGGCTTTACTGGCTTCATATCAACCGATGATGCTTTTTTCAGCGTACAGTGACGAATCCGTCCTGCGTGCACGACAACGTGTCTTTCGCCCCATCACCATTGCATTCGCTCGCTCGTTTGATGCCTGACGCTACATCGACATCGATTCGGCTTACCCCGAAACACAACAGGATATGGCATAAGCAGCTTCCACTTGATGACCTCTTAAGTCTCCCACTTTGGCACATCGCGGCACAAATGCGCTAACGAGTCGACCACAACACGTCGGGGGCGGTACACCGAATACAATAGTTGTGAATCCACTCACTGTAAGTTGCCTGAATACGTCCGCAACATCAGCTTCACTGCTAGGTGTGGAGCAGACACAGACATCATGCTCAGCTCGTGGTCGAAGGTGCAGGCACACCAATTGATGTTTGAATTGGGGTTGAGTGGATCAAAAAGAGTGAGAAGGCCAGTGTGTGCGCGCTGATGTCTAATGCGCCAAAGGAAGATAAGGGTGATATGGCTGTTGCGATGTGTCTACAAAACGAGGATGCAAGGATACTTTGCGACAGTGCGAAGTGGTGCTAGTTTGCAACGTACGTTGGCTAGCTTTTGTCGGATTCCTTCGTACAACGTATGGGAAGGGTCGTTCTCAGCTGCAGCCTGCGGACATATTGTTCAAGCCAGGTTGATCCACGTCTCCTGGTTCCAGTGCACATCGTCTAGCCAACGCACGAAGTCATCGTAATTTCCAGGTTCGAAGAGAGATGTGCCCAGAGTAGGATCAGTTGTCTCTTCGACTCCTATCTCCTCGCTCCTTTGTGCAACTAGACCTGGTTCCAAAATCAAGTCAAGTATTCTTTTCATAAACTTTCTGCCCCGGTTGCAACTTTGATGGCCGTTTGCATCGGGTCTGATCGTACCTAAGCATGCTCCAAACACAGAAAGGCCCTGGATTGTATCAGAGCGATGAAGATCAAACACTTCTACCGAAGCGGACACAGGACTTCGCTCTTGACGGAGTAGCTCGACTGCAAGCATTGAAGCAGCGGGAATCCCATGCGTGCACAAGATCTAGAAGAAGTCAATCTGGAAGTCCTGGAAATAATCTCTGTTGTCCAGCATCATGATGACGACTTTGAACATTTCACTGCAGACAGAGAGAGTAGCGAATCAACTGATCCTGGGTATACCATCTTGCGCCATGTTCGCTGTAAGAAGAAAAGGTGATCCAGACTTACAAGTCGAATGTGAATGAGGAACAAGGCCTCGAGCGGTGAGTGCCGAGAACTCCAGGGGTCGTTGACATCGATGCGAAGAAACCCAGGCAAGTCGTTCCAGGCGGTCAATGCCCGTGCTTCAATTTCGACAGCGCGACGAGCGACTTCTTCTGGTGGAAGACAGCCTAATGAGATTTCCAAAATATCTTCGGTAATGAGTGCATTTGTTGCTGATATTCGCGGAGAGGTACTGCGTTGAATAACGCCCTCCTAGTTCCATCCCTTTTCGTCCAATTCGGCAACGGCAACTTGTAGGTAAGACCCTTCGGACATTATCTGAGCATCTGTGAGATCGAGGGGTATCTGCAAAATGCAATAGAGTCTTGTTAGCTTCGGTAGTTATCCAGCAAACGCGGCAGTTGACTTGTCGTTGCTATAGGCACAAATGAACAGTCGCTTGCGTAACTCGGCTATGAAAAGAGGTGTATTGTCGTCGACGTTAATCTTTTGGTGTAGGTTGCCACACTGAAATGCCGTCACAAATAAGGAGGCCTTCCGCGAGCTGTCGTGTCCTGTAGACGGTCAGTAAGGCCTGTCACACAAAGATAACGTTGGATGCGTTAGGCGACTCACCTCCTCGTGAACGTAGTGAGCAATAGCTGATGAAATTTTCGTATAACAACCAGAGATACAAGTCATTTAGCACACCGAGATTGTCACAGAACTCGACGCACATCTCTGAAGCATGATGCAGGCTCAGCGCCAGTTCAGCCCGATCGACGGGAGCTGTATCAGGGAAGCAGAATATAGGATCACCATCTGCATTTCTGTATCAGTAGCCGGACTTTTGACACCGGAAACTGCAAGCGTACCTTTCAAAGGCTGTGCAACAAGCGATACCAAGGAGACGATGATACCGATGACCTCCCATCTCAGAGCGGTACCAGTAACGTTCGTAAAGAATTCGTGAGCTGTGGTATTTCGATCTAATAGCTGTGACAAGGGTTTAGAGGTATTGTTCCAGATCTGGGCTGACATGTCCCGCAAGTCCTCGGTTCTGTGAGATCCTCGGATCCTGTGCCACGAGGCGCGAGTTACATCCAGGTAGATCTCGACCATGGGCTCAATGACGACAACACCTCCAGCGAAAGAAAACCACTTGTCGATGTACTTCTGTATGAATTTCAGGTCCCCCAAGAGATCAAGTACTGACGCGCCCTGGTCGATGTGTTCTTGTGAGACCGTGAAGGCAGTCAGTCCTGGGGGTGTAAGACCTATGCCTGGCTCAAGTTCGTCCAGCACTGCGGCGTGATTGATGAAGGAGGCTCCACGTTCAAGTTTCTGTGCATCCGTGCTGATAGCTTGACCGTTTGACGGACAACGAGAGTTCTCTGAACCTCGCTGTGCCGGAGCACCCATGAATCGAGGCCGAGATCCGGAACTTGGCGAGCGCACAGATGAGGTGGGTATGGGTGCCATGGGACTATTTGCTGATTTATCGGAACGAGAGAAACGCAGGAAGCCTGTTGGACGGTTCGTGTGCTCGAGATGTGTAAGATACGCCGCGGGCGTCGATACGCGCCCTGTTCCGGACAGTGGCTGATATAGTGTCCTCTCCTCTTCTGCACTCGATGGATTTTGATGCGATTGCAGGCTACGCTTTGCAGCAGACTTGCCAGAGGTGCGAGGTGGTAGACACAGTTTTCTGATTTGCCTCGTTTGACACATCTTCCACAGTGTGGCATGAAATGGTCGCATCGAAGCTTTCCTTTCCGGCACGGCTCGCACGCCTGCAATTTGCCGTTGCGGCGGTAGGCCATGTTTTGATGCTTCTCAATGTGCGTCTCGCGTAGACGGGCCGGGAAAGATTGCCAGTCTGTCTGAAGTCAGCAGGGCTTATTTTATGGGATGAACGCTATATTCGGACCATCATAGATTCGTCGCAGCTAGAGGCGGAATGGTTTTAGGAATGAGGCCGCTACAGTAGCTGTGGGGTACAAATCAATATATGTGACTGCGATAAAGGCGGTCCCAAGAATTCCTGCAGTAAGTCTTCTCTCGCGCGATGGAGTTTAAGTTATTGGTAGTTGTGAGTCCGAAGGTAGTTACAAGCTTTACAGACAAAGGAACTACGAACTACGCACGCGACTTCCGGTTTGGGGTTTAGCGCGGTTTTGAAGGCCGTCCACAAAGGGTCTCAGATGAGCAGTGTCTGCGTGGCTCCTCCCATCCGGGAGCTCTTCGACCGCCTGGCTCTGTGCGGAATTTAGTTATCTGTATTATTGTTGGATGCTCCTGCTTCGGTTAAGCTCAATGCCAGCCGCTGTTGTGATAAAGCCCCCTGTAGGCTGATCAACTAGTGTTCTTCGTGTGGAAGCTGAGCAGTCTCTGATCGTTGATCGAGTGTGAAGAAAGTGATCAAGTTCCTTGTTCTATCTACGGTGCTGAATGAGCAGATGTCGCAGCAGATGTCATGCCTATTTACCAGCCAATTCGGGGGTACTAATGTATGTACATTTTGCCTCTATTTTGGCTGCAACAGCAGAATGTATACACCAATACTGATCCAGCTATACCCTAATTGGAGCCCTAATCATGGCTCCAAGCTGTACCTGATTCCATTCACCATGGCGTGGTAGATCGCCAATGTCTGATCGGCCCAATATCCAGATGCGGATCACGTGATATGCACCCTCACCTCGATCCTTGCTGCGACACTTCGAGATATAGCGAATGTAAACGCATCATGGCTCGAGCACATGGGTTGTGTCGCCCTGAAGTATGAATTAGTGTAATCCCATTTGTTTTTGTCGCAGCAGATACCATGCCTATTTACCAGCCAATTCAGGGGTGCAAATGTATGTACATTTTGCCTCTATTTTGGCTGCAACAGTTTTTTATTGCTTCAGTCCTGTTGCTCAACTGGCTTGACATGTGACGGTACCGACTTCAATGACTCCAGCGAGGCAGTTATCGTGTTTGAGAGTCTGCATATAATTCACAGACCATTCGGCATAAGTGGATATCGCAGACGTCTGCACATCTTCGCACATCGACGAATAACGCGGTACTGCGGCTCAGAGAGTCTTCACTAGTGTTAGGACCACGTCGTTCATACCAGTTTCCCCGCTCTTGCCGTTATCCAGCACCAGAGAACACCGTTCAAATCCAATCTTCTCATAGAAGTTTCTGCCAGTAGTATTCCACCGTACCATGTCAAGGTGTATCCCGGGTGCTCCTTGGCGTTTGACAGCATCGAACAGCGCCTTGATCAAAGCTGAACCCCAGCCCTTTCTACGGAATTTTTCGAGGATATCGATGTGCATGTGGGCAGGGTACTTCTCCAACTCCTCTGGCCACTCTTGCAATGAACTGCATCCTGCATTGTGAACTGCATGCCTGAAGTTCCGGGACACTTCCTGCTCCACCCCTGGATCCTGTGTTTGCACGCTGGGTTTCGGGACTTCTTCCAGTGGCACGCTAGGTGCAAACTCCTTTATCCATTTTTCTGCAAAGTTCGAAGTATTTGAGGTGCCGATACAGTAGCCGACTACACAGCCCGTCCCATCGTCAAGGACAAAGCAAGTGACTGGCGTAAGGAGCACGTATGGTCTATACCAGAGGTAGGATCCGATCGTACGTGTGGGTTCGCAATCTAACGTTGACTCAATGGTTCCGAAGAACTTGGTTAGAATCAGCGCAAGCTGCGGGTTCCACTTCTTACTTGTACTGACAACTTGAAGACCGCTCTCAAAGTCTTTGACTGGATCGTAGGGCCGCACAAATAGAGCAGACATTGAAAAGAATACAACACAATTTTATCTCACGTTTGAGGTACCCTTCGACTGCACCTTGTACGGTAGTGTTATTACAACGCTGGTATAGAGGAGAGTTGGGGCAAAAGCTACATCAGATCTTATTGTACCCCGCCTTGTGACTTGTTATGGATTGTTTGCAAAACCATGGGTACACCCCGTGACTTAGCGCGAGAAGGTTGCCGAATACCTAGGTACCGTGTCTGTGCGAATGATGCACGGATTCGCGTAATGCGCCGAAAGTTACTAATGAAAAGACCAAAATCTTGCTTTCCCCTGCTAGACATCTAGGTAACTATAAGCAGTTAATCTTGACTTTCTCTATAGAAATGTAGGAAATAGCTAACGTACATCACGGGTATGCTGGTCACACAGGTACCGTGTCCGTGCACCCAATGCGCGGATTCAGTCAATGCGCTGAACCACCAAAACACTACAATTAATACAGCCACATAACAACACAACGCAATGGGATTAAAAGAAGCACTTGCAGAGTGTAATGCTTTTGTATCTAACGAAGTTCACAAGTAAGCGGCGCAACCTAAGTACATCGGGAAAAGTTTTTCCATCGTCGAAATCGGGAAATCGTGGCATTGTACTGTGCGCAACAGTACCTACCGTGTCCGTGCGCGTGATGGCAGGATTCGCGTGATGCCGCGAACCACCAAAACAAGCACCTGCAACGTGAGGCTGTAGAGCCATGCAGAATAGCTATTATCACGAGATTTTGTAGTGGATTAGTGTCGCAGCAAGGATCGAGGTAAGGGTGCATATCACGTGATCCGCATCTGGATATTAGACCAATCAAACACTGGCGATCCACCACGCCGTGGTGAGCGGAATTGGGTACAGCTTAGAGCTGTGATTAGGGCTCTAATTAGGGTATAGCTAGATTAGTATTGGTGTAACGTAAAGCACCACCAAGCCAGACACACCACCAAGCTGGACACTTTTTCTTAGCACTGCAACTTTTCTATACAACATAATATGTAACGTAGTTCACAAGCGAGCGGTCCATCCCAACCATGATAGCCTAATAACTACTTTGCATTACAATGCTATCCTAACACAACGTGCAATTAACCTATACTAAAGGGACCTTATAGCTTGCTATCTAAGCTACAATTAAAGATTATAACAAGAGTAAAAGACATGCTATTGCAGCCTTTAGCGTACCTTAAACTACTGTCTGCTAATAACACTAAGGAGCCCTCTCTTAACGCGATTGCGAGCCTAGTTTAAAGAAGCTAAGCAAACTAAGAGGAGGAGGCCCTTGTACAACGTATACTTGAGCTTGATACAAGAGGAATACCTGCTACAAAGGCTATGGTGCGAGATATGGCCAATGATCTGCTTGCTGAGCGCGGTGGAGAGCCTGTTGGCAAGCACTGGGTAGACAACTTCAAGACGCGTACGCCTGAGATCAAGCTTCGAAGGAGCCGTCCATATGATCGCCAGCGAGCCCTTAACGAAGATGCACGCGTTATAACACCCTAGTTTGAGCTAGTTGCCAACACAAAGGCCAAGTACAGCATCACAGACAAAGACATGTACAACTTTAACAAGACAGGCTTCATGATGGGGGTTATCTATGGCCAGATAGTCTTTACAGGCTCTAAGAAGCGCAGCACAAAGAGCCTACAGCTAGGGAACCATAGTTGGGTCACTAATATAACGTAAATACTAAGCGAGTGAGCCATTGAAGCGAGTGAGCCACCCCACCAAATTTCTATACCCTACAACTATAAATCAACTATGGCTCCACCAAACATAGCCCAACACGCTTCTTGTGAGACTGATATACACCTTGCAATCTTAGCTCTTAATGCAAATTAAATTTAGACTAAAAGGCGCGCTGCAGTAATGTTTTAAGTCTCTTGCGCTACCCTCCACCGCCAACACGCTGGCAAACCTGCTAGACGCAATTGCCAGCCCAACTTAAAGAAGCTTACTAAGCAAGAGGAGGAGGTAATAGTAAAGCATATACTGGATCTAGATACACGTGGGTTTTCGCCTACGTACGCAGCTGTACGTGATATGGCTGGTAAGCTACTCTTAGCGCGTGGTAGCTCTCCTGTAGGCAGAGACTGGCTAAGCAACTTTGTCAAGCGTACAGACAGTCTTAGGACGCGTTTCAATCGAGCATACGATAGGCAGAGAGCTCTATGCAAGGATCCAGCTCTAATCAGGAGCTAGTTTAAGCTTGTAGAGGAGACAAAGGCCAAGTACAGCATCTGCGATAATAACGTGTACAACTTTAACAAGGCTGGCTTTATAATAGGCAAAATTACAACTTAACTTGTTGTAACAGGGTTAGAAAGAAGAGGCAGGTCTAAGGCTATTCAGCCAGGTAATCGCGAGTGGGTGACGGCGATTGCTGCAATCAACGCTGCTGGCTGGTCAGTCCTGCTGTTCCTCATCTTCGCTGGCCAGTATCATCTATCTGCCTGGTACAAGGAAGCAGAGATCCCACGCGACTGGGTAATCGCAGTTAGCGACAATGGCTGGACAAACAACAAGCTAGGAGTAGAGTGGCTGAAGCACTTCAACGCTCACACAAAGACTCGCGTTGTTGGTGCGCGTCGCCTGCTCGTCCTTGACAGCCATGAGAGCCACCACTCTCTTGAGTTTCAAGAGCTCTGCAAGGAGAACAATATCTATACGCTCTGCATGACGCCTCACTCATCCCATCTACTGCAGCCGCTTGACGTTGGCTGCTTCTCGCCGTTGAAGCGCGCGTATAGCCGTGAGGTTGAGAGCCTCATCCGCCACCACATCAACCATATCACCAAGCTTAAGTTCCTGCCAGCCTTTAAGGCAGCGTTCAGTTAATCGTTCACCTCAGCCAATATCTGCTCAGCCTTTCGAGGTACAGGCCTTGTGCCTCTCCAACCAGACGCTGTGCTCTCAAAGTTTGACGTGCAGCTACGTACACCTACTCCAGATACTCTGCCAGAGGCTCTCTGGGAAGCTCGTACGCCAAGCAACGTACGTGAACTTGATGCTCAATCAACGTTAATACGCGATCGCGTGCAGCGGCACAAGAGCTCATTGCCAGCTTCAATCATTGAGGCGATTAACCAGCTTAAGAAGGGTGCTGAGGTAGTGATGCTCTTAGCTGAGCTGATGCGCGATCAGATTGCCAGCCTTGAGAAGGCTAATGAGGCAGTGTTAGCGCACAAACAGTGTAAAAAAAGGCGTATACAGCAGTATGTGATCTTAACAAAGGGAGCTGGAGAGGATATACTTGCTTAACGTGAGGCTGATTAGCAGATTGCTTGTGAAGAGCGTTAAGGAGGAGAGCAATTAGGCCGCAGCCGCCAGGCACTCGCGCGCTGCAAGAGATGCAGAGAGACTGGGCACAACTTGCGTACGTGCAAAAAAGATACTTTAGATAACGTAAACCCCCAGCACCCGGGCCAACCCAGCACCCGGGCCAAAAAAGCTTGGCAGTACCAACTCACGTTACAACTCTTCAATTTCATCGCTATTTAACATAGAGCCTGCGTACGCTGTGCTTGTATCTAATTTAGAATATGCCTCTATATCTTTTTTGCACGTTTGCGCGTTGTGTCCAGTCCCTCCACAGTTTCCACAGCGCCATAGAGCTGGTTAAGCTTGTTCTTGATCACCACCACCACGAGCCTTCTTCGACCGCTCAGCGGCTACAGAGGCCTCTGCAGCCACCTGAGCTGCTGCCTCACCATACTCCATAGTACCACCTTGCTAGATCCGCTTCCTTTTGCGCGATTTCCGCTTAGTCATTACTGCTAATTGCTCTTTAAGCTCAGTAATCCAGGCTGCTTGAAGCGCGTTCTGATGCAGCATAAGCTCGCCGCCTCTAACAAGCTGAGAGAAGCCTGCTTGCGCAGTAATAGGCAACTGAGTAAAAGACTCGCGTACGAGCTTCAACTGAGATCCAAACTTGTGGGTATTGCTTAGAGTCTTTGACTGCCACAGCGTCTCTAGGAGGAGGGGTTCTGGCGGGGTACGCAGGCACACTTCAAGGCGATCTAACACGACCTGCGCGTTGAGAGGGACTAGCCCTGCTGCCTCAAAGGCCTTGCGACAGTTCTCTGCTGTAAACACGTTAAAAAACGCGTCCTTAAAGGCAGGGAGGAAGCCTTCTTTGTTGATGTAGAAGACGCGCTTGCGTGCTAAGTCTTGTACGTGCTGAGAGTACTTGCGCTTTAACAGCAAGAAGCAGACTACATTAAGCGGCTAGAGGATGTGCGATGAGTGAGGTGGCATGCAGAGGGTAAGGATTATGTTTTTAAGGCAGTAGTCCTTAAAATCCTGGTTAAGGTGGCTCTTATGGCCGTCCAAAATGAGCAGCCTGTACGCCCCCACCTGGCTCGCCTTTGTATGCGCGTCGAAGTGCTTCAGCCACTCAAGGCCGAGCGCGTTGTTCGTCCACCCGCTCTCGGAGACGGAGAGCTTCCAATTGCGTGGTATATCTGCCTCCTCGTACCAGGCAGAGATGTGAACGCGTCCTTTGTAGATAATGAAAGGTGGAATACAAGATCCAGCAGCGCAGACGCTCTGGATGACTGTTACCCACTCGCGATCACCTGGCTGAATAAGCTGAGGTTAATTACGTCTCTCTGCGCCTGTAACAACCTTTATTAAGCTAATAACACCTATCTAGAAGCTAGTCTTGTTAAAGTTGTGCATAGACTGGCGGATGGGTACCATGTACCTAGGGTAGGGTATAGGTAGGGTATAGGTCGCACGGACGTAGGTATAGGTAGGGTAGGGTCGCACGGACCATAGGTATAGGTAGGGTAGGGTTGCACGGACTATAGGTAGGGTAGGGTAGCACGTGACTGGGTATAGGTATAGGTAGGGTAGCACGTGCTAGGTATAGGTTTGGTTTGGGTATATTACTAACCTAGTTTGTATACAACTAACCCTAGGTTGTACTAGTAGATTCTTTCGCATACACAATACTTAGAAGAAAAAGCATCTATAATTTAT